TCAAAGGATGTCCCACAATAAAATGATGAAAGGCTGAGGATAAAAGAAGGATCCAGATGACAGAAAGTTGACACAATAAAATAAGAGACCAACACTTGGCCAAGATTAAATATGATTTGTGAAGGAGTAGCTAGGTGTCTATTATGTAGTGGAACACTAAACAATTCATCCACTATATAAATAGGTAAATTAGCCTTGTTATTTTAACATGTCAAGTTTTCTCGTGATGGCTTCTCCATATATTTAGTGTTCAATTTGGTAATGTATATAATATTTAATCATTTTATACACAATTATCTCCTACCCTGTTATTAAAATAATTGTGTATAAAACTTTATATAATTTAAATGTTTATATATATGTAATTTAATAATTATTATTTAATTGTGTTTTGAATAGTTTAAAATAGTTAAATCATTAAATTTCGTTTTTGATAAATTATTTAAAATATTGTTTATTGATTTTAACACGCAATTATTTGACTTGTTTTTGGTTATCAATCAAACCATCATGTTTCATATAAAATCACAAATGAACAAGTGTTATCTCTCTCTTTCAACCTTACTATTATATTTGATGAAATTATTCGTTATATTAAGAATTTAGTTTTTGAACATTTTAAATTATTTCTTATTTTAAATTCATCATATCTACCTGGGTTGATTTTTCAAAATAACACTCCTTTATTACGAAAACAATGTTATTTTAAAATATATTACTAAACTATAATTATTTTCTGGCAGAAATATTTGTGGTAGTTTAACAAGAAAAAAAAATTTCAAAAGAGACCATCACAAATCATAATTTTTTACAATCTAAAATACTAGAAAACGCTCTAAACCGTTATAAATGTTTTTTGACAAATTTATTTTTGAAAGAGTATTAATTTTGTAAATAGAAAATAAGGATTTGAAGGTTTTATGTAGACAAAATTAACCAAAATATTTAGGCTTTATTCAGTAAACTAACTGCAAATTTTATAGTTTGCAGTTTAAAATTGATAACATAGTTAAAATATGTTAAATGAATAAAAAGATATATAAATTGTGTGAGTTAGGATTATATTATGAGTGTAAATTGTTTAAAGATTTAAAATAAAAAAATAGTAATTAACTTTCAGTAAGTTAATATGGTACTTAGAATAGTTTTTTACAAATTAATTTTTAAAATTTATAATTTTTTTCATGTTTTGTTTACTGAACAATTTTATTAGTTTATTGACAACAAATAAAATAAAACTACAAATTCCTATATAAATTATAAATTTAAGTTACCAAACATATTTAATTGTATAATTAAATCCAAACAAAAATTACACATTTATTCTAATGAAGGGATAAAAATATAATTAAATAAAAAAAAATAACTATTAACATTAAAAAATAAACTACCAACAGATGCAAGAATTAAAAATTGTGTTAGAACATAGTGAAATTCTTATGAATAACTATTATAAGAAGAGTTAGAATTTTCTTACATTAGTATAAGTCTGAAAACTTTTATGCTTGATCTGAACCTTTTATTTAACTTATATCTAACAAATTATAATTATTACTTTACTGACTGTTAAATATAATTAAATAAATTATTTAAATTGAGTATAAAAGTTTTTAAACTTATACTAATATAAAAATATCATTCTTCTTATTAAAAATACTGGTAGTTATAAAAGTCTGAAAATCAAACACCTTGCTATATTCAAATTTGATGCACTAACCCATTTAAAAATGATCAAAGTATTTATCAATAGCTGATTAGCTGTCCTCGGTGTTATGTTTTTTTTTTGGCTATGGATGCCTCTAAATGTTGTCTAGAAGTAGAATATGAAGCTTTCTTGTTAATATACAAATTATATTGGATGATGGTCATGTAATACTCAAAACCATCAGGTTTGCTGGATAAACCATTGATCAACTATATCAAAACAAGGAATTTTAATAACACATTCTCCAATATATTTTTAACTATTAACAAAAGAAGTTAAAAATTGTAAAATTATCAGATTTTAAACTAAATTTTAATAAATGATAAAAAAATTTGCTTAACAAATACACTGTTAACATTTTTATACATTAAATTACATGTAAAACCAAATTCTAACATGTAAAAATATTGAATTTCTAAATGTATTTTACTAGGTTGATCTTATATTAAACTGATATATCTCATACACATATCAAAGACAGATCGATTCAAGATTCCTCTGGACACATGGAGCAAAAAAGTTAACGAGATTCCTGTGGATTCTAAACTTTATCACAGTAGGTGAATATTTTGATATATACCTTGTCATAATTTATAAATATTTACGTATCAAAGAAAGACAGATTCAAGATTCTTGCTATCGCTACCTTTTAAATATTGGCTTAACGTTGCCATTTACTTAAGGCGTACCAATATACATATTATAATTTTGTTATTAATCACCTTTTTTTTCTAATAACTTACAGAGGTTAGTGGAATAAAGTGAGATATCATCTGATCAAATTTAATAAGTTATAAATTTAAACTTCTATTTATTTTTCTTGTATTAAAAGAAATTTAAGTAATTTAAAATTTGAGGATTTTTTTATCTTAAAATGAAGCATAATCTCTTTTCTCTAAAAAAAGAACTGTTTCTAATGATTTATGTTAAAACTTTTTATTGTTTAATATTTTAACTACTTCTCTTTCCTTTTTCTTCTGGCATAATCCTGATTCTCTCTTGATGATAAAGGTACATACATTTCTTTAAAGCCCGTAAAATTCTAAATCTTATTTCAGGAGATGAATAATTTACAATCAACCTTGCTACAGGTCCAAACTAACTAACACAATAACATAGATACATTTTAAATACACGTATGAAAGGAAGATTAAAGATTCCTGTTGATGAACAAGTTGCACATTTTTCTCAAGTAGGTGAAATTCTAAACCTTATTACAAGTGAATATTTTCGTAATTGGTAGGAAGAGAAAGAGAAATTCCCGAGTTCTTTCGTGCAAGTGTCTAGTGAAAATCACTGTACATGGACAATTTTGGCATACAGCCTCCAGAGAAGATCAAGTAGTACCAAGCTGATTCATTTTCTTGGTCTTGGTCATCCACAAATTAACCATCCATAAGGGTTTTCCACTTTTCAACGAAAGATGAAGACTATTCTACTCTTGTAGGTCCACTAGCCCCCAAAATGTTGCTCTATATTCCTATTTTATTTATTAACCCACAATATTCTTAATCTTAAAGGGATACTAATCTTGTTATTATTAGGCTGCTTGTGTGGCCTTGAAAGAAAAATAAGATAGTTGAATTTCAAATTATATGGTGTTTGGATATATAATACAAATTCTTGAAAAATTTAAAATGAAAGGAAATTAAATTGCGTAAATTATATACATTTTCTATTTGTAGAACATTTAATTTGGATAATTATATATTAATGGAGTTACAAAACCGGATCAAGATTCAGAATCTCTAACCTTTTTTTAAACGACTGGGATTCATTTCCTGCCATTGTTACATTGACTAGGGCAGACCCTAATGGAGATGTGTTCTCTCAAATCCTATAATTTTGACTAAAAAGACAATAGAGGTTGGAAATTTTAATTTCCTCGTAAAATATCAAAACAAAATATACAATTTATTGATTCATCAACTGTCAATTTGTCGTTTTTTGCATGCAAGATTTTCGTGCTCTTTACCTTTGTCAATTTTTTCTCTCCTTCGAAAAAACTCCACTGGAAAAGCTAACGACTCTTGAATATCTAATATACGATTGTTGGATTATTCATTTAGTTCTTATGAATTAATGATGAATTTCTTATTGTTTCTGTACTTTAAAACTTACTAAATTAGCTCTTATAATTTTAGACTGTTTATAATAAAACATTCTAGGCTGTCTTTGAAGTTGAGTGGGCAAAATAGAATACTTAACTCATTAAAAATTAAGAAAATAAAAGTTTAAATGGGTTGGATTCGATTTCAACTTATAACCCAGTCTAAGTTAATCTATATAAAGATATATAATCTATAGTTAAAACTATCATATCATATATAATATCATAAGTAGACATTTATAAAACCACTTTAACAAATTGTTTGTTGAATTATGATATTTTTTTTATGTTATATTCATATTAGTTGAGGAGAGTAAACAAATTATTTGTAACTTAGAAATACTAATTGTGATATTATGTAAGTTCTCTTTAATCAATTTAAACATGACATGAGATTTACTTAAATGAGTTTCTTTTTTAAAATTAATATAATTCCATTCTGAAACACCCTAAATTGCCAGAGATATATATATATATATATTTGCATGTCCAGTATCAGAGAATGAAATGTAATTGGCAGGGGTGCATGACTATATGCATCCAATGGAAAGAAATACTTTAAATAATGTTTTTATTTTTTAATATTAAACTTTTAATGTAGTATTATTAAATGAGTTAACAAAGCAGGAAATTAATTAGTTGTCGAGTTAACTGGGATTAGATAGATGGAACCACAAACTGCGAAAATTAATATAGTTTACAAAAGAATGGAATGGAATTACAGGTGAGTACATTTTTTTTCTCTTTTTAAAAAATGTTTTTTGTTTTTAAAAATAAAAATTTTGTATTATATTTTATTTTTAAAAACACATTTTCTGTTTTTTAAAGAAAAATATATCTTTTTTTAAAAGAATAAACAAACATCTTTTAATAACTAATAATAAAAATATACAAATAAAAAATTAAGAACACAGTGAAGGGTAAACTTAGTGATCCATAGACACTTGCAAACAATTTTTCATATTTTAATTAAACTCAATCTGAATGTACTTTTGAATCTAAAAGTGCATTAATAATTAGATTAATTGAAAAAAAGAAAATATAAAAACAAAAAATGGGCCCACCTGGGGCCCACATCTTTGTTGTACCTTTGTACCGTACCCTTTCTCACAACAGTTCACACTTCGCAATCACACAGCGCGTGCTCCTTTATAAATACAAACCTCTTCTTCCTTCATTCTCCACAACACATAACCCCGCACCACTTCTATTTTACACGCGCCACTGCACTCGCCTTCCCCGGAGATTTACCCTTTGCATGGCAGTGAGCTTTCTGGCGCGTGAGGTATCGGACCTCTGCCTTGGGAAGCCGCCGTTGAGGTCGCTGTCGGCTTCGACCACCTTGAGCGACGCCTTGGCGGCGTTGAAGAGTTCCGACGAGAGCTTCATAAGCGTGTGGAATTGCGATAGCGAGAAAGAGGGTTGTTGCAGATGCGTGGGGAAACTGTGCATGGTTGATGTTATTTGCTTCCTTTGCAAAGAGGAGAGTCTCTTGTCTCCTTCTTCTGCTCTTAAGGAACCAATTTCTTCTATTCTCCTTAAGATTCCTTCTCTCGTCGTTCATCTCGAACCTTCGTCTAGGTATTCCCACTTTTTTTTTTTTTTTCAATTTGATACTCAACACTGCATTCACCGCAATCTCTCTCTCTCTCTCTCTCTGTACATTTTTTTTTAATGAAAGATATTATTTTAAGTGAATACCCAAATTAGGTTCTGAAAAATTAAAGTTAACTATTAGTTTTATGCAAATGGGAGACAATTTAACTTTTTTAAAATTTAATAAATAGAAGGATTAAAATTTGTCAAAATTTTGAGGGACTATTTGGTTTTTTTTTTTTTTTCAGACTAAATTAGGTTGAGTCCAATTGTCATGATCAAATTTGTGTTTACTCTATTGTTTTATATTAGAGGAATAAAATGGTAAGGATGATTCCTAACGTGTTGGTTTTAGTCAAAGTTTGGATTATTTAGCGATCTTATTTTGATTCTGACATTTATGCTTGTGAAAAAAACAAGAAAAAGTTTGGAAAATTAATAAAAATGGTAAGACTCTGTTTTTTTTCCCCTTTCCTTTTTGCTTTACTTGTCAATTGTTTTTATTATTATCGTGATTGTTGTTATTATTATTATTATTATTATTATTATTATTATAATTTAGTGATTTTTTTGGGGGTGATTGGTGAGTTTTTTGGGTGTTCAATTTAAATGGAAAATTGAGGCTTCTCAATTCTAATTTGTAATCATTTTAGTTTTGAAAACAGAAAATTGTTTTTTAAAATGGAAATCAAACATATTATAAGTATCACATTTTTTTTCTAGACGAAACTTGAATTTCTTTTTTTTTTTTTTTGGTGGTTTAGTACATAGTTCAGGTTTAGAATTAAGAAAACTCACCCTTCCTCTTTGCTATTTTGATGGTTCAGCTTGTTGGAAGCTATTGATCTTATACTCCAAGGAGCACAGAATCTTGTGGTACCAATCTTACCAACAAAGAGGAGTGGTATTTCAAGAAGAAAACAGCATCAGAAGCCGTGCCACAATGGTCGTGAATTCTGCTGGTTAACCCAAGAGGATGTGATCCGATTCCTGCTTGGTTCCATTGGACTCTTCACACCACTCCCTGCTCTATCTATTGACTCTCTTGGGATTATTAGCTCAGATGTTCTTGCCATTGACTATTACTCCCCTGCATCTTCTGCAGTTGGAGCCATCTCGAAGTCCCTTATCCAACAAACTTCTGTTGCTATTGTTGACTCTGATGGGACTTTCATTGGGGAGATATCACCCTTCACCCTTGCTTGTTGTGATGAGACTGTGGCAGCGGCTATCACCACCTTATCTGCAGGGGACTTGATGGCCTACATTGATTGCGGTGGCCCTCCAGAAGATCTTGTGAGAGTGGTGAAGGCAAGGTTGAAGGAGAAGAATTTGGAGAAAATGCTGCAAGAGTTTACAATTTTGTCATCTTTGATGGGTGACTCCTCATCCTCATCCTCATCCTCTTCATCTGATGAGGAATCATCAACAAGGGCATTGACAAGGTCTGGAAGGTACACAAGGTCTTCCAGTTACTCAGCCAGGATGGTGAGGAAGGCTGAGGCCATAGTGTGTCATCCCAAGAGCTCATTAGTTGCTGTCATGATTCAGGCAATTGCTCACAGAGTGAACTATTTGTGGGTTATTGAAGATGACTGTAGCTTAGTTGGCATTGTGACTTTTTCTAATATGTTGAAGGTGTTTAGAGAACATTTAGAAACTATCTAGATGCTTAGGATACTGTGATAAAGTTTTTGGCTTTGGATGCTTTTGAGAAGCATGAACCAAGGTCTATGAACAAGACCCTTCTGTTATGAATATTGCAATGTGGCTAGGGAGGTTTGACTTTGTTTGCTCAATTTCTGTGTGCTTCCCTTCTAATAAAACTTCCTCCAATGCATTTCTTTGAAAAAGCCAGTTTTTCCTGCCTCAGTTTGCTTAAAAGTACTTCTCTCGATAACTCTTTATGCTAATAAAATCAAATGACATTGACGCATTGTAGGAATGCAAAGAGATTTGTGCACCATTTTGGCTTCAGATCTTGTGGTTAAGGTTGAAAGCACTTGGTCTGTTTTCAGCAGTTTATTTGGTAACTCCATGTTCTCTTAACAATATATGTTTTCTTAATATTCATATATATCATCCGTGCGTTAAAGAACTGCAACAAGGAATGAATCTTTTCACCATTTGTCATAATATGCTCTTTAGTTGAACTCTTCCTATAGTAGAAGGAAAAACAAGATTCTGTGACTAGAACTAGATTTCACTGGTAGAGACCGATGGATCACTTTTTTCTTCCACACTTTCTTTTAAGCAAGTTAAGCAAGCCAATTGAGATAAATTCAGCCTCAAATTCCAAGTTAGTAATTTTATTTCATTTTGGAATTGGAAGAAATTATTCGAAAGCGAATTTCTACTAGAGGTGGTCCTAAACAGATTATGAAATTCTTTGGTCTCATTCTCACTTGTTGACAATTTTAGATTTGGATGGTTAGAGACCACTCTATCAGAGAAGTACTTGCTGAAATTTAGTGTTCGGCTAAATTTGGCCTTGGCTGAAGTTTCAAATCATTGCTATCATTTTAGTGAGAAACAATGAGATGGCACATTGAAAACAAATAATGCAAAGCACACATTTTTTTGGTATGAATTTAAGCTTAGAAAATGCCAGATGGACAGATATTTTTTGTTGTACTACTTTAAGATATTAGACAGTTCACGTTATATAAAGCAAGGATACAACATTTTGGTGGCGTTTACGCGTAAGGCATGTGTCTAATATAATGCCTGAACATGTATTTGGTTGCATTTGTATGCATCTTAATTTTTGAGTTATTTTAAAGTTTATATGGTTTTTAATATAATAAATAAATAAAATTAAGCCAAGGTATGTTTTGTCGTTGAAGTTGATATTTTGGAAATAAAATTAAGCCAAGGTATGTTTTGTCGTTGAAGTTGATATTTTGGGCTAAGACAAATTCGTTTAGGAACTCATTTGAAAAATATCAATAGAAATGATGCTTCATCTTTATCATAGGGTTTTACAAAATAGAATTGGAACTGGAACATAAGACATACATATCATAATATTGTAACTTCTGGTATAGATATATATTGAATTTCATGTTAGTGTCCTAGTTACAATTTGGTTGTTGCTGTATATTTGTCATTCATTATTTTTAATAAATTATTTCTTTTAATAAAATCCTGAAAAAATAAAATAAAGTTGATAATAGTTTATGATATAAAATAAGGAAAGCACGGGTCTAATCTTTTTATACCAACCACTAAAAACTTAAAATTTTGATCCCTATAAAAAAAAACTGATTCATACATTTTTCTTTTATTAATTTAGCTTTTATTTATAGTTATTCGTTGAAGTATTAAATATTACGTACCATGAAAAAATAGTAATTATTTTGCTTATTAATATTGGATTTTAAAAAAAGGGACTAATAACAAAAAATTATAAAATTAAACCCGACTGAGTGAAATTTATAAAGACTAAAATTTATTTATAAAGAACTGAAAGAAAATTAAATTCAATATAACAGTTTGGAGGCATTCGAAAGAACTTATAGAAAATTTTACAAATAGTTGAATTCTTTTCAACTTATTTTAATAAATTTCTTCATATAATTTATCAAAATAAACTATTTTTAACTCGTCAATAATGCAATAAAAATATAAAATAAGAGCTTAATTAAACTATTATCCAAACTAATCATTTTGAAGGACTACTAACAGTTCATTATTCATTAATAAAATTCAATCCAGCAAAACAAACATTTCCAGAATTTCTGACCAAACAAATCACACCCTTTAATGTATTGAAAAATGGTGACAATTCTGCGTGCTATTACTATTTTAGAAAACTATAGTATAACATAAAACAATAAAGTTTTACATTAGTCATTAGTATCATATTAGAAATTCAGGTGACTGATATACCAGAACCACACAAAAAAGGGGTGATTGCTATTGGAGTCTCAGATGCTTTCTATAGGATCTACTTCTTCAGATGAATCTCTAATGAAAATTTCAATGGGCTCAAGGCAGCTTCTTAATGTGTCATGACCAAGTTGTGCTCTTTCGTTGTCTCCAAAGCCAAATATCTTTCCACGGCTAGTGATTACCACAGTGTGATACAAGCCAGTGCTTATTTGAGAAACACGGTGAGCTCTCAAGGTATCCAAGATTCGAGGTTTCAAGACTTTATCAGATATCCTTCTATCCAAAAATCCCAGGCTACCGAATCCCATGGAGCCAAAGCCATAGACTGATCCAGAATCAACTAGAACAAATGTTTTCCTCTTTCTTGCACAGACCTAAAAGTAACAACCACCATTTACACACTGAATATGATAGGACTAGGCAAATGGCAAAGAGTGCATTTTCTTATTGTAAACCATTTACTCTCAAGTCTCAACACAGATTGACCAAACTTATATATATATATATATATATATATATATATATGTATGTATATAATACCTGAACAGCTAAGTGATTCTTGAGACTAGTCAATATCTCTGGAGTTGTCTTCTCAATCTCATCTCCATGGCCTAAAGCACCACAGTATCCCTTGCCCCATGTATATACCTAGATAATCAATACCAGAAACTTAGAGCAAGTCCCACAAGCAATTCAATAATAAAAAACAAGCATAACAAATAAAATTGAAAGCTTATCATGTCCAATGAAACTCACAAATCCATTTGAATCAAGTGCCACTGCATGCTCATCCCCAGCAGATACACGGACAATATGAACACCTTTCCTTCTGAATTTCTGTATAGCACGTGGCTGAAGCTCATTGTGTTGCTCACCATGTCCAAGACAGAAATTAGCACCTGATCCAAAGGAGTATACTGCTCCATTTTCTGTTACAGATAAGATATAGCTTGGTCCAGCAGCAATCTGAACAACAGAACCAACATTACCAAGGGCTTCAATAATTTTGGGGGTTGGTCTGTCCTGAGTGTCACCATGACCAAGTTGCCCATGTGTGTTGGTTCCAGATGTATAAACATGACCTTGTCTAGTGAGGAAGACTGTGAAGTTAAGCCCAGCTGCAACCTGAGACATTCATGTATTTCAATATCTTTAAAAGGGGACCTTACTAAAACAGACTTCATGGAACAATAAAAAATTTGAGAATTGAAGAGTTAGAATTTCGTGGACGGCCAATAAAATTGGGGTATGGCTATAAAACAACACATCATAGCAAACTGGTGGAACATATGCCTATCAGCATGGACAGTTGTTGGGACTAACATAAGATTTGGTGTTGCATAAACAACACATAATATCTCAAATATATGACAAAAAAAAAAAAAAACACTTTTTAAAGAAATAAGAATCCTCATAAACTAACTTTGTATGAAATCAAAATAACAAAATGCTTTACTTCTGACTTCATGCAATAACCTGATAAGTGACAACCAACCTTGAAATATATAAGACTAAAATCAAAACATTCTGCAAGTTAATATTCCTAATACAGAAAGGGATATCAGTCATCCCATGAGAAAAAAAATTTAACATAGAATAGCCTACAACAATCTATTTTTATCATACTCTCCCTTTTAAAATAAATTGGTAAGAATCTGGAACTATAAAACGCTTTACTGCAGACTTCATGGAGAAGCTAGATTGTGTATCTTGAAATATACCAGACTAAGATCAAAACATATTGCAAGGCAGAAAAATATGATGATGGTGATAATAGAAGCAAAGTGAGCTTTGGGATGAGGTATTCATTTGATAAGCAAAAGAGACATCATCCCATGAGATTAATATTAACAGTTAACAGGTTACCAACCACTGACTTTGCACTCAGCCAACATTTATCATCTATAAATATGATGATGGTGATGATGAAGAAGCAGATTTGCATACCTGTTTGCAAGGAATCCCTTTCAGTGATTCAACAAGACGAGGCCTGAAAATTGGTCGACTTGTATCTCTATGCCCACAGCAAGAAGATGAATTATCTCCACATGTGAATACCTGCATCAGTCAAAGGTGACGTTGCAGGTTTATGATGGAAGCAAATATTAATCATTTTACAATCTCAAACCATCCTTTTTAATTCCTAGAAAACAAAGCAACAATGGATCTGATCGTCTGAATTATCAGTATGGAACATGCAGAAAAAGCTATAGACCTAGCATTATATTTAGAGGCTTTATGAATCATAACAAATTTGTAGCTAAATTTAAGCTACACAACTACACATGAACTAGAGTGAACATATTGCATGCACTCTCTCTCCAGAAACTGAATCCCAGATAAAGAAAACATCATAATTGATGATGGATATATCATATACATTACAAAAATTTACTATGATGAAACCCTTTTAAGAGATATTTGATATAGTACAACTACATGTTAAATTAATGCTCTTCTAACAGTTTTCATAATACTATGAAGTACAATCTGTTCCAGTTATAGGAACATGATCCTAAGTGCAGGTGCCTTTTAGAGATTAAAGTGGACAACAGTTGAATGAGAAACACCTACACCCTGCATTTTAGATAGCAAAGTGGCTAACATAGATAAAAAAGATCAACAGTGTAGAATTTTGAATAATACAGGTGACGTAATTGTCATATCTGGATTTGTGAAACTATATCTCATGAATGGTTGCCCAATTACAGTTTACTCTGTTAATTGTTAAAGTTTTAGACGAGCCAAATCCCAGTTACATATCTGATTCTTTGCATTATTAAAATTAAGTAGATGTGCCATATCGTTGGGGCAGATGATTTTAATAAAGATTCAACATGAAACACAATCACTGTATTTTTTTATTTTTTTTTTGTAATAAGAGGCAGCACTGCAGATTTATCTCAATTACTAACTTTTTTTCAGAGAACTTGCATTCAAGCATTTTTTAACAATTAGTGCCAAAAAGAAAGTTTGGAAACAAGATGAATGAGTAGTTAAATTAAAGACTTCAATCTGTAGATCTATTAAACCCAATCAATGTAATGACCAAGTAAAGTTAGCATCTTCCTAGAAAATGAACTAGATAAAAGCTCTCCTCATGACAAGTTGAAAATGTCAATTGAAGTCTGAAAAGCACTTTGGATGCAGCGTATCTTGTATTCAACAACTAAAATGTAAAATTTTCAGAGCTCTTGATGTCTCTCTCTTGTCTGCTAGTGCTAGTACAAAATGACACCAAACATGCTCATGAACACAAGCACTGGAATGAAACAGGAGTGAAAAGAAAGAAAATTTCTGATATCCTATTCCCAGCTTCTGGTAAAACTCTCATTTTGAGATCAAAAACTCATTTCTTAGACAAGCTGCAAGGACAATTGTTTCTTGACCAGAGATATCCTAAAACTTTAACTTTTAAGTACTAGCTCTGGAATGATTTTAATTATCGCTCATATGTTCCCTCCACCATGCAAAAGTATTTTGAGCTTGATGCATGGATAAAAGAGAAGTATATCTAAACATTATGCCAGGGAAGTGCAGATGGTGGGTATCACACTCTTAAGACACTAGGTTCAGAGGTTATGTAACCAATCATCCCATAAACTTTAATGTAAGTGCAAGCCTAGCAATGGTTTTATTTATATATCTAGCATTCTTAAGGCTGCTGCATAAGTCCAGATGACATACACATCTAGATATATTTTGTTCCGGACTAATGATGTGCTCATTAGTCATAACTAAGTGAACAAATATTAAGCAACTATTAACCTCTCCAGACTGCGTTACAAAAGCTGCATGGTTATAGGAAGCTGATACGTGAACCACACGTGCCAAAGGTGGGAAACCAATCCGGGTAAATGCTACACACTGTGTTGTTTCAGGCCCTTGACCAAGTACACCACACAAACCAGAACCACAAGAATAGACGGAAGAATTGCTGATCAACAAGGTGTGATACTTTCCAGTTGTTATTTGCATCTGCCAATAAAATGTTTTTCATCATTATGTACAAGTCCACAATTTTTCTTTAAAAAGTACAGTAAGAAAACTATAAGAAATGCAAGAGAAAAAAAAAATCCAAATTATGAGATTTGTTCTTAAAAAATAATTAGAATGTTTGTCACTCTAACGCTATGAAATGTACTTGGTAACATTAAAAACTCTAACTTCTTTTCCTTTTTTTTCTGTTCTAATTATGTCACAAATGCATTATTACATTACTTATTACAATAATTACATTGAGAGAAAAAAAGAAAGAAAGAATGGGTCAACATCATGCAATGTATATTATGCAGTTTAAACAACATGAGGAAAAGAGAAGATACCCCCATCCAACAGAAACATGCTTCTTACAAAATCAAAATCGAAAATGGCAATTCATAAGTCATAATTCACGCAGGAAAATAATTTTTTTTAACGAAAGAAAACAAAAGTAATGATTTGATATAATGAAATAATACATTGCCTGATGATGTCTCAACCAATGTTGAGGATTGTTCCACACTCTGCAAGAACCTCAAAACTCGCTTCCAATTTCCTTCACATCGATCGTATAACTCCCTCTGAGCATTCAAATCCATCCTAGAATGGATAACATGGGAGGCACACAATTGAAATGCCGCAAAGTCAATCAAGGACTTAAACTTGAAAGGGTACAAGCCATGACTACCACCAAAAGTTTTGGAAGTCAATTCTAAACAAACAAGGTCTTTTGCACTGAGCCTTCCCGAACACAGAATTTCTAAAACCAAATGTGATGGCAATTCCTCAATGGAAAAATGTCTACAACGTTCTCCCATCCTCAAAACTCTCTCTCTCTCTCTCTCAGTCCTTCCAAAGAAAACTAAATGTAATCCAAAGAACCTGCAGACAGATACACAGTGACAGCAACCAGCAACTCCCCTATGGAACAAAACATCAAATTTTGAGACGAAATCTCAGGCAATTGAAGCAGCATATGAAGAACACATCAGAGGGGAGAAAAACATGGGAAATTGAGTAAGAGAAAGGAGGTTTAGATGATGGATAATTAGAAGGTGATGGTTGAAACAGTGATTGGAAATAAAACATCAGAAGAGAACTAATCACACACCCCACAAAATCAAATCGAAGATCGAAGAGGACCTTCTTCACCTGCTAATTAACAAGACAAAAAAAAAGTGATTTTTTGCGAGGAAACAAACACCAAAAATTAAATTTTAATTTGAATTCAAATCAACAAACACTGATCTAACGGATTGAGTACGTAACTGATGAAAAAAAATTAAGAAACAAGTAGTTGGGTGTTTGAAATCAGAACGGAAGCACATGAATTGAACCAAGCAAGGGAAAGGAAGCAAGTAGTGGAGCCTGGCCCAGGAGAGAATAAAAGCGAAAGGAATTAACTTCAGCAGAAAAATCGAAAAAGATTGATGTTTGAGAGGCAGTAAGTTAAGAGAGGAATTGAGGGTAGTGATTGGTTTGGTGGGTCTTAAACGAAATCAGAAAAAGTTAGGGTTTTGTACATTGGGCATTTTCTTACTAGCTTAAGCTTTCTGTCTGTGTGTTGAATGAATGTTTGTGTTTGTGTGCAGAGTGTGGAACATTAGAGAGAAAGAATTTGAGGAATCAGAGAGCGTGGAATTTCATGGGGTTGGAAGCATGAAAATGAAAGTGGGGAAAAAAACACGGTGGCGTTTTGGTTGTTCCTGCGGCTTAGATTCCATCACTGTTTTGTCGTCGAGGTTTATTATACGTGGCGTCTTAAAAACCTGACACGTCATCATCGGGTGAGTCACAGACAGGGTATTCTGGTTTTGCTGTAGTGGCACAAGTATCCACTAATGAACCTCGCTTTTCGGTGACGCCACTTGTCTATAATGTTCATGCACACTCTCACTCTATTTTTATCATGTAAAATAAAGCAAAAGTACCCATGCATGGTGCATTTCATATAAGGAGAAAGAAAAATATCCAAATATGATTTTATTAATAAAAACATAAATTAGAGTATAAATATAATATTCAGTTTTAATTTTAAAAATAATTTAAATCTTCTTTGTGATTTTTATGGCAACTAATTCGATAAACGTGAAAGAAATCACTGTTTAGTACACTGATTCCTTGTAATGTATATATAGTGTAACAAGGCACACCGGCTTCTTACTAGTAAGTTTAATACTTTATATTTAGGTTAAGAAATCCGTATATGAATAACTTTTAGATAGGTCAAAAGGACACAAAGTTTATTTATATGCCTTGTGAAATTTGTTATATTTGGGCACAAATTTTATGTTAGACGTTGAGTTTCAAGCTAAAATGGGGAATTGAAAAGGCAATACAAGGGTTTCTTTTTGGCTTTACCTAGTTGTAGAGGTTGGTTTCTTCTTATATAGATTAGCTTTAAAAAAATCGTAATTTTTTTGTGTGATAGAGTGTCCGTGTATAAATACTTTTGAAATATCAGAAATGTTTTTTTTTTCAAACGTCTAATAATATAGTAAAATGATAAGATACATTTAGCTCTTCTGAAAAAATGATAAGGTACTTTTAACGAAATTCGAATCCTTTCACTAGAAATAAAGCACATGGAGAACAAATTAAAAACATGACTTCAAATCTGTTTATAAATCCTTAAACAAATTATTTAGATTTATCCAATTTTCATTTGAAGTAGACTGTGATGATTCCAAACGACTTTTACCTTTAATGTTAGGAGTCTAAATTCTAAAATTGTTACTCTAAAAAGGTTTTTACCTAACTACTACCTTCTAAGGGTTAATCTAATAATTATGTTTTGAGACAATCAAATACCAAACAATTATTAGTTTTTTTTTTTAAAAGGGAATTATTTTATCTACTAAAATAGACAAAATGTACTACTATCAAATCATACATATAAGTATTTTCAGAAGGTTAACTATATATAATTCTGATGGCCGATTTTCTTTGTATAGGTAGTAATAATATCACGGCTTTAGTAAATGATGAGGAAGATGTTAAACTTAATTCATATATATATATATAATCAAACCATATGATGAAAGATTAGTTAGGAGTCGTTTTTATTTGGCTAGGCCACTAAAGTGGGTAGAACTACTCATATATATTTGCGAAAGATTTCATCCCATAAATTTCATGGACAAAACAAAAACATTAAAAAATTAGTGATAGAGTTATAACACTGTTTGTGTTAGTATGTTTGGCCCTGAGTTTTTTTTTTTCTTGTGAAGTCTCCATCTTTCAAGAGTCAGCACAAGAGTCAGCACCGGGTATTGGCGAATGAACAGAACCTGCAATCTGACTATTTTATTGTCAAAGTCAGAAACAAAATCAAAGAAATAGATCAAAGGATCTGATCAGAAAGTCATATGCAATGTGTTAAAGAGTAGATCGAATGATTGAATCATAATTCAATCACAAGTTCAGATGTGTTATTGATTTAATGTTCAGTTTGATTTTTAAAACATCAATCGTAAGTTTAAGATAGTCTAACACCAATAAAACCAACATAATCGACAAATAGTTAAGTCTTAAACAATGTATTAGTGCACAGAAAAAAAAAAAAACAAGTATCGGTCCATTCTTCTCTACTTTCAATTTTATAGTTTAATAGGCCTTCTAGATATTCAAGAGTTAAATACACAATCCTTATGCATTAATGCATCAATTTATTGAGTTTTAATCAATAATAATGCGGTTGTTTTACATATGACTTGCTTAGAGTAATAAAAATGTTTTGTAGGCCCAAAGGGTAGATCTATATGAGTTTAATAAGAAAATTCAACATATAATGCAATTTAAGAAGTCATACAATAGAACCATGAAATTAAATAGAAAAATACTCTGACATTATTATTGTTGTGTGAAATTGTAAAATTAAGTTTACTCTACAATATTTGAAAGCATAAATTCCTTTATATATATATATATACACACACACACACACTACTTACATTAAGCGTTCTTTTCCTTTTTCTTTTTTCTTTGTGATCACTAAGCAAAGTTTTGAATACAGTCATCATGCACAACGTAATTTTCACAACTATATTTGCAAATATTATTCAAAGTTGGAAATGGTGGTGTTGACATTAAAAGGGACAGAATAATAAAAGAAAGAAAGTCGTAAAAGAGAAGAGAAAAGAAACAGAGTCACATGGCGAATCGTGGATGATATATAATGCTAAATATGATGATCATAATAGGTGGCATCACTCTTTTACTAATACCACAGCTCAAAGCCACAAATTGTCCATATGCTACCAGCTAGATACTCAATTCTACCTAACATCTTGTTTCCAATTTGTCTATAGCCTAGATGCCTTAGCAAGTAAGGAAATTTAGCAGGACAATGAAGTCATGGGTATGCCAATGACAACTATAAATTCGATTTTCTAACCTTCGAGTCTTCCAATTAAATTATGTTAAATACAAATATATTTTTTTTTAAATAGTGAACGTACATCGTTTGATCATCAAGCAAATATCAAAGAGTTTAAACTTACACGCCTCTTCTGTATTTTGAATTTTAGGTTATTTTTAGTTCTAAAAAGTATAACTATTATGTCCATATTATTCTAAAAAAATATAATTTAGTCATATATTCGTTATCATTAGTCTTAAAATAACACCATAATTCATTTAGAGCAAGCAAATATTAATTCACTTACCTTAGTCAATATTATAAATAATTTAAAGACGTATACAGTCTACACATTTTCGTGATTAAATTTTCTCTATCAAAACAGTTATACATTACTAAAAAGCAGTTAAGGAATAGATTCGTCGCATGGCTGCTTTATGACTCTACTAGACTTGGGTGGCTTTTCTAGCCTCTGCAGGGTGCACCAACCCATGAAGAAAATGTGTTCTAGCTTCAAGGTGGTTTTGCGATTTCAGTACAAATAGATTAATGGAATATAGATATTGAAATCATATTAATACATTTTTTTCAAAATTTGGCAATAATTTAACCAATGTTAGCTTGTTTCATACTAGAGGCTTAGCAAAGCAACGAATAATAATGAGAACTGTAAGTTGGAACCTTCAAATATTAAGTCATTTAATATCTTCAACGCAATATATCAAATAAGACATATATCAAAGAACGATGTGCCCTGTATTAGAAAAGGTTCTCTGTACATATCTAGGAAAAAATCCTAGGAAAAAGTTCTCCACCCAGCTATTACTGTGCTACACAATCACCAGCAACTCATTGCTCGCCAAGGTACCCGCAATTGGCATCAATTCCCTAGTTAATGTTCCGAGTTGATCTAGAAAAGTTCAATTGGATCTCATATTATGATTTAAATTCATTTGGCCTCCTCAGCTGCGGCAATTTGAATTTCAGAATCAGGTGATAGTTTAAACTTGAGAACCTTGTGAAGCTGACACACAGGTTTCACTTGCTTTGTTGGAGGTTGACTTGAATCAATTAGTCTTGTTCCAGAGAAAAGGTTCACTTCAGACGGTCCCGTCTCTTCATGAACAACGGGGGTATCTGCACAAAGGTTGTTTTATCAAACAACTTAATTTGACTATATTTTATAAGTGGGAAGCAAATGAAATTAAAAATAGTTCCATAAAAGCATGTCTTCCACACAACGTGAGTATCTTAACAATTTGAAAGGATCATTATCAAGTGATTAATGGGTAGCTATTCTTCTGACAACGTATCTAATTCACCAATTCATAGGCAGCCAGAAAAAATGAAGATACGAAACAAAAGAAATTCCCTATGACCCAAATCTTCTACGAGTTTATTTTTGAGTCTTCTTGGACTATAACAGCAACATGGTTGGAGGAGCAGAAACTCCAAGCAGAGTACAGTTACATGAACTATTATGGGTATACTAAATCATTAAAATGGAAAATAGCAAACAGGAGGCTAGATGCAGCATCAACAGGTATTATTAAATACACCGATAGATACAGCTGCCGCAACAAATTATCTACATCATTAACTCAACAGGGATAAATATAAATAACATTTTAGTAAAAAACAATGATAAGACAGGAATGCAAACATTATAAACATGTTAGTTGGAGGAAATGTAGAAGAATCAGCTTTGAGAATCAGTTTTCTCTTAGAATGACACAGTCATTAAAGCATTGACTCTTTTAACAGCCAAGAGGCCAGAGTATCCGGACAAACGAGACATAATCTTAATTTCTATGATCTAGTTCCCTTCTTCAGAAGTATTTTGCACATATGACCTGTAACTCACCATGTTCTGTAAAAGCAAGACATGTGCCAATAGTCTCCTCATATTCCCCAATCTGTAGACACAATGGACCATAGCAATCATTAAATGCTCATCATCCATTCAGAGAAGAGTAAAACAGAAAAAAAGTGACTTGAATCCTCAGCTACAACTCGAATTATCAAATGGAAAAATCACCAAAATGGATAGAAGCAACTTTAACTTGCTGGAACTTCTAGCTGAAATAAGCATTCTGCCTAATCCTAGATATAGCATTAAATAAACATACACCTAAACAGATGAACATATTCATGATTACATCTACATAGCTTCAACAGATTCACAAGAGAGAACCAAAATATCACTTCACCCAAAGATTCCCAATGATCAGATCAAATTTCTCAATGGCCAAGGAATTTTAAAGTAGGTAATTTACCAGCTTGAATTTGTCATCAATGATCAATACTGGGTTTAATGTATCAAGGCCCTATAATTAACAATAAGTAATATAAGCACACTTAACTTAGTTAGGATATATGAAGGAAATAGACACATTAAGTGAAAAATACGAAGATTGGGAACTTACACTGAGAACATAGCTGGCATTTGGTGGAAAATCAATTAGGGCAGAAACAGCATCCAAGTCAAGCAAAACATATTCATCTTCATCCTCAAGATCATGCGACGTTGCATTTCCCTCCATGTTCCTGTGCATAGATTGCAAGTGTTTTCTCATTTAATTATGCAGAAATAAATTCAAATCCAAATAAATCCAAATGCAAATGCAAAAAAACCATGTTTAACCTGTTCCAGTGGCTGTGCTCGTGACGAGGATGGGTTTGGGGAAGTGTAAAAGTGATGGAATTGGTTTTATAATTTAATTATTATTTCTTTTGGCGGTTACTCTGCGCAGTGCTGTCGAGTTAGGGCATAATCAGAACTTCAGATGAGTGAGGAACGTGAAACCCCAAATCAATCCAAATACACAGTATTAACGATCCCAAGTTTTGGCAACTCAGCGTTACTCTTTTGAAAGTTAGATTCAATCAATTTTAAATAATTAAAATATATTTAACTTTTTTAAAAAAATATTAATCTAAGTTCAAGTAAATAAAATTAATTCTTAATTTAAAAATATTTATTATATTTTTAATATAACTAGAAATTTTTTGTACTAAATTTTATTTTTATAATAATTAATTAAGAATATATCATATGACTATAAATTTTATTATTTTTAAAAGTAAATATTTTAATTTATTAATATTAAAAAATTATGATAAATTTAAATTAATATTAAATTAGAAAAATAAATACACAATAAAAAATCATTTAAAATGATAAAAAATTATTTTTAAAAATATTGATAAAACTTTGAAAAATTCTCTCATTTTAAAGCTCTCCTAAAAATATCATCATTCATGAATTAGTACTCATAATATTTACATAGAGATTAATAAATACTTGTTAATAAAATCTTACTATTATCAATTACTAAAACACAATTTCAAAAATTGATATTAGTAATTTTGTAAGTTTAATGACAAAATTTATGTTACAAATAGTAATATCTTTGTGTGATGTATGATTTTTTTATTATTTTGTAATGTTTATTTAAAATAATTTAATAAACATGCGTATGATATTTTTATACTTGAAGATTTTATGATTAAGTGGTATATTTTAGGAACACTGAAAAATAATAGACTGTTTGAAAAATAAAGAATATATACATAAATAAATAAATTGCGATACATAAAAATAAACTTAAATATCATAAATTAAAAAGCATGCAATAATTGCTTATCTATTAATTTTTTATATTTTTAAATTATAGACAATATGAATCTATGTTTTATAAATTTACTTTAATACGAATATGTGTCACGATTAAAAAAAATAATTATAAGTATTTATCAAATTGATACCGTCTCCTGAGCTGGATATTTTACAAGTTGATTATTGATTCTCTCGTTTACAATTTTTCAAAGAATTCTTACAATTCTTAGAACTCCATTTATAAAAGAAAACAAACATGTAATATATTTTGATGGCTTTAAATAAATAATTACGAACGATCATTTCAAAAATGTTCTTATATCTCCCCTGCATTCAAGGTTAAGGCAGCAAATTTTAAATGCCATTTGATCAATTTTATCATATTAATAGATAAAATAATATTTTAAATATTTATATTATCATCAACTTTAAATTAGAGAGAGAGAGAGAGAGAGAGAGAGAGAGAGATAATGTAACGCAAGTATTTTAAATTTTTTTAGAAGAAGTATAATTTAATACTACACTTTAGAAAAAATGTTGAAACAAAGCCACCAAAGGTTTTTTGCTAGGAAAATACATTTTTGTAATGATTACGAAAAAATATCATTTTATATTAGAATTTCGCACATTATCTCTAAATAAACTTGTTTTCCATGTTAATTTTCTTTCTTCGAGTGCCTTTATGGCAAATGCCTTAAGATTAGTTTATTCAAACGCAATTGCTATTAACTTCCTCACTGGTGTATCCTCCAACTTATCTCCCAAGATTAGCTGGGTGTTTATATTCTTGGTCGTTTCCGAAGATTAGCTGTTTATACGCACCATTGACTCTAGACCCAGATGCACAAGACAATATCAGAGTAAAATCTTAGGTCCATTAGTCTATATTTGGGAAAAGTAAAAAAATAAAAAATAAAAAAAATCACACAATATAAAAGAAGGCAAGAAAAAATGACATTCAATAAAAGTCTTAATCTCCCGATATATCTCTTAAGCAAGATAAAAACAATCACATTGCTAAATTGTTGATCGTGATAACGATACAAGTGTAAGAAGAATTAATCAAACATTTAATTAAAATAAATGGTAAAATTGTATTTTAGTAAATAATGACAATTAAATCTTATTTACATGATTAAAATAATATATAATATATATATATATATATATATATATATATATATATATGTACAACTTTTGTAAATAATAACCATTAATCTTAATCATCTATATATGATTATAGGATCAAAATTTACTTTTCTATAATTAATGTCAAAACCATTTTCATTATATATACCCATGATGTATATCCTCGCAAAATCAAGTCATGCAGCATAGTTATATTCTCGTATACAAGCGTAGCAAAATACATTGTAGTGTTAAATATTCAAACAGTAAAGTTGAGTTACAAGAAATAGAACATAAAAGCAGAGGTAGCACACCACGGCGGGAAAGAATTAAACAAAATTAAGCTCAAACAGACTGTTAGGGAAAAACTTTATCTACATGTACTGAAAGAACGTGACACCTGAGAAAACTTGAACAGGTTAAATGTTGTTCATGTCAAGCCAAGGATAACGCTTTCGAATAAGGGAAAAAAAAAGCTATTGCTCCGGTAATTTGTCCTTCAAATATTTCAGAACAGCTTTAGTTCCCTTATCCAAGACAGCCCTTCGAATGCTGAAACAAGTAAATAAATATTATTAAGATTTCCATCAATCAAGGTTATCAGTTCAATCCGGACACTTAGCTTTCCCCATGTCTTTGAGATGTAGCTGATCTTTATATTTTATCTCTGCTTTGTTAGGAACTTGGGACACATTGCATTTTACTTTGCATGAGTCCAATTGGTCAACTAAAATCTTATCTTTTCAACTAGTTAGGTACTACTGTACAAGCATAATAATAGGGGTAGATTACACTTCTTGCAATATAACATTTTCTTAATTTAGTCCATCTACAATTTTTGTGTGACTAAACTCCCTAAAGTTTTAGTTAAAAGTGAAAAACGCCAAAAGGTTAAAACTACTGTAGCTAAACTAAGCAAAGTTGATGAAATCTAACATTTTTCACTTTGATTTAAACTCAATGGCACAGAAAAACATTTAGAAGGTAAGTTAAAAGTGTTAAACCACACTCAGAATAAAGTATAATCTATCCTTGCATAAACATAGTAAAATTGATTAGTCCGAGAAGCATTGGAGGCCCCATCCACTTCAAGGGCACAACGTTGATTATGGAAGAGTTAAAAGAAAGGGGGAACACTTTCAAAATGCACCTCTTGACGGTGATCTTTTGAATTTATCTTTCTGGATTTGAAAATTCGTTGACTCTAAAGCAGAAATATAACAGATGCGAAAAACATTTATGCTTATCGAATCCAGACTATTGCCAAAAAATAGTTCTCCATTTTGAGAAAGCACATGGAAATCTAAGGGCAGGGGGAAGTTACCTTCTGAGAGGATTCCCTTCAAGTCTCAGTGCCTGAAGGCTTGGTTCCAGCAAACCCTGATCAAATCAATTACTTGAAAATAAATACAATGAATTGAAGTTATCAAAACAAGTTATGAGTTCCACAAACGCAGATGATAAAAATGATGGTATGGAAACAAAATAGATTCAATCAAATTTTCCTTTTTGACATTTTTACATGCCCAACAATGAGAGGTATAACACCCCTTATTTCTCAAAGTTTATGTTTGTATGAAAAACTATAATGGCAGTAAGCAAAAGAAAGCACCCCTATATATTAAATTAGAATTCACTCTCTTGTCCAAGGTAAATCTCATAGTGTATTCTCCCTTAAAAAATGACACACTGTCATTTTTAACCTTTTTTAAAATTTTAAATTCAGAATTTTTGAATTCATTATGCACATCCTTTTTGTGATGTTGATTATTTTTTTCCTTTTTAATCTATACCTTTTAGATTCTAATTAAAATAAGTACTTATGCCCTCTTTTAAATTTATTTATTTTTTCTCTCTTCGTTTATTCTTATATTTATGTAAATTTTAAAAATCTCGCACCATATATGGAACTTGCTAGTTAAGTCAACAAAATGAACACCCACTCTCCTCTTTTGAGAGAGGGGGCAGTGTTTGTTTCTCACCAGCTCTGGCGGAAGGGCTGAGATGCTGTTATCAGATAGGTCAAGCTCCTTGAGAGAAGTGAGGTTTTCTAACCCCTGAAAACAAGTTCATAGGTGAGCAAAGGGGGAAAAAAACAACAAAATTTAATAATTTTTAGATAGTTCATTGCATCTATTCTATTAGAATGTTTTACGGGATTGAGTTTGCGTGTGTGCATGCATGTGTATAACTCAGCCTTTAGAGGTCAATTGCACATGTAAGTCTGCTTTTTAATCACTTGTAATTTAAGAAAGTATGATAAGGAATGCACCAGAAGGAAAGCTTGGACCTTAACATTTTTCTCCTAAGAATATGCAACTGTAAAAACACATGATCTATAATAGAAAATAATGTGACGTGAACAACATTTTGACATGAAGAAACCCAAGAAAGTGGCAAGCCACTATTCAATGTTTAAGAGAAAAATTAGTGGACGTTAAAAAGTTAGTATCTAGCCAATATAAATTTTGATAAGATCTGAATCAAAGAGGTACACATACAAATTGCTGGACCCTAAGCTATAGTCATTGTATAACCTATATGAAGTTCAAAGATATTATCATAACTTTCACAGGATCTAAATAAATAAAAAAGAAGCATGAGCACAAGCCTAATCCCTATTATCTAGCTGAAAAAAAAAATTACCACTGGAATTGATTGAAGGGAATTCTGACTCAAGTTAAGGATCTGTAGTTGACGCAACCCCAATATATCTGATGGAACTTCACTGAGCCGCATTCTTCTGTTATGTTGTGATGTGAAAGTCATGCACAAGCTCCCAAGATAAAAGTAAAAGAAAGAAAAACTTGTGTGTGTGAAGGTGTCTTCTCACACTTGTCATAGCTTTCATGTAACCAACCTCAGGTAAAGCTCTTGCAGGTTTAGCAAACTAGAAAATGCAGGACCATCTAGTAATGAAGCTGCATTGCCACTTAGATCTAGGATCTGCAGCTTTGGCACCGCTTCAAAGCCATCTGAAGGTATCTATTGTTCAAGTAACTTGTAAGGTCAGTCATGTCATACTTTAGATTTGAATATTTAGCAGATAATAAAGCATGTGGATATAGAAATTTTATTACTGTTAAGGTTTCTGCACTACAATTTCTGAAAAATAGATAGAAAAAAAAAAAGTATATCTGCCAATGTTTCACTACATACAGCAGAGTACTTACCTCATGGAGTTGTAAGAAGTAATTACAACTAACATTTTGGGCACTGGTTACCGTTTCAGTTTCTCTCTCTCTCATCTCACTCACTCTATTTCTTTCTTTCTTTTTTTTTTTGGGGGGGGGGGGGGGGGAAGAATTGAGAAAGGTGGCAGATGGGAGCTGAGACTTGCTGAAATTGTTTACTCTTTAGTAAAAAGATAAGTCTTCCAACTTGTCAATCATACATCTATAAATGAACCCAAAACATACAGTTCTTCATTTAATTTATGTTAAGATAACTCTGTAAGTCATACGAACAGCAATGGCCACCAAACCATACACTCTCTTCTTCATTTAATTTATGTTAAGAAAAACAATTATTTGTATGGATTTTAAAATTGGAAAACCCATATGAACTATTTACAAAGCATTATGTCCTGCAATGGTCCTATATATGTGTACAGAGAAAAATAACAGAGAAGCTCTCAAATTATCAGTCATTACCTGCGTGAGGGGATTGTTGTCGAGCTTCAAACATGAAAGATTTGAAAGTGATTTAAGAATTGAACCTGGCCAGTCTTTAATTTGATTCTTAGATAAATTCAATGTCTGGATATTGCAAAACATACAAATTAATTAATAGAACATTTTAAGATCAGCAGCGGATCAATTTATGATCAGTATGCCTAAGTACTCTTCCTGAGTCTCAAACATCAATCAATCAATATATTATTTATTTAAAGCTGGACACATTATCATAACAGATCCATAAATTGCTTTGAGCATGAGTCTTGGTGAAATAATCACTCAACAGAGAGAAAAGGGCTTACCATACAGGAAAGTATTTACTTTATAAAAAGAAAATCTGAAAATAAAGAAGAAAACACGTCTGCCTGCCTTTAGATTAAGAGGGAAATTAAGGGTCATTACCATGATTTTTGTTGTAAAATATCGGTGTATGCACAAGAACTGGCACAGATAGAACTTAAAAATAAAATTGTAAACAATAATATTGTAGTATACAGAGAAATACATGAACCAAAAACAGAAACGGGTTGAAAAAATTAAAATCAGTTTATGAATACATGCAGCAAAACTAGTGCAGTTTGGGCTCTTCTGGTAAAAGGTAAGTAAAATTAATTACCAAAAAGTATGCCACAAAAAACAAGCAACCATTTTTATTTATTTGTTTTATGGAAAAGTAATACAACTCATTAGCATTTCTTTTCTAAAGATCTGTGCTCTTTTTGCAGATCAAAGTTGAAGGGTTCCTTTGTCCCAAACCATATGAAACATATATTAATTGAACTGCAAAATTATATTTAAAACAATCTACAGAGTACTTGGATGTTACAAACACATAGCTCTTTTTTTAACCTCACTGCAGAGTTTATATCTTCCAAACTTCAAATGACCAACATCACACATATCATTACTAGTCAATCAAAATGCAGACTAACATTCTTGTAAGTGAGGGACTCATATTAAGAGGATAACAATATCCATCAGTACCAGGAGATAACAGTGTTACCTCTTAACAGCATCCTATGGGAAATAAAATCAGAAGATGAGGTTTTACCTGGAGGGCAACACAAGAAGAAAGTTCGACTGGCAATTCCTGGATGGAGTTTCTGGAAAGATTAAGTTTTATGACCTCCCCTGATTCCCATACTTCTGATGGAACAACACTCAACCCCAACCCCTCCATAGACAGTTCCTGGATACAATTCAAAACAGAATTGCAATTGGTGAGGAAATGAATGTCTTGCCAAAATAAATTGAAGAGCAAAGAAAACACAATATTGAACAGAAGTGTCTGCATCAATTTAATGAATCTCAAAAGTTATCAAAGGCATATATAGGTTTGGTGGGTTTCTTGTTAGTCTATAATGTGATTACACAACTTAGAAAAAGATAATAACATAAATGAATCCTTTGTCAAACTACAATGTCATCAACTTAGATGTTAAAATCAGGATTGATAATATAACAAACATACTCAATTGTTGTTATCTTCAACCCAAAAGGATTCTTAAATTCCCACCACTCCAACCAAATTCTCTTATCAAAAGAAATATAACAAAACAAAAAATCTAGATTTTGTTCCGCTTTCTATCATAAGATAGATGACCTTGCATTAGAATATTTAAGTATCATCTAGTCTCTATTAGCAGAAGAATATACAGAATGATTTATGTGAAAATACTGAGTAATTTCAAGCAATTAACTGACACTAGTATTATTGTCATGCAACTGCACAAAGTGAAGATCCCATTGAGGCAATTACTGTGCATAGGGATATCAAAACAGTGACACAGACTATCAACAGTTTATGATAAAAAAGAAACCTGTGCAATCTATGGAATGAATATTTTCCTCTTCAAGAGATGCAATACCTTTGAAGTGAGAGACAATCGGGTAGCCATTGCAATCACCTCTTCTTTTGTAGTGGTGATAGCTTCAGAATCTGCAGAAGAAATTTAAAATATTATATCTAACAAAAGCAACATGCTCAAGTTTAATTATAAGCATAATATATCTAAAGTGTAACATACCTTCACCTTCAGAAAGTCTACTTCGGAGAAATTTCAGTAATGCTGGTGTAGGTCCAGATACTAATGAGCTGTGAGAAAAAGCGTCAGTTAAGAAAAAACTTATGCATATAAATATTGACAACAGAATGGATCAAGCCATTTCCTATACCTTCGAAGAGTCCTCAAAGGATTTCCACTAAGCAGAAGTTTCCTCAAGGTAGTCATCTTGCCTACACAAGAAAGAGAAATACAAAAATATTTATTTCTTCCTTCATGTTGAGTTATTTTCATATTATTTTTAACTTCTTCAACTTACAAGACCATCATACTGTAAGGAAGTTGAGAGGTTCTATGGCCCATTGACTGAATATTCAGGTAAAACATAAAATTGAGCATAAGTTCAGATTCTTTCAGGTGGTGGTATTCCACTGACTAGATGAGATTGCTAAAGAAATTAGACCATAAAATTTGTTGGGATGCAGAATAAACAACTCTCTTGACGACAATGTGAATCCCAGGTATCAAATTCCTCTTAAAATTCAACAATGTTGATAAGAGAAACGTTTACATTGGGCAAAATGATAAATCATACCCAGACATTGCAGGCACCAAATTATTGTTTATTTAGAACTCTTTTGTCACAGAAAATGTTGCGTAGTTTATACAATTTTATCACTTACAGTTCCTTTGCAATTCTTTGAGAGACCGAAATTGGTACAAAGAGTGTTGAGACAGAAAATTTGTATTCACTTATATTGTCAGTACAAACTCATACTGTTCTCATTGGTTACATACAGTTGTTCTCTATCAAAAATATGGAAAATTGTACCTATCATTGTACCAAAATTTGCTGACCTTACCCATTTCAGGGGGTAACCCACTCAATGAATTGTTTGAAAGATCCAAAACTAAAAGACTCAATTTGCATGCCTCCACTGGATATTCCTTCAGCTGTGCATACACAAACAATAAGCAAGTTAATTAATAACCATCTGTTAAGGGAGAAGAAAATATAGCATCGGAAGAAAAAATGGCAATATACTTATTATTGCCACTATTTCAACAAAATTATAAAGACGAGAGCTTTCTTCCAACATAATCGAAGTAATTACAAATGAAAATGATTTCAATCTTTATTTTGTGAATATTAGAATTAACTTATTTTAAAAACAGATTTCTTTTTGGTTAGCTTCCTGAGGAAAATTTTGGGAAAAAAACCTATTATTTCCCCCAAAATAATTTCCAAAATACGCTATTAGTTACCTTGTTAGAGTGAAGATCTAAAGTTCCAAGTCGAGAAAGGGCACCTATCTCCACTGGTACTGTAGAAATACTATTATTCCTAAATTGAGAGGAAAAATAGAGTCCAATAAGTATCAGAAGTGCAGAAGTTTTGAATAGAAGAAAACCAAACGCATAGCATGATTTTAATAATATGAAGACTTGCATCGGAATAGGTTAGAATTTGACCCCAAATAAAGCTCTGTAAGTGAATGACAGCCAATGATTGATGAAGGGATAGCTGATATTCCTGCACAGATACATGTACAATTTCTAAAGTCAAGATGAAAAATGGATAAAATAGAAGCTGACCTATTGTTTAAAGAACTCACTGTTTTGATGGAGGTCAAGACGAATTAAACGAGAAAGGCCTCCAATGCTGACTGGTATACAATTCAGTAAATTTTTTGCTGCAACAGTGGAAAGAAGTTTACCAAATCAGAGGATTTACAAATAAGAACGAATAACTAATTGATAACACACATGTGTTTGAAGAGAACAAAGTCTCTTACATGCATTGAATTCAGTAAGTGCTGTCCATGATGAAATGAGATTTTCAGATATCCCTGTTATTTTGTTTCCCTGGCAAAGAAAAAGGGCAATATTGTCAAAGCACTTGTTAATGAAACTGAAAATTTTCAAAGGTTTAAGGAGATGTTTGTTGTCAACTAATATATTAAGTTTAGCTACTAACTATTACCTCCACATCTAGCTTAGACAATTTCACACAATTTGCTAAATCTTCTGGCAAGCCTGCAATAAGATTGTTTGATCCCTGGCAAAGAAGTATTTTAAGTCTCATTTCATCAAATAGCATGTAAATGACCATATGAATATAGACCAACAAATAGCTAACTTATATAACAGATTTCAGTTCAATTGCAAAGGTCTACATGGAAAATCCCACAGCCCCTAATTTAAACTTAAAGTAAGTACAATCTGCATCACTAGATTAAAGTATGTTGAATAACCTAAAGCAAAAACCAAGGAAAAAAAAATATAATAAAAAAGATAAAATGAAAAATCAATTTGCTAAAATTCTCCCCATTTGTTTAACGTTGGGGTTGTAGGGATGTAATTTATATCTGGTGATGACTATTATCAAGACCATCCAGTGAAGTCAGAGGGTCACAAGATTAAAAATATCCACAATATCACACTATAATCAAATTTAAAATTCAAGGCTCAAGGGGTAACAGGCAACTGTAGCAATAATGAAAAAGATGTTTGACAGTCTGCACAGCATTAGCTTAAGTTCTTACATGTGATGTTACAAAAACAGGTTCAAGCCTGTGTTGCTTCTTAAGAAACCCACCATATTTTGTGGTCTAAAGCAGAAATGGATTGCACATTAAGAGGTGAGAAGAAACTTCGGAAATGGCAGGTAATTTAGAAGTCAAAAGGAAGTGGCACACAGATAAAGAGAATTCTAGAAATGCAACATGCACATGTACAGTTAGGTAACCAGAAACTGAAAAAATCCTTTTGGAGCAAGCAAATAATTTAGCCAACAAATTGGTGTACACCACTTTCATTATCGCAAGGGGGACTCTTCCTTAATCATGCACCACCCCCGCCCCCAAAAAAATACTCTCCATTCTTTGGATTGAAGTTTGGAATATGACCTTAGAAGTATCTCAGTACCAATCTGTAGGTGCTTTCTGATGTTAACATAGATGCAAAGTGAGCTCTTAATGAAGCATAACACTCGGTCCCCATTGGACAAAGACTATGTCAGACACTTGACTGCTCCTAACTGTACTTCACAATTTTTTTACTCTTATTTTTTAAACTTTTATTCCAATAAAAATGAAAATATCACAATAATTAAATAAATTATAGAACTTTATTATGTTTACAATCAATCATGCTTACTTTTAAACACTGATTCTCTCTTTTGATTTCAGACTTGTGTTTTATGTTTAAGTTATACCAATTTATTCGTTGTGTTATAGCTGTTTTCAATATTTTTAGTTAGTCATGAGACATATCTGTATCCCATTCTGTATATGTGCTTACCAGTGAGCTCCTACAACAAAATTTCATTTAGACCTCTCAAAAAACATAAGCTAGATAGCACTCCCAGGTTTAATTCAAAATAATCACGAGCATTATTTGAACGAACCACTTATATGTCAGATAAGCAGCATTACCCAACCACGCAACTAACATCCACACCCGGCAGTTTCAGCAACACAAGGCTATTATTACCTTTAAGTCCGACAATTCTAAGCATCTGCCAAGCGAGCTAGGAAGTTCTGTGAGCCGATTATTAGAACAATCAAGCCTAAACACATACATGCAAAAACTGAGTGATTTACAAGCAACACAAGCAAACAGAGTACAAAAGGAAGTCATAATTCTCATATCAGCCTACAAAAAAAATAACACAGAATTCAGCATACTTCACAAGCGAGGCAGCTGATCCAATCTCCTCCGGTATTTTAAGTATCGAATTGAACGAAACATCCAACATTTTCAACTGAAGCAGCCTGTGAATCAGAATCAACCGACAACGAAAATCCAGCATCAAATGTGAAAATTGAAAATTACTCAGTTAAATAAGTAAAATCCAAATGTTCCCAAAACTCACTCTCCTATAGCAGCGGGAAGCTGTGAAAGACAGTTATGACTAAGATTCAAAACAGCAAGAAACGGCAAATTTCTCAGATCTTCCTTCAACGATTCAATACTATTGTGAGCCAGAATAAGCTTCTGAAGCTCCACAGCCTGAAAATGCCATTTCATTTCATTTCAAAGTCCTGTTCCATCTTCCAAACCAAAAAACGACATTTCAGCTCATTTTGTTTCATTTCAGTTTAATTTGATAGGTACAGTACCTCCCACCACTTGTCGTCGCCGCCGAGCCCCTCCAGATTCCGATAAACCTCATCTGGAACTTCTCTGCAAATCAAACAGCAACAATAACAACAAAACGCGCGAATGAATAAAATGAAAGGAAGAAGAGAACGTGGACGAAGAAATGAATGGAGCAATGGAGAGAGCTATGCTTGCCTGAGGGAGCGATTGGAGAGGTTGAGAGAACCAGAGGCTCTCGCTGCTTTCAGCAATCGATCCATGGCACCGTGCTCTGATCAGATCCAAAGGAGAGGGACAATGGCATCAAGATTCAATTAATTTTCAAAAGGATAATAATACAGTAGAATTTCTTTTCTAGCATCACAAGACAAGAAGTAACAATTCACATGGTAGTGTGTAAATATACTTTTTCTTTTTTGGATTTGGTGCAATTTGAATTCAGTTTGGTGTTTCAACCATTACTACATTGTTAGGAGTAATTGTTGAACTAAAATTAAAATTATATAATAGTAACTCTATGAATATTTATTTTATAACCACGTTAATATACTAGTTTAATATAAAAAATTAAAATGAGTGACAGTAAATCTATGAAAGTGATAATAAACACACTCAAGAAAACACTGGTTCAGTTCATAAAAAAAATATAAAAAAAACACTGGTTCAGTTTACGTGAGATCATGCAAAAGTACTTACTTGAAAAAAATAATAAAAGAAACAAAATAAATAATAACTCTTCATGAATTAAAATTAGTTTATACAATAAATTAAAAAATATTTTTAAAAACATAAAATAACCTAAAATAAATTTAACTTGTAGAATTTTTTTTATTTTACTTTCTATTTTTCAAGTACTTATATTTAAATTAAATCATTGCATTTTATAAATACATTTAATTAAACTTGTACTTTTTTTATATGTAATATTTTTAATTTGTTTATTATATGAAAATTTTTAATTAACTTACATGTGTAAAATTATTTATATATTCGACTGTTCAGAAAAAAAATTGAGTAGCGTATTAAAAAAATTATAACTTTTAGAGTTGTATTTATTTTAATAAAAATTATATCACTTATAAAATAAATAAATTTTATGACATAAACTTTATATAAAAATATTAGTTTCTAAATATGATAAACCAAATTAATGAATAAAAATTAATTTAAATATTTAATAAAAACAAAATTAAAAAAAGTTTTTCACGTAAACAAAACAAAAAAATTAAATATTACGTATATGCTTTGATTTTAAAAAAATTATAAAAATATCTTAATTTTTTATATATAGAAGTCAATTTATATAAAAAAAAAATTTGTTTGACTTTGTATAAAGTTAAATAAAATAGTTTTTACTTTTTATGCATCTAATGTATTGAATATTATATAAATAATTTTGAAAAATATTTTAAATTAACTTTTTATCTTCTTATGTATGAACAAAATAATAAATTTTTAATGAAAAATATGAATGTCATTTGATTGACATTGTTTTATTCCTAGAAAGAAATGTAACATCTTGTATGTAACTATTATAATTATGAAAAAATTTATGATTATAATCATGGACAAAGTAATAAAAAAATATACATTTTTTCTATCAAAAGTAAAAAAATAGTGAAAAAATTGAAAAGAGCAAAATTAACTAAAATAATAAAAATATAAAAGAAATATGTTATTGTTGAAGGAGCAAAGTTCACTAGTTTCGTACATTAAAACGTCTTATTAATTTTTATCATAAATTAATTAAAAATAAAAGTAATATTGAAAATAAATTTTATCTGTGAAAAAGATAATTATTTTTATTATAGTCATATAAATATCAATTTACTTAGTCAGATTGATCATTTTTTAAAAAATTTACCATCTAAAAATAGAAGTGTGCAAAATTGAGAAAGTGTAAAAAATAATTAAGATTTTTTAAATATTACTCTCTCTAATCTTTATTTACTTTGTTTTAATAACAAACCGTAGATTAAAAATTTACTTTTAAACTGGCTAATAATAAATCAATCAAATTAAGAGTTTGTTTGTATTTTGTCTCTATACACACAGTCAGACAATAATTAACACTAATATGTTAGGGGCTGTTTAGTATAATTAGTGTAGCCAAGTTTAGAAAGGTCAACCTACAGTGCAGTCTAACCAAGTTAAAGCAATGCAACTTGAATTTTTTAAAAATAGCAAATGTATAACATTAATTAATTTGAAGTTCTTTTTAAACTTTTTTTTTTTAATTAAGAGAGGATACATTTTTACTTTTCTATTTCACACTTTGATTCACTTTAAAAGAATCAAATAAGCTTAAATAATGCTACATTTTTATTTTGTTATTAATTCTTTAAAACTTATATTGTTATATCACTGTTATAATTAAAAATTATTTAGAGAGTTATTATGATTAAAATTTGTAACTCTCTTAATTCATATTATTTAACTTAGATGAAATGTCACGTGGTACTGTATATATCAATAATATTATTTATTTAATCTTGATTATATATTTTTAAATACAGGTTACAAAATTATTATTCTTATCTTATGACTCTACTTTGCAACCACTGCCTTTCCTCGTGTTTTGCGTGGTAGACATGTTTTCTGCCAATACCCAGTTATTTGTTCATTAAGTTGTCCTTGCACAGTAACAAATACCCTACCATATAAAAATAATTTTAATTTTATAAGATTTAAATTTATTTATAATTTTAGTTTTTTAATTGTTTATTTTTAAAATTTTTATCTAATATTTGATAAAAATAAAATAAACATATGACACGTTATTAATTTGTATAACTAATAAAAAGTATTTAAATAAATACATAAAATATAATGAACATTTTATTTTTATTTAATAATTATTATATGTAAATATATATTTTATAAATTTGTGAGTACCATGATATATTATGTGTTTATTCTATTTTTATTAATCATTTAACAAAAATTTGAATAATTAAAAAATGAGAAAAAGTTAAATATTAGCCACTAAAATTAGAAAAATCAAAATCATATGTATGGCCACATAAAAATATAATTTTTTTTTATAATATCTTTATGCTGTAATACGTTTAAGTGGGCATGATTTCTTGCACTCATCATTTAAAATATGTGTTCAAATGAGAAATTTTTAAACATTTTGTTATTAATTAAATTCTTATTTTATTTTTCAAGAGAGTTGACGTTTTAAATTTTAGTTTCTAAAAAATTAAAAATATTACATTAATCTTTACTTTTATCTCTGTTAAATATTTAAGTTTCTGAATTCAGACTTTGTTAATAAATAATAATAATAACACATGTAATTAATTAATAATAAAAATAATGTCATATGTGGTAGAGTATTTTTCTAAACTCCTCTTAACCTCTCAATTCTCCTAAATACAATTTTCAAACATGATTTTAATGTTTAAAATTAAAAATATATATTTTCTTTTTATTTTAGTATTACCCGAATGATTTGATCATTCACGATTAAAACATTCTAGCATCATTTGACTTGCATGGTCGATCCATCTAATAAAAAAGAACTTAATTGTTATTATATTTGGTTTATTGTTCTCTATATTATACGAGGATAATTCTAAACCTATTTCTAATATAATAAAATTAAGTTAATATAACTACGTAGATATTATAAAGCAACAACTGACAAATCACAGTAAAAGTTAAGAATTATCAAAAATATTTGAGCCAATAGAATTTCTGCCAATCTTATTTCAACTGTAAGTATTGAGACAGGTGTCTAATTGTATAATACTACGTTTGATCTTTTTTATAAAAAATAAAAAAAAACAGTAAGATTAAGTAAAAAAATTAAATTAATTATATTTTTTATAAATATAAATTTTATTTTTAAAATATTTATAATATTAAATAATTTAGTTAATAATTTATATATTTAATAATATTAATAAAAATTATAAAAAATATTTAATAATTAATGTATCTTAAATTTATTATTTATTTTTTATAATAAGTTGGAAGAAGATCTTCCATTATGTTTCTTATAAAAGTTCAGAAAGGATTTTCGAAGTCTTCGGTACAAGAGTTATGTGTCTAGTATGATAAATCACAAGAACAAAAGATAATGCTAGAAAGGAAACTAACTGTCGTGCTGACACTACTTTACTGTGTTCATTTTCATGTCCAAACTTGTCATCAAGTTGAAGATGGAATCAGCAGATCTCAATTCCCAAAAGGGTTCCTCTTCGGAACAAGTACTTCCTCATACCAGGTACATGTTTAGTTGTTTACTGTAACTTTCCCAGAGATTGGTTTTCCCTTTTTTTTTTGTTTCTTAAATATCTAAAATTTGTTGTTCTTTGTAATGGGTTTTTTCTTTTTTCTCAAAAAAATAGATTGAAGGAGCACCTCTTGAAGATGGCAAGGGTTTAAGCAACTGGGATTTTTTCAGTCATATACCTGGTATATGGTGATTGTTGATCCCATTTTAGTCTACCTTGAGTGCTAGTTTTGTATGCAGTTATAGAATTATATTATGAAAATGAACGATCACTATGCGATTTAATAAATTTTCAGGAAATATAAACAATAATGAGACTGGAGACATAGCAGATGATCATTATCATCGTTATTTGGTATATTTATTTCAGCTTTACATTTTACCTGCTTTTGTTATGCTTTGACAAGTACTTTCTTAATCATTTGTACTTCAGGAAGACATCAAGTTAATGTCCTCTCTTGGAATAAATGTATATCGATTTTCAATATCATGGGCCAGGATCCTACCTAGTAAGTAATTAACAATTCACATAACTAGTTCCCATAATTTGATCTTTGAAATTTTCAGCTTAATTTGATCTTCATGAGCTGTAACAGGAGGGATATATGGGGACATAAATCCAAGTGGGATTATATTCTACAACAAGATTATCGACAATCTTCTGCTTAGAGGTGCAGTTATGGTGTCCACTTGGTTCTTTGTTTTTCAAAAGGACAAAACTTATATGTTGTTCTTTAGGTGTTGGTAGTGCTGTTTACTAATTAAAATTAGAGTTTTATTTTAATAAATATTTGCATTTAATGTTATGACAGATTATTGTGGTAAAACTTTTAATATTGATTAATAAATACCACCAACAATACTTAAGGAATTGCACCTAAGTTTTGTCCTTTTCAAAATGCTAACTTGTTTTGGCTTTTTTGAGTGATGGCATTCAGTTTTGGTATGTGTCAAGCCATAAGAACTAACTATCCTAAAAAGTAAAAGCTAAAGGTGTTAACAGAACCTCATAAATGGTGTTTTATATTGACATTGTCCTTTGCTGAACCTAAATGTGAACATGGTCTGCTTAATCCAGGGGTTGAACCATTTGTGACAATTCACCATCATGACTTTCCACAAGAACTGGAAGAAAGATATGGTGGTTGGCTTAGCCCCCTAATACAGTAAATTCACCATTCTAATCTTTTTCTAACTCCTATGATATATGGCAATCCTAAAGAAATTTGGGAATTTGTCACTTCTTCAATGAATCATCCTGTAAGGTGATGAATTCCCTTACATAATTGAAGTCTGAAAGTTAAAGCTAAGAGAACCTTGATATTTTGATAACAGTGTGCTTCTTTGTTGTAGGGGAGATTTTGTTCACTTTGCTGAAATTTGTTTTAAGAGCTTTGGAGACAGGGTTAAGTATTGGGCCACCATCAATGAGCCGAACTTGTATGCAGACATGGCTTTTATAAGGGGAACATACCCCCCAGGTCACTGTTCTCCACCTTTTGGAAATTGTTATGCTGGTAACTCTGATGTTGAGCCTCTCATTGCGATGCATAATATGTTACTGTCACATGCCAAGGCTGTTGAATTATACCGCAAGCACTTTCAGGTAACAAAAACTGGGCTTAGATTGAAGGAATTTGTTATCACATTTTCTTAGTTAGGGGAAGAGGATTATAGGACAAGACGGGTGCTTAATTAATAAGCATTGATGCTATTCCAGGCAACGCAAGGTGGAACCATTGGCATTATTGCACATACCTTTATGTATGAACCTTTTAGAGATGAAGAATTTGATAGACAAGCTGTGAAAAGGGCCTTGGCTTTTGTCATAGCTTGGTAAGTTGTGTTCAAAAGTACCATTTAAAACCTACAATAAAACCAAAGGAAAAACAAGAAGAGCTGACAATCATGCTAACATATACTATTATATACATTATTCTTATAAATAATTAGCCGCACCTGTTCCTCTCATTTTTTCTGAAAACTTTTTCTGGTTTTTTGAAGGTGCTTAGATCCCTTGGTTTTTGGTGAGTACCCTGATGAGATGCAATCAATTCTTGGGAGCCAGTTGCCAAGGTTCTCTCCTAAGGAGAAGAGTCTCATAAAAGGCAGTCTTGACTTCATTGGCATCAATCACTATGGAACTCTCTATGCCAAGGACTGCTCCCTCTCTGCTTGTTCTCTTGGAGCAGATCATCCAATAAGAGGCTACGTGGAAACAACAGGAATGAGAGATGGCATTCCAATTGGTGATCAGGTACATTTATGCACTTCAGCTGCTCTTGTCATTGTGTTATATTGGTTAGTGTTACTTAAATTTTGATGAAGAATTTGGTGTTGGACATAATATTGGATATGATTTCTTTTATTTTAAGCAGACAGGAATAGCAAGGTTCTTTGTGGTTCCAAAGGGCATGGAAAAGATTGTAGACTACATTAAGATAAGATACCATAACATGCCCATGTATATTACAGAAAATGGTGCGTGAATATTAAGATACATTAGACGATCTCATTTTCTCCCATTTGTTTTCTCTTTGGCATGGTTGCTTGATCAATTGAGTAAAATAATGTCAAACACCTTACCTTGAATTAAGGGATGAAGGACATTGCCTATTAATATTGAAGGTTGCTTTTTGGTTTGAGGTATGATAAGTTAATAAACAAATTTTGGTGGCTACATAAATTTGTTTCAGGATATTCATTACCACCTAAACCGGATGTGACAATGCATGATCTTATACAAGATTTTAAACGAATAGAGTATCATAAAGCCTACCTTGCAGCTCTGCTTAGAGCCATAAGGTGAGTGATGGGGACTAATAGATGAGTAGTAGCCTTGTTTTAGGCTTATTTTCAATTACTTTGTTAATTGACAAGGGCTAGTTTTATTATGTGTAGGAAAGGTGCAGATGTAAGAGGGTATCTGATATGGTCATTGATGGACAACTTTGAATGGGCAAGCGGCTATGACATAAGATTTGGGCTTTACTATGTGGATAGACAGACTCTTGAAAGAATTCCTAAACTTTCTGTTCAATGGTTTTCTAGTTTCCTCAACAACACTAGCCACACCAACAAAGAAGACTTGAGTGAGCAATTTCTTAGAAGCAAAGATGTGACAAGTGCTGCTTTCAAAATATTTGAACTAGCGGAATGCATGGATAATAGTGTATGATCCCACGCCTAAACTTTACATTGTTGCAGTTTCCCTGCTTTTAGTTAAAGTTTCTTCGTTAGTTAAGTGTATATACAAATCGAGTCTTTCTTATTCAGATTCCACTCATTCCACTATGTTCTACAGATATGCAATTCACAAACATGGATCTAAAAGCCGTCAAGCTATCACACCAAGAAAATATACCCATCCAACTATCCATTACAGCTTTTTGGATGAAGGGGGCTTGCAGGGTGGTTATTAATTTCCTCAGTAATGAATTCATGAATTGTCCCATCATTTTATTTACATGCCTATGTACAAATTTGCATGCATTTATTTCCAAATGTGTATTTTTCTGTCACATTATGGTATCTTTTCTTGGCTCCTGCAACAAGTTACATGGACGAGAAGGTGTTACTTAAATGGCAAGACAAGACTTGAATGTAGATGTTACTTGATATATTTTCAATGTGGCTATTTTTATGTTCATGATGGAACATCAAATTTGTATCATGGGAACACCCACGGTGATGATAATTTAAATCTCCTATTTAGATGTAATCAAATCTCATTAGTCATTAGGCACCCTTTTTAACTGGGTGCTAAAAAATGTAGCAGGGTTCAAATAGTGTAGTAATAAGTTGATATACTGTGTATAAGAAATGGTTAGTCATAAATTATTCTTGGGAAAAATTTACAATTTTATTAAATTGTTTTTCACAAACTATACATTTTTCACAAAATTTAAGTTCTATAACGTTTTTAAAAAAATAAAGAAAATAAGACTTTTCCATTATTCTATAACAACATTGAGACGAATATTTTTCACATAGAAAGAAAAATAAATAAATCCTGACTTTCAAGCTTACTTTTTTAACAGGACCGTTGTGTTTAAAAAATTATTTTCTGTTTTAATCTTTAATTATGAGATATTCACTTTGTTTTTATTATATTTTGTTTTAAGAACTTGTATGAATAACTTTTTTTTTTATTTTACTGTTTTTATATAATCTTTTAGAACAAAGAATAAGATGAAAACGATATGATATAATATAGTTTCTAAAATGCCCCTTAATTTAAATACTGTAAATAAATCCTAACAGTATGGTCTAGTCTTTACCGGAGCTTTTTTGCCTTTGTATTTTCATTTTTATTCTTTTTTTGGGTCAAGGTTTTTTTTTATTCGGTTCCAGGCTCGCTCACTAACTTTACTTTGGGCCCAAGATTCAATCATGTGGCCAAAACAGTTTAATGCTCCCACTGTCATGAATAATAAAAAAATTAAATAAAATTTTAATCTCTATACTTTAATAATTTTTTAAATTTAATTCTTATGTTTTAATAATTTTTTTTATAGTGTCTCTTGGTGACATAGTCCAATAAAAAAATTGATATTTAATAATTTTTAATTGACTGAACTAAAAATAAAAATTTATAAAAATATAAGAACTAAAAAAATATTATTTAAATGTTTAAATATATTTAAGAGAAAAATTCCCACTGTTTGTCTCAGCCGAACCAAAGCAAAAAAAGTTGACCAACAAAAGTACTTTGACCGAAGAAGCAAAGGAAAACCCTAATCCCAATTGTGCTTGGCGGTATCGCTCTTTCAGTTCAGTTGCAACAAACGAAGTTGAACTTCACCACTCTCTCGCTCTCTGCAATGGCGAAGAAGAAGGAGAAGAAGGTGAACGTCTCCGGAAAACCGAAGCACTCTCTCGACGTTAATCGCAGCAATGACAGCAAGAAGGAGTCGCGCTCCGCCGCCACCGTACGCCGCCTCAAGATGTACAACACTAGGCCCGTTCGTGACCGCAAGGGAAAAGTCCTCTCCAACGAGTTTCAATCAAAGGACCTTCCCTCCACGCGAATCCAACCTGATCGCCGATGGTTCGGTTAGTCCAATTTCACTGTAAATTAAATCAAATAATTATCGTTATTCTTCAACTTGAACTTGTGAATTTCACGATTCGCAGGGAACACTCGGGTTGTGAATCAGAAAGAGCTCGAGTTCTTCCGAGAAGAGCTGCAGAGCCGCATGTCGAGTAGCTACAATGTTATTCTCAAGGAGAAGAAACTTCCACTGTCACTCCTCAACGATCACCAGAAGGTTTGTTTATTATGCTGCTTAATTGGTGAATGAGTTAATTGTGTGTTTTATTAAACTGATAAAAAATGATAATGAATTTACTGATTTGTGGAATTTGAATGTAGCAAGCCAGGGTTCACCTTCTTGATAGAGAGCCTTTCCAAGATGCATTTGGACCTAAGACTAAAAGAAAGCGTCCCAGCCTCTTGGCGGCTGATTATGAGTCCTTAGTTAAGAAAGCTGATGGTTCTCAAGGTAAATGTCGCTATTTCTCTGTAAATTAGTATGTTGCATGTGTAATGGGGTTGTGTTGTCATCATTAAGAGTTTAGGGCGTGTTTGTTTTTAAGAGACTGGTTTTTCAGTGCAAAATATGTTTAAGAAATTCATAGTAATTTGACAAGGTGTGTGTTTGGTTCAGCTTATTTCCGGGAAATAATTATTTCTCTTAGCTTTCTTAGAGTGATTTAGAAAAATAAGTATAATTTCCTTAAAATGAAGCTAATCCAGACGTGCTAAAGTTTTCCAGAAGAAAGTTTATTTAGTGTTCCTCTAAACAGTTAGAAATAATAGCTTAAATGTCATATTATACAAATTATTTTGTCTTTTCTTATCTAAAGACTCGCTTAGTCTGTTATTTGTTTCTCATTGTCATTGGTGTACTTAATGCTTTTGGTTAATTAAAACCGAATTATACATTTTTTTGTTTCCTTTGTGGGAATGCTTGTTTTATGTGACTGGTCATTTCTTCAACCAAATATTGTTCTACTTAATCTAATTACTGTTATGTTTTTCTCTTACATTACTTTGCAGAGGCTTTTGAACAGAAGTATGATTCAGCTGTATCTGCAGAAACTAGTGATGGAGATGGATTTAGAGATTTAGTGCGCCATACCATGTTTGAAAAGGGTCAAAGTAAACGCATATGGGGCGAGCTTTACAAAGTGATAGATTCTTCGGATGTTGTTGTCCAGGTAGTATCTCATTTTTTGCTGAGATTTTGTTGAACATTTCACATAAGTCTATCTGAAGTGTCATGGTTGTGCATGTTCATGTTAGATGATATGATTTTGTGCAAAATGTGCTTTATGATGCACATTTTTGTTTCAAATATGTATGTTATGTTTCTCTGTTAATGTATTGTAATTTGTAAACATTATTTTGAATTTTAGAAAAAATTGTAATGGTTAATGTGTTCCGCTTTTTATAGCATCTTTCTTGATATGGTTGTTGAGTGCTTGTTTAAGTTGAAGAGTCTATGGTTGGTCAGATTTCTCTTGACTTCTTGATTCCTTGAAGTTGTACCACATATCCTTCCTCTCCTACTGAACATTGAATACTTTATATATCCTAATGCAGGTTCTAGATGCAAGGGACCCACAAGGCACAAGATGTTACCATTTAGAGAAGCATTTGAAGGAAAATTGCAAGCACAAACACATGGTGCTTTTATTGAACAAGGTTAGTAACATATTTTTTTGGTACTTGGCATTGCCCTAAAATGTTGGCAAGTGCCACAAATTGCCATTATGCAACATAAAACATTTTACATCTGTTTTTTCTTTTTTTTTCCCCTTTCAGTGTGATCTAGTTCCTGCTTGGGCAACAAAAGGATGGCTTAGAGTTTTGTCAAAAGAATTTCCAACTCTAGCATTCCATGCAAGCATTAATAAGTCCTTTGGAAAAGTATTTCTGATACACTTACCTTAATCTTTATTTAGTTTGTTTACTTTATCTGCCAATTTACTGTAATATGTGCTGCTTCATGGAAAGTAAATAACTGAAAGTTGAGATAACACGTTTCTTTCCTCTCCTTCAACTATTCTGAATATGCTTGTATTTGCTGATTTCTTATTGGTCATTATTGTGTTTAGGGTTCACTTCTATCAGTTCTGAGACAATTTGCGCGATTGAAACGCGATAAGCAAGCAATATCTGTTGGATTTGTTGGATATCCAAATGTTGGGAAGTCATCAGTAATCAATACATTGAGAACAAAGAATGTAATGCTTCTTTCTCCTTTACTGCTTCTGATTTTTGCTTAAGTTGCTGTAGTGAGTTTGTGTGGACATTAATGCAAGCATAGAAAGCACAAATATTTTCCCAAATCCTTGCAGGGTTCAAAATCTTAAGTTTTTGTTGTTGAATAATCATTTTAACATGTTGATTGACATTTGTCCTGTAACTCCCATTACATAAGGTTTGCAAGGTTGCTCCAATTCCAGGGGAAACAAAAGTCTGGCAGTATATAACTCTTACAAAGAGGATCTTTCTAATTGATTGTCCAGGTGTTGTCTACCACAATAATGATTCTGAAACAGATGTTGTGTTGAAGGGTGTGGTAGGTTTCCTCTTGCTCTCTCTTATTTTGGTTGTCATTTTCTTTAATGAAGAATGTTTTGTTCAGGGATGTAAATTTAATAAAACATGATGACATCATTTAATTGTAGGTGACTTCACATAATGGGATAAGGACTTTGTTGTTGTAATTTATTGATAGTGCTTTTCTTTGCTATGGAAATAAAAAGAATAGGTGACTGTTTATTCATATGGTGTAATCCTATTTTGTTGGGTTGTATTTTATTTGTTGTGGTTTGTTGAACTTATGTCCAGAAAGAACTATTCTTAGATTTTGTAAGTCTAAATGACTAGTATATTAACTAATTTGGCGGGTATAGACGTGCAAGTGGTACTATTCATAGCTGTCATGCCATCAAATTGTGATTGTGATCAATATTGCTACCCGCTTGTGTTGATTTGTCAGAATGGTGACATCTATTATTGATATGATATGTGGTAGTATATCTGAGTGATATTGCGAGTATCAACTTGACATTTCTTGAATGTCCATAGCTTTTATTTGGTTATGTTCTACAATATATTGTGATTTTCTGGCGTCATGTTCTGTTTTGCTTGTCCAATAGATAATTTACTCTTTGCTTATTGTTATAAAGGTCCCTGTGGAATTAATTTTGCATATTAGTTGGTAAATATATTCTTATTATTATAACACCCAGGCTAATACTTAAGTTGCTTTCAGGTACGTGTAACAAACTTGAAAGATGCTGCAGACCATATAGGTGAGGTTTTGAAACGTGTGAAGAAAGAGCATTTGGAAAGAGCATATAGAATAAAAGAGTGGTATGGTTCTCTGTCCCTTGAACATAATGGTGACAAACAGATCTGTGTAAAGTGTGGCCCCCTTTTGTGTTCTTGTGGTTGCTGAAATCAATCAAAATTTACCAATCTATCTTCATCTTTGATAAGGTGCTGTTGTAGTTGTTAGAAAACACCATTCTCATGACATGTCATAGAATCAAACCCACGTAACAACTATAGACTATTGAAAGTATAGGCAAACAAAAACCGACCCTATTATACGAGACAGCAACTTCTCACCCAGTTTATCTCTCTGTGCTGGCACCTGCTAAGATTTTTTTTAGTGCCTATATTAGCTTCTGGTGATAGAATGTGCACAGTAAGGGAGCAATGACCTGAAATTTATGACTATTACATGTAATACTTGTTCACCATGATTTGCTTATCTGTACGTCATTATAGCATATGTACAATAATTTGGTGTTCAGTAATCTTTTTTCTTGTCATCAGGGATGATGAAAATGACTTCTTACTTCAGCTTTGCAAATCAACTGGCAAACTTCTGAAGGTATTCTTCTTGAGTTTATCTAAATTCCTAGTTTCATATTTGATAATTATAAGTTAGTTCATGATAGCATTGTTGTTGATGAGGCTGATATCGGTTCTACTAAGGTATTCTGGTTTTTATCAATTTGTCCAAGGCTAGATATGCTTTCTGTATACATATTCTTCTACTTATGGGATGACTATCCAGAGAACTGATAATGAACTGAAGCAACACCTATTTCATCTCTTCATCCTTTTCTTGCATCTATTCCCGCCATTCCCCTTATGACAGCAGTTTGTCATATTGCTTAAGGGGAGATTTAGCTGCATTGCTGTATGACCCTGCAATGTACCCACAAAGATCATTTGTTATAGCACCTATTGTAAAAAGATGATAATATCTTTTCTTAGGTGGTTTGGGCATGTGGAGAAGACAAACATAAGTCCCATTAAGGGGAGAAAGATCAAATAGAGGGTAGTCTAATGGTTAAGAGGTAAAGGGAGTGGTTTGTCTATTTGTCATTAGATATTTAGATTATATTTATGACGGGATATTATGCATTGTTTGATTCATGTATGTGACCTCATCTGGTGCGAAAATAATTTTGTTATGATTTTCTTGAAGCATTTTGCTCTTGTAAGACAAGATAAGGGACTTCAGTATGACTGTTAATTATAATGGTTGTTTCAGGGTGGTGAGCCTGACCTGATGACTGCTGCAAAGATGGTTCTTCACGACTGGCAGAGGGGTAAAATTCCTTTTTTTGTTCCTCCTCCACGGCTGGATGACTTGTCTGAGGAACCTAATGTTAATGGCATTACTGTGGATGATGCGGTTGATGGCAATGAGGCATCTGCTGCTATTAAAGCTATCTCAGATGTTCTTTCATCGCAGCAGCAGATAAGTGTACCTGTTCAAAGGGATTTATATAGCGAGAATGAGTTGAAGGGGGAAACTACTGAGCAACTTCCAAACACGGGGGAAAATCTGTATGAAGATAGTCTGAACCCTGATAGTGATACATCTGAGCAGGATCCAGCTACTGAGATTCCATCTGAGCAGCTTTCTACTGAGCTAGTCCCAACCAGTGAGTTGTAAGTTTTGGTTGCCGGTATAGCTGTAAATTTTATGTTGGTTTTATTTCCATCCTCTAAAAAGCTTTGAAGAGAACAAACTCCTTTTCCCTTTGCATCGTTCATGGTTGAGGCCAGTTCCATGTTGGTACTTTCTTCCCCTGACAAATGCACGTCAAATGCATCCATTATGCTCTCGGGAATGTTGTTTTGATTATGTAAATGAAGCTTCAGTGGAGGTCGTCGACTGATCTTTGGGTTCATGAGAGGGATTTGCTGCTATGGAGATCATAGGGACATGCAAGATGTTTTTGGTTAGTTGAGGATCAGTTTTAGCGGCGTTACCTATTGCAACATGGTAGAAATTTTGTTTTATATAATTGTTAATTTACCCTTCTATGATTCTTAATTACAAACGAGGATATATGCGATATTTTCTTGTTTAATGCCATTATTTAGCCATTCATGTTATGGGAGTTTGGAGAAGCTTGGATTGTTTGCTTTTATCACTTAAATGTTGAAGCCCGGCAAAAAAATTGAAAAACATTTGAGAGATTAAAAAAAATAAAATAAAAATGAGGGATCTGCTGAAAAATGATTAATGTTTGGAGGATCAAAATCTTATTTTAGTCTTTTTTAATGTATTTAAAGAAACATGTTAAAGTTAAGAAATAGCAAGTTTTTTTTATTAAATATTGTAGTAATTAATATTGTTAATGCATTAAATTTTATGATATATATATTTTTTAAATAAAAATTTGCAATATAGAAATTTTATGGTAACTTTTATGGTGTTTTATACAGTAATACAATATTTTTTATACTAAAATAATTATCACTATTAATTTTATATTAAATATTTATAATAAGTAGTTGGAGTTAGTAATTTATTTAAAAAATATATAAATATTTTTAATATTTAATATTTTAAAAGAATTATACTGTTATTTAATTGTCATATTTAAATAATGTAAAGTTATATACGTTGAATATCTCACTAACCCCCCTCGCTCTTAAGAAATCGGTTTTATATTGCACCCCTTTTGATGATTGGGTTTTCTCATTTTCATGTATATGTAGGATAACCGGGATGAAACTAGGGACGGCATTGACTGGCAACCTTCTACTTCGTTTTGGTTGGCTTAGTGTGGCGAGTTATAAGAGTCCCTCTTCTCATAAAACCTTGAGCCACGTAATTTGTTGCCTTTGTCCCACCAAATAAATGGGGTGTTCCGGCATGCTAAATGATGCACCTAAGATTGCCAAAATCCCATGTTCTGTGCCCAAAAGTAGGCCTTATGTTAAACTTCGTCAAAAATTGATGGTCGTTGACATGACATTTCGTAGCAACTTGATGTGATTTGTGTATTATAAGTATTGGGTAGAAACTAAAAATCGCAGCTGCGGGTAAGATTTAACAGGGTTCCAATAATTTAGTTTAAAGTAGGTCGAATCTTCAAACAGCCTGGCCATGACCATACATGGATGGACGGCGTTAGATTTCAAGTGGACAACCTTAAGCTGTTGACTGATGTTCCAAAAACGAAGGAAATTCTTAGAAGTATATACGAGCTGAGATAGTGTCTCCTTTAATCAGTAAATTAAGTACGTAAACATATATACACGAGAGGGAGGGAGGGAAAGAGACTTTAGGTTAAGTAATTAAACTTATTATACTCAGTTTTTAAATGAATTGTTGTCGCTTGAACATCTATGTTTGTATTCAGATTCACGATCTTTTGTAGGGTCCAATCCTTGCCATGATGTAAATGAAAGGGATGTTTTTAGAAAGACATTTTGATGCTAAGATTATTAACGTTCATGCCATTTTTATGTGCGTCCAGCAATTAAACACTACTTTTCATAGTGTTGAAATGACACATTCAAGCAAGAAAAACGTCATAGCAGACATACTATAAATCTATTTAGTTAAAATCTTTGAGAACCTATCTAATTTACTCCATCACATGAGTATTGAATTTGATGAATTCAATTGTAGAATTGATAGTTTACTTGGAGTTTACAAAATTTACTTAATTGAAAACTAATTAATACATCATTTTAACTTACAATGCTTCTAAAATATAAATAAATGTAACCTTTAGATTAATAATAAATGTTTAATTTATCTATAATTTAATATAAATTATTGTTAAGATAATTATACATAATTTAATGTATTTTAGAAGAAAAAAAATATTAAGCATAGTGATCACTTAATACTTATTTGAAAATAAATGTGACTCTTGAAATTTATGTACGCAAAATAAATTTGGATTCTTTCATGTTATTAAATAATATGATATGATGATATTAAAAAAACACATAAAATTATGTCAAATTTAACATATGAGCATTTATTTAATACAAATTATGTGTATTTCTCTTCAAAGTAACCACACACACCCATATAGTTGCATTAGAAATCAACAAAATTAATAAACTCAAGTGATAAATATGGCAATCCTTTCTTCTTAGTCATCTTCATGAGTTAATTACAGCTGACCTTTTGCTTCTTAACATAATATTGAAATCCGAATAAAAACAACAATAATAATAGCATGACTTATAAAGTTTTTTCCCTTACTTTTTTACGCCAAGTTGTAAAATTTATATATTCTCATGAAGAGAGGCAAAGGATGTGATTCCAAATTTCCAAAGCATAGGTTAGTGTAACCCTATTATCTATGATAAAACCAATAAACCGTCCACACTGCCTTTGCTGTTGCTCAAGTAGTAAAGTGACATCTCTTCAACAGTTACAATTCTATATCATATATAATTATTTTTATTTATTTATTTTATCATTTAAAAAAAAATTAACTAAAGTTTGTCTCTAAATATTTTGGAACAAACATTTCCCGTTTTAAAATAGCCATATTAATGACGTAGCTTTTGTCTTTAACATTTAGGTTCAAAGTTGCAGTGATTATGACATTATATTTCCTTCACAGGAGCAATACCAATCACAAATGTCAACTTTAAGCAAGCCATATTTGTGGGAACAATGTGCAGTACTTAGATTCTTTCTTGTTCTCTTCTTGTTGTTACTATATTTGTACCATAGCCTTAGATTCATAAAATAGTATATACAGTTTTATCTCTTTGGCCTTTGCTGCTGTCTTATAATTTAACATCACAGCTTCACAGAATAAGAATTATGTATGTACTTGGAATTGTAAATGAATAACATTTGTCTCATCAATTTTCAATGAAATAACTAATTGATTTCCTTGTCTAGTTTAATTTCTTGAATTTCAAAAGTTATGTGAAGTTATATAAAGTGATTATGTGATCTATACATCTAAATATCAAATAAAGTTTATCTTTTTTTTATTCTTGTTTGCATACTCAATCTCTCATGAATTGATTTAATGTTTAAAAATAAAAAAATACTTATTTACAGGCTATAAAATATTCAATCATCAAAGTATATATTAGCAATTATAAATTTATTTCAGCAAGAGTAACTCATTGAACAATCTAAAATTTACGTAGACTAATTTTATTTATAGTTAAAACCTCAAATAACATTAAAAGTATATGTATTTCGTTAATTTTTTTAATGCATTGTGAATGTAAAATTTTTATATTATTAATTAATTAGAATATATCATAGATGTAATTTTATATTAATTATTACAAAAGTTAATAATTCTTATTAATATGACAATTTATGATTGGATATAAAATTAAATTCTAAACAGATCGAGAACATAATTAAATTCTTTTGTTTTCATAAAACTCTACTTGTACAAGCAGAAGTTATGTCATTAAATATTTAAAGCTGAAGTCTCTGATCCTACATAAAAGAAATCACATAGATAGATATAATTTTTTAAAAGATAAAAGAAAAACTTGTTATAATATCTATAAATTGAAAAAATATTGTATATATATATATATATATATATTTTAAATTAAGGGGTTGTGATTTCTTTAATATTTAAAAAATTAAAAAATATTTAATTTTTATTAAATAAATTTTGTTTCAATATCTATTAATATAAAATTAATAATGATAATTATTTTATATATAAAAAATATAAAATGTCTTTTTGGTCTCTAATTAACTCACTTAATAAATTATTAAAAAAAAATCCTATTTGTTTCATGTGATATGTGGCACCGACATATTGGAATGGAGATGGAGATTTGGGCGAAACCTAACATCCTATTTTGTTTTTGTTCTAAAAACCTAACACACTTAACACCGCCATGTTGTGGGACGTTATCATTGACTTGACATCTCTAACCAAATACCAACATCTATTGTTTCTTTCATGTGCAGTGTCTTAATAAAATTTAAATTGGAAAATACCATATAATCCAAATTTTCATTGTTTTTTTTAAACGAGTTAGCATTTACTATTGACTTTTAAATGATTTTTTTTATAACATTTATTTATTTAATAAAAATATTTAAAATTTCTAACTGAATTCTTTCCAAACTTTTACTCTTTACTATTACTCATTCACAGAACATTTTATTTATTTAAACATTAAAAAAATATTATATAATTTAAATTAAATTTAATAGTCAATAATAAATTATAACTTATTAGATTTAAGTTAAATAAAAAATTAAGATTAAATGTAAAAATATTTAGACAGTATAAAAAGATCTTACTCATATATATATATATATATAAACAAATTTTTAACATGGTAAAAAATACACAATAAAGACTAATAAATAATATATATATATATATATATATATATAATTTTGTAATTTTAATAAAAATATTATATACAAATTCTTATTATACGCTGTAAGGTGTATGTTAAAAAAAATCATATTATAAAGAAGAAACTATAATTTTAATATTTGTTTAATAACATATATTCTTTTATTAAAAATTATAATTACTATAGAATTTAATACACTAATAACATTAAATATCATAATTTTTAATATAAATATTATAAGTAACTTCTTAATTAATCCATTTATTAAAAAAGAACTTCATAATTTAATTATTTAAAAATTAACAAATAAAAAAATATTAATAATATTTCTCTCATAAACAACTCAACATTATAAATGCAATGACAAGTGCGATAGACATATAATGATATAATAGTGTGAGAAAAAAGATAAACACGTGCATGCTGCATGAATATTAGCTTTAGTTATTTATTTATTTTGTATAATCTGTGAGTGCGAGTTGGCACGCACATATGGCCCAGTGAAGAGATACTGAGCAGTGTGCAATGCAGCAGAAAAAGACGCGCTTTACCCTTTGCATTTTATATGGGAATCATAAAAATGCATGTTGTTTTTGGTGAATTCATTCAATGCATTTGGAACTGCTTTGTTACAGCTTGTGACTGACACACAAAGAGAGAGAGAGAGAGATAGGGATCTTCAGATTTCACTCTTCCGGGATCGCCTGTTATGGCGTGACAATTTCCGCTCTGAGTTTCCTAGATTCCTGACAGGGTTTTAAGGTTGTGGGTACCTGATGTTGGGAAAAAAGTTGTGACCTTTACCCTGATTTGAGAATGTCTGAATATGCTTGGCACTGTCGTTGAAGTTGGACGATGGAAAAATGAGCCTTTATAAGAGCTTGTAACGTGTCTTTGGCAATGTGAGCATGATTTGAAAATTGGGTTGATCTAAAGAGTTCACAAGAGCTTTCTCAGTAAAGAAAAAAAAAGTCTTGTTTTTTCTTGTTTTTCTTTGGAGATTTTTTTTATAGTTTTATTATGGAAGATTTTGATATGAAGTGAGGAACCACCAGGTTCATTTGCCATATTTGTCTTTGTTGACAAGTGTTATTGGTCTTTTTCTTATACTTAAACCTTGGAGTATATTGATCTTTTTCCTCAAGGGTCATCATTTGTTTTGTCGTATCTTTGTATGTAAATTATGAATCAGGATCACTGATTGATAATATTTGTTGATGAAAGATACTGCCATTAGGATTTCTATTTGTAGAATTCATTATTATCCCACTGATTTATGGGCTATGAGTTCTGTTTGTTTAATTTTTAAAGCTGATCTTTAAGGAGACCATATCTTAAATCCATTGAAGTTGGCCTGTGATTTTTGTAAGGCATAGTCATATGTAAGGTTTGGTCCGTGATTTGGATATTTCAAAATGGAACAAAATGTACAAGAAACACGGTCATTGGCCTTGACTCCAACATGGTCTGTTGCCACTGTGTTGACCATCTTTGTTGCTGTCTCTTTGCTTGTGGAGCGCTCCATTCACCGTTTAAGCAATGTAAGTATTGCTAGAATCTTTATTGAGCTTTGTTTGTTCTTGGAGTTAATATCTGTCGTGTAGCAAAAAGTTGCATGAAAGAAATTGAAAGTTTGTTCAATTTTAAGGAATTTTGCAAAATTAAGATTAAGAGTCAAGAACTGCTATCGGACTTGTTAATAAATTGAGTGATGGGAAGGTGGAGGTTAAAAAATAATAACAGTAAAAATTAGAGTATTTTTCCTAACAACTATTATGTGGTAAGAAACTTCATTTATTGGCTTAGAATGTGTTTAGAAGGGCTTATTGGGAGCTTCTTTGGGCTTATGAAAATAAATTATGATTCTCGTAAGCTTTTTTTCAATTTATTTCAATGGGTTTCATAGTATAGCTTATCAAACTAAGCTCTTTTTAGCTTATTCTGATAAGTTTCATGGCCAAATTTATTTGCACAAATCGTCATGTAATAATAGTTTATTTATTAAATAAACCCTTAAGTTTTTTACTTAAACACATCTTAATATATTTATATAACACATTTATCTAGATCTGCATTAATTGGCATGTGAAGAAGTTCTCCTGTTATCTTCAAAAATGCAACTGCACTGGCATGTATAGATTTATATATATTTTTTATTTTGGTTTAAAGCTTGATTATGTCTTAATCTTATATTTTGTCCTACTTGTGATAAACCCATTAGTAAATAAGCCATTCTTTGTGGTCAGCTTTGTGGTTTAAAGAAGAATTGTGACATGTGACTATGTTTTTCTGTGGTTGCAGTGGCTGCGGAAAACTAATCGAAAACCCTTGCTTGCAGCTTTGGAGAAGATGAAAGAAGGTACCATGCATTAAGCTCTAATGGAAATCCTTTTATGTATTATAAACAAGAATTATTTTTGATCTGTCAGTCATTATGTGATTTTTCTGTCATAATGTATTATGTGTCTCATTTTACTTATCATTCTCATTAACCATTCTATCTTCAGAGTTGATGTTGCTCGGATTTATATCACTCTTATTAACAGCTACCTCACGCATGATAGCTGATATTTGCATTCCATCTAAGTTCTACAATAGTGCTTTTGCTCCATGCACAAGATCTGAGATTGATGAAGAAATAGAAGAGAATGATTCCCAGGAGCGTAAATTATTGATAGTCTCTGCTTATCCACACTTATTTAGGAGGATGTTGGATGGAATTAATACAAGCTCCTGCAAAGAGGCATGAGAAATATACCTTAGATGTATAAAATTTGACTATGACCAGCTATTACTGCTCTAAATTAATGTAGATTAACTTGCACTTTGTCATGTTGTCAGGGCTATGAACCATTTGTTTCATATGAAGGTCTAGAGCAGTTGCACCGATTCATTTTTGTCATGGCAGTAACACATATATCTTACAGTTGCCTAACTATGTTGCTTGCCATCGTGAAGGTGAGATATTGCTTTTTACATAATAAAGATGAGATCTGACTGCCACCCATTTAACCATATATTAAAATTCTATTTCAAAATTTGCTTGGATATGTAGGTTGAAATTTCTTGTTCTTTCCTATTCTTGAAGCCTTAAATAATATTGGAATAATGATACAGAATAGTTTGAGCCATTCTAAATAAGTTAATCGATAGAGTGTGTATTATTTCTGTTGTCCGAGTAGGACTACCATATTACTTTTTCATTGTACTTATGGATTTTGACAAGCTTTTGATGAATGACCTTGGTTAACTAATGATAGTATCAAGTTGAGGAGTTTGAAAATTGATAAAATTGCCATATCAAACCTAAAGAATTGATTGCCACAGCGCAGAACAATTATCTACAACAGATTTGATATGCTAATCAAAACTTACAGTGAACACGTCCAGTCAAGTTCCTTTCTATTCTGCTTATTTAACTGGTGAACATTCTTTAGCTTGCACTACGTATTGATACAATGCTCCACCAATGTCACCCAACTTATTGTGACTTTTTCTTTTGAAAGATGGTTCAACTGTCAAACTATAACTTTGATACATAACCATATGAACAGAGTGTCAATCGTGTTCTATGAAGCAATGAACTAGGGAGAAACATGGGAGAAACAAAGCAAATATTTTTAGAGGTTCAACTGTCAAACTGATTAAACAAAGCAAAATTAGGGAGAAACATGAGAGTAGACATGGCATGGAAAACAGTATGTAGGTAAAACTTATGGACTAAAAAATTATATGCAATACAAAAAAGGAAGTATTGAGAATATTATATTATTCAAATTAAAAGTGTGGAGATTGCAGCTATGAAAAGTAAGTAATGTATGGAAATTTTTTGTGTAGATTTTTTCTTTAAAATGTGTTCTTCGGCTATATTTTAATTTTTGTGTCAATGAATGAATTCTGTTCTGCTCAATATTTTAAATTAATTTAAATTTTGCATTGTATCAAATAAAACCTAGTGGGATAAGGCTTTGTTATTTTTTGTCTTTGTATCAAATAAATCTAACAGTATGGAACAATATTATTGAGATATTTTTAACCTTTATTTATTTAGTTGACTCTGTGATGTAAATCATTCGGGTGCTATCATTTGTTATTTTGTTTGACATATTAACACTATTAGTTTAAACCAGATTCACAGTTGGAGAGTGTGGGAGGATGAGGCTCACATGGATCAGCACGATTCATTATCTGGTAAATCATTCTGAATGTGCCTTTAGTCAAAAGATATTTTCTGTTTGTGTTTTCTATTGTGTTATCAGTTATCATGCTTGGTTCTTTGAAATGTTTCGTATCTATAATTGAATAACAAAAAATTACGAAGCCCCTCAATCAGGTTTGTTAGACTATAATGCTTATCTTCTCTCATTTATGTGGTTATTGTCGGTCATATGATCTATGTTAAATAATTGAAATCCAAAATAATTCCTGTGCTAGCTCTTTCTCTATCACTCAATCTTTCTCTTTTAATTCACTTTACTGATCCTATTGAGGAATTATGTTGATTGTTGAGTTGGTAGCCACTTGCCACTGAATTTCAGTTAAATAAACAAGCATTTTGAATGGCCAGAATTTACACCTCCCAACATTCAATCATTCAGTGATTTATGATAGATGAAAATTCTGAGATATAAATGTACCTTCACCTAATAGCTTTAGCTTTTAAGACAGTTGGTCCCTGATATATTCTTAGATCTATGATCATTGATCAGCAGTTTGATCCTTGCTACCCTTATTCTTAATATTTAATTTAATTTTAGGACTAATGTGTTGTCCACAGTTCAAGCTCAAAGAGGTAGTGCCACAGCAAGTTAAAAATATTCATTTACCTCACCACTTAACAGTTTAAGCTTTTAGGAGAGTTGGCCATTGACAGAAAATATATGGTCATGTAGTGCATATTTAAACCATATTTAAGAATTGATTGGCCAATTCTTTTGTTGCAACAGAAGTTACAAGAGAGCTAACTATGCGAAGGCAATCAACCTTTGTCAAGTCTCATCCATCAAACCCATTGGTCAGAAACAGTTCCTTTATGTGGGTGGTATGTGCATATCTCCACTTATTTTCTGGTTTCCATTTGGTTTTTCATTTATGGTTTTTATATGCCTGTCTTGAGTTTCTTAAATTTATTTGATGAAAGAAGGAAGATAGATGTGAACAAGGTTTGAAATCCAAATACACTCAAAAGAGTTTACCATCTTTGCACGGTTAACTTGGCTAGATTTGTTAGTTGTTACCTTTTGATCTACTTACTTCCCTTAACAAATTATGCAAGAAGAGTTTGTTGCAATGGTCAATTGAGTTGGCTAAATGATTACAACTTTCTTCTTTTTCAAGAAAACTAGTATATTGAGTAAAATAAGATGAAACTTTTAATGATCATTTTTTTAAGCGGTAAATGATATGAGAAAATAATATGTTGTTTTCCAAACCCTAAATGCTAATGCTGTCAGCATTCTGTTGAGACAAAACTTATTTTAAATGAATCCTTTAGTATTACCTTATACTCTCCACTCCTCAATTTTTATATCATTTTAACTATCTAATTGTATGTCAACAAATATACCTGTATAATTTTGTATCTATCTAATTTTAATTTTAACCAACCTGTAGACATGCTTTTTCCGACAATTTGGGCGATCTGTGGTTAGGGCTGATTACCTCACTCTTCGCAAAGGCTTCATCATGGTATGCAATAATACAATAAAATTTCTTTTAGGTATAAATGATTTTGATTCAAAAGCTACCTAATGTGATTCTTATCTTAAGGTGTATTTGCATGTTTTACTCAAAGTTATATTGGTAATATGGTATTTAAACTCATATCTCACCATATGATAAGATGCAGGAGTTAACTAATACCTACAAACTTCTATTTATTTATTTTTTATTAAAACCTCCTGTTCTTAGTTCATAGTGAAAACTGAAGATGCCTATTTAAAAAGGGGATAATTAATTCATTTGTTTAATATTAGTATTGAGCTTTCTGGTTTTAAGTTTGTACTTCACTTTAAGTGTCATTTGTTACAACAATCATTGTGGTACTTATATGTCAGGTTTCTTGGAACTATGTAGTATGTATGTGCTACTACTTGTTATTTGTGAAGTGCTTTACTCAGTGTTTTTTCCTTGTTCATGGCAGAATCACAACCTTTCACTAAAATATGATTTTCACAGCTACATGGTTCGATCTATGGAAGAGGAATTCCAAAGGATAGTTGGTGTGAGGTTAGTAATAGTTGAGATTCAGCAGTCAGTATTATTGCAGTTTCATGTCTTTCTCTTTTGGTTGTCAATTTCTGTTCATCCAGTATAATAGATTTCTAGTGCATTTTTATGTATTGTGCATGATCTTAATTTATGAGGTGACCAGTGTTTTAATAAATTGTGAACAAAATAACTAATTCATTTTCATTTAGTGTTTTGAGAAGTAGTTTCATTTAGCAATTTAATAAATAATCAATATAACGAGAAAAAAATAGTGTCTTATTTTAATCACCTTGAACGTAATGTTGTTCTTGTTACATTTTGATTGCTTCCACTTTTCACAAATTGATTCTCATGAAGAGGTTGAAAGCTGATCCAGTCTGTAAAATCTCTTGCAGTGGTCCACTCTGGGGATTTGTTGTTGCCTTCATGCTTTTCAACATTAAAGGTATTCTGTGTGTGAGAGAAATCAAGGTGGAAAGTAGTTTATCATCTTTTTCCTAAATTTTAACAAATACTGCCCATCCCTTCCCCCCCCCCCCCAAAAAAAAAAAAAAATCCATTCTAAATCTTTCTTTTGGGAAAAACTTCCACTTCAATCCCTTTTCTTTCTTCTTTTCTGGTTTTGCTTACTATTGAAACTTTACAATTATTTTTTTTGGTTTTATCACAGGATCTAATCTCTATTTCTGGATAGCTATTATTCCTATATCAGTAAGTTACCTTGTTATTTCCTTCTTTCTTTTTAGTTATCCAAATTGGTTAGCAAATGCCATAACCTGAACTTCTAACTTGTTCCAGAACCATTTTGATGCTGTAAATGGCATGTTTTTGGTTAGTGAGATTTTCTGTGGTATTTGAATAGAGCAGAATGTGTGAAGCTGCATAAAAACCGGCCTTATTTACTGAAATATAATTTTTATGAGCTAAATAAATTAGTTGAATAAATTATTGAAATCGTTCACAATACAATCATTATGTTCATTTCATTAAGCACAAAAACTCAGTATTTTTTTCAAATTAAACTTTTTATACAAATAATTATGCATTCAATTTGCTTGAAGCTTGTCTAATTTTTTCCATTGTTTGGGGAATTACAGTTGACGATTATCTATAAGCCTTGCCTTGTCTTGAATTTCTCACATGGCCATATGGTCTGTTAACATGTCCATGTTATTTCTTATTTTCTTCGTGCACAGCTTGTGCTCTTGGTGGGAACAAAGCTACAGCATGTTATTGCAACCTTGGCATTGGAGAATGCTGGAATTACAGGGTTCTTCCAGGAAGCAAAGTTGAAGCCTCGTGATGAACTTTTCTGGTTTAATAAGCCTGAACTGTTGCTGTCCTTGATCCATTTCATTCTCTTTCAGGTTGGTCACTGTTCGTCTACATATTGTGCAATAATTTATTTCTGAAATTTGTTATTTTCTTATTAACTTCTGATTCCTTGTTTTTCTTTTGGCAGAATGCATTTGAGTTGGCTTCATTCTTTTGGTTCTGGGTACTTCCTTATCTGTGTTACCACCAAGAATTAGACCATACAGTAAATCAGTAATAGGGAGTTCAAATTAAATTAGTTATATTGCTTGAAAAACAATTATCCAGTAATGTAATCAAGATTCAGTTTTAGAGAGTTTAAATTAAACAAGGTACAACTATATATTTGTGGGAATATGTAAGATTTACACAATGCAACTTTGAATTTTTGTATTTACTAAACTAGCACAATGCCTTCTTTTACTGCAGTGGCAGTTCGGATATAATTCCTGCTTTATTAGGAATCACCTTCTCCTTTATTTAAGGCTAATCTTGGGGTATGCAGAAATCAGCACTGTTTTTTGCCCTTATTCAGGATTTTACATCATATAATTCTTGTGTAAACTAAGTCAATAAAGAATTGACATGTCATTATTTTAAATTTAAAATTACTATTTGATATGGACATTATCTAACTATTAAATATAAAATGTCAGTGTTGGATAATTATTGGCTTAGTTTACACAAATCGATAAATCAGCCATGCACCTTATATATTGTATTCAACTTTGTAGGTTTTCAGGACAGTTTCTTTGCAGCTACAGCACCTTGCCACTATATGCCCTTGTTACACAGGTAGGTGACCCTGGAGTAGAAAAAGGAAATATAAGATTATGTCTGACTATATAGCATGTTTTTACTTTTGAAAGTCTCAAATTATAAAAATGGCATGCCTTATCCTCGAGCTCATTTAGACATGACTACCACCAACTACTAACGAGTTTGTGCAGTGCACAAGAGTGCTATTATAATTAGTCCCTCAAATTATAAGTATCAATCACTTTAGTTTCTTACTTTTCAAATTATAAAGGGACATTCAGTTTAGGTTTTTTCTTTTATACAAAATGAGTATGACTAAAATGAATAGTTTTTACAAAGTAAAGATTTTACAAAATCAAAGATTAATATAACTAATGCTTACTTGTTTTTTGTTGCTTGACAAATGAGTTGGTTGCATTGAGTGAATAATTTTAGAGAAGGGTGTTTAGCAGTTTCATGTTTCATGCAACAATTGCTTTCCCTTGTTTTCTTTTTTCAGATGGGAACAAACTATAAGGCAGCATTGATTCCACAAAGGATAAGGGAAACAATTCATGGATGGGGTAAGGCAGCTAGGAGAAAGAGAAGACACGGTATGTTCACTGATGACTCCACCATTCATACAGACACAAGCACTGTATTGTCTATTGAAGAAGATGATCAAATAATTGATACCCCTGGAGACCTTGCCACTGGGCCTGAAGTAGAATTGCAACCTGTAACAACTGTTACATCTACCCCTTCTCCTATTTCTAATGAAACTTCAAGTAGGGCTGTTACACCCCTCCTAAGACCCTCAGCTTCAACATCTTCATCAGTACAAAGCAAATCTAGAACAGAAGTAATTCCAAGATGCTCCTCAATGCCAAGTGGAAGATAAATTAAAAGCAATGGAAGAAAATGAAGTTAGTTACATGGTAAATTGATTAAGATGGCTTATGTATGATTATTAGAAGCTATATATGACTACTTTTAGTTTCCTTAAAAAGCTATACAAGGTAATAGTGTTTTTTTTTCTACTAATTTATGGGGGAGACTTGTGTATATCTTGATTCCTAGCTGTAACACTGTAGTATGGACCAATTATATTGTAATTTTCTTTTGGCTTCAAATTGTAAATTAAAGTTGAATGTACATTAAAGAAAATGAATGTTTCAACACAGCCTGACCATCCACATCCTTATTCCAAAGGTGTCGAAAATGTGTAAATTAAAGCTGAATATCCTTAAGGAATGTTGAGTTCATGGTAGAAGAACAGTCGAATTGTGTTAGAATCTTACAATTTTTTATATTTAAATAGTATAATTTGATACAATTTGGTTGGTCAAGGATTTGATTTAAGTGATGAATCATAATTGACTTTAAATCATGCTATATGTGGATCAATTGTATGATTTTGTATCAGTGTTATGATTTGCATGATTCTACGATTCTTTTTTTTTTTTGTCAAAGAAGTTAATAAGGCAGGTGAATTTAAATTGTTAAATTAAAAAGAATTGAAGGAGTAATATTGAACTCATTTTGTTTGATTATTATTTTGTTCTAATTTCATTCTTTTAGAGGAGTTTCACGTTATTAATTATTTTATTAATTCTTTTTAGCTGTTTTTTTTTTTTTTATCTTCTGAAATATGGGTATTATTATACACTTAGTTATGACATAATTTTGTTTTGAGACTTACAGTTTAGTGATTTTGTCATTTTATAGTTTAAAATTCTTGCATACAGCATACATATTGTCTTCGAAATTTATGATTCGATATGATTTACAATTTATGATTGAAAATTAGTTTGATAATTCACAATTTGAAACACGATTTAACAATCTTGGTTTATGGATTATGAAATGACACTCACCTTTATCGAATTTGATAATGTTGGGTCTAGTTTCACTCTTATGGAATATAGGCATTCCTTTACACAGTTAAGAAATTTTGTTTTGTGAAACTTACGATTAAGTTGTTACGTCATCTTTGAAAGTTCCAATTTTTTTACATTCAACACTCTAATTTAAGTTGAGTGTATGATTTATGTAAATATGTTTATATTTTTAATTAATTAAAATATAATATAAATACAATTTTTATATTAATTATTATAAAAACAATTATTCTTATTAATATAATAACTTACTATTGACTAATAGATTTTACTGTCACATCTTATGTGATCATTTTTATTATTGATCATATGCGTAGAAATGATTTCACTTTTAGAAAGTTTCTCCCAACCATAAAAAGGAGCAAAAGTGCAATATTTTTGTGCAAATCAGAAATTCTTTATTTTATTATATATTCTTAAAAAAAGACTCTTCATAAATTATTATACTATAAATATCTAAGTATTCTAGATAATGTAATACTGAAGTTAATTTTTAATTAATTTTTTAAAGTTATTATTTTTATAATCATTATTATCATTTTTTAAAATTTAACTTAATTCTAAATAGTTATACCTTATCAATGCTTAATATAAGTAATTTATTAGACAATATATTTAGAATACTTGGTAAAATGATGTATATAGGAGTTTTTAATAATTAATTAACAATTTATGAGAAAAAAATTCTTTAAATTTTTTGTAGTTAAAGAAAAAAATTGAATTTTTTTTTATAATTTTACCCTAAACAAAATTTGTTAATTTAAGTAGAAATTATTTTTTTAATCAATTTTTCCTTGGTAAATTATTTTATTCATACAAAATTAAATTTTTTTTTATCAGTTCTCAATCAAATGGTTTTAACTAAACCTACATAGAATACGGATCCTTCCATTACTTTCACTGTTTCACTTCCTCAGTTTGTTTCTTCACGTACATGCATGTATGTGTGCGCACGCATGTATGCCTCACATAGTCACATGAATTCATGACCATCATCTCTCCGTCTCTTCGTTTTCTTGAGCATCAAGCACCACAGTCACACAAGTTCCAACTGCATAGCTTCTTTTAAAACATTACCTTCCATTCTTCTTACCTTCTCTCTTTTCTCATCTTAATTTTCAATTTTTATACGATTTCGCATTCTTCGCTTCCCTCGTTTGATTGCTCAGAAAATAGAAGTAAGAAAATTTTGATTAATCTGCTTTAACCTTTAAATGCTTCACGCACAGTGTCCTACATTTTCAAATTGAGAATTTGTATTTATGCACAATTTGTTTGTACAAAGAAAGAGATGAAAGAAGTGAGACAAGATGATGGATGTAAAAACAAGAAAAAAAAAATAGTTCTCAATGAATGTATTTTGTATATGAATAATATATCTGTCAATTTTATGATTTTACTTAGAGAATAAGGCTGAGTAAGAAGCAGTTAATGTAAAAAAAAAATTTCAGTTTAATCACTGGTTGTTTGTTTCGCAGTTTCTCTTCCTTGCAGGTGTTGTGTGCTGTTCATGCTCTTACTGACGCTTTTTTTTGTTTATTTTTTTGGCTAGTAGCTTTCTGTTGTGCTGAGGGTGAGCAGGATATTTGAAAATGGAAGCAAAATCACCTGACAGTGAGCAGGGGAATCTGAGGGGGTTGCTTGAATCCTTTGGTTCTGCATTTGCTTTGGAGGACATTGCAAATGCCTATTGGGAGGCAAAACAAGATGTTAATTTGGCTGCAGAAATTCTTTGTGGGTCTAAAGATGAGTTGAAGGGTGCAATAAATGTCTCTGTTCCTAAGTCTTTTCATGGTGCAGTGAAGTCAGGATTTCGTGGTGCATCACTGGGTAATGTTGCTGGAGTTGTTGGAAGAGACTGCATTCAACCCAAGACATGGAGTAAGTCTAAAAGAGAAGTAAGAAAACCGTTGAAGTTAGATGCGAAGGAATTCCCTGAATCAGTGATATGGGGTGAAAAACCTTCACTGAGTGCTGCAGCAGCGAAGGGCACTGTGAGTGATGAGGTTGTTGACTTCCTCTATAGGATGCTTGAAGAGGGCTTTGAACTTGACAAGAATAAGATACATGACGTTCTTGGTAAATTTTTTCTTCTTTTTAAAGAGTTGGTTTGTAAAATTGTAATTGCTGGTAGACTTGTAATGCTTATGACTGAAAAGGGGCAGGAGAAAGGCATGAAAGTTCCTTTTTATTTATTTAGATCAATCTATTGAATATTGCATTTCCGAGGAGCAAATTACATGCTGAGAAAGGATTAATCTACAATATCACCCGATGTATCTCTGTGTATTCCTATTGTATTTGCTCCAGATGACACTTGTTTATGGTATGTTTCAATGGGATATTGTTTATGATGCTTTCCTTTCTTAACATGTGCATATGCAATGCTGGCCCTTTATTAAGAGATGGCATTTCATCATCTTTTTCTAAGGATGGTTAAAATGATATTTCTGCAGTAACTTAATCACTTAGTCATTTCAAATTTTTGGTTTCAAGTTGCATTTCTTAATGCTTCGCTAATGATCTATTATGCTAATCTGATTTTGACCTTGCTCTTGGGACATTGGGTGCCTGATGTTAATTTTAGATTTTCAAAATCTTGAGGGGGGGGGGCTTTGCTGTCCTTGTTTTTCATATTAATACATTATATTTTGTTTTACAATGTGCTTCATAAGACGATCCTTTGTGTTTGCAGGCCTCTGTGGATATGATGTGCAGAAGGTACAGTTACTTTTACCCATGCATTTTCTCATTTGCCATTTTGGAAATTTAGTAGTTTTATTACTTTCGGGCCTACTTTGATGAATAAGTACTACATTTGCAACAATGGTTACTACATCAATTGTCACCAGTTAGCATCTATTGACAAGAGAATAAGCTTAAAAGAAAGTGCATGTGACTAGTATTTAAAATTGTTTGAACTGTTGGCAACTAAATAAGATACAAATACACCAAAACATTTTCAATGAATCTAATAGCTTTGGTTATGTTGATAAAATAGGATATACTAAGGGTACATATATTTAAGGTATGTATAATCTTGGGGTTGATCAGTCTGAATAAAGTTAGTGCCATGCTCAGAAATGTAAAGAACGATAAATTTGTTGCTGAAACTTGAAAAGAGTAATGTGAAACCATGGAGAGATATCGCTAGCAATTACAATGCAATTGATTGTCATTATTAATAAAAAAAATTATTTCATCCAGATTCCAGAAATATTAAAGCATACAAGTTGGTCCAACTTCTAAGTTCTATTTTAGCTGGTCGGCAGATGAACCAAATATCATTATCAATGTTTGAGAATTTATATCACTTGTTCATAAAATGCCCTCTATCATTGTATTTGCCTAAAACATTTTCTTTAAAAGTGTATCCGTTGTGTAGAAGAATTGACCTGGAGTCATTATGCAGACAATGGAGGAGCTGCTTGATGAGTCAGCTTCCACTTTGGAGAAATGCAATGATGTTCGTGACCTGGCTGGTGAAAATGTAAGGTTTCAGCAGACAAATCCAAAATCTTGGTTGTCCATATCGACTTATACTTTGTCTTACTATTGATCACCATGTAACCAAATGGATCCTTCAAGTTGTTGGGTTGGCTAAATTAAGTTTGTTCTTTTGAGATGACCAAACAAAAATTATATAAAAATTCGATGGATGTTAAAGAAATTCTTTGAGCCTTGATGGGGCCATGCAACTGCTAACCTGGTTGGCTCTGCCCTGCCCTGTATTTAACTAGTTATAATTTGTAAGCCTTCAGGAAACCTTTTTTTGAACTGGCATTTGATGCTACACTATTGCACTAGAACTAGATTGCAACTCCCTTTAACCCTTTAAAGCTGTATATGTGGTACAAGAAACCACCAATTGATGCTTAGTTTTTACTGTTGGGTTGGACTCCCAACTATGTGTCCAAAAGTCTAAATTTTCAAGCTCATTTTCTACACTTAATTGAGGGGAGTGAGAAGTCAGTGGAGTGGGTGAGGGAAGTCCATTTTCGCAGCCTAGTGTGAGTATTTTCGGTGAGAGGCATCAAAAAGAGAGAAGGGAAGTGAGGGAAGAAAAGAAGCTCCAGACCAGCTACTCCATTTTCTCTGATATCCGATTAGTTCACCGTTGGATCGGGTTGAAAATTTTACAGCAGATTCGTAACACGGTGCTCTTTGTTCTGACCGTTCGGATTGTCGATTGGAGGTCTGAAGTTGGAGATACTGTCTTCGCACAGAAGCCCTGTTTTTGGTGACTCTGCACAGATCAGCCGCATAGAAATCGTTATTTCTCCTTATTCAACCGTTGGATTGAGCTGAAACTTTGACAGAAGTTCCCAGACGTATATTTCTTCATTCTGACCGCTAGGATCGTCGATTGGAGGTTTTGTCTGAGAGAAATCGTGTATGAACAGCAGCTCTGTTTTGTGAGATTTTCTCTCTTTGGTTAGGCTTTATTGCTTGGTTGTATTAGCTGGTTGTTTGCATGAATTTGTGCAGTATTTTGAGACTCTCTTGTAACCTCATTTGATTATAGTGGAGTTTAATTGACTGGCTTGAGCCCGTGGGTTTTTACTTCTCACATTGAGAGGGTTTTCCCACGTAAATAATTCTCTGTGTCCTTGTATTTGTTGCTGCCATTTGTTATTGTTGTTGCTCCTCACAGGTTCTTGCAAGTTTGGGGAATTGTTTCCGCTGCTCACTTTAGATAATTGTGTTCTTGTGTTTGGTTTTCCCCAACATTTACTCCTCTTTGAAATCTATTGTAATTTTTTATTTGGAACGCTAGCTTTCCAATGAGAACACATTCTGCTTGTTGATGATTCTGTGCAACTTGAATTTTGATATGCCTTTTAATATAAATATTCATTATAGCCTCCTTATGCAGTTTTCTTGTCATTTTTCCCCTTGTGACAGTCAAGAGATCAGCATCCAGATGTAAACTGTGTACCCAGGTGCCTCATTGTGATTATATTGCTTTCTACTTCATAACTACATTCTACTTTTATCTTTTTCATTTTCAGAGGATAAATTTATGTTGTTGCTTTCTACAGTGAGGAATTATGCAATTTATTTGATTCACCAAAAAGAGACAAAGATAGAGTTGGGCTCCAGAAAGAAATTTTAGAATCTTTATTTAGTTTTCCACAAAGGTCTGAAGAATTACCGAAATGAAGGCATCCAGTGAGGGTAATACCATATCGCAGGCCTGCTGTGAGACTTCCAAAAGACACCACAACAGTTCAACAAACAATCGATGTAGAATCACAAATTGTTAAGGAAGGTATGTGCAAGGAGATTATTTGTAAAGAAGTGATGATACTCATTAGAGTGTAGGGACATTCTCGTAGCTATACTGCTATTGGTCTGTAGTTTTTGCTCATTCTTTGCCTTTTCTATGAATAGGATCCAGAAAACTGTTTTCACTTTTCACTAGCAAATTCCTTGGCTATCCACAGCTGTGCTGTCATTACTCATTATATAGTGGTGGCAAAATGGCTCCACTTGTTAAGGGCCCCTAAACTATTGAGCTTGGGTACCAAATTTTAGACTCAACAATTTCAACCTTTCGTAGCCTTGACTCATTCAAGGTGTTTTAATGTGGTTCGGGTTGTCTTGGCCACTTCAATTGTAAAACATGGGCTCAGTTCAGGCTTTGGAGGATACTTTTGTGGCTCTAAATAAAAGTGGGATTTTCGGCCTAGCCCAATAGGTTTGGAGCCCAAATTGGGTCAAGCAGCACATTTTGCCACCTCTATCATTATCTAATGTGACAGACAGTTTTCAAGCAATACCAACAATAATAATAATAATAATAATACTAGATTTTCACTAGTGTTGTGTCTTTCCTAGCTCTACCTACCATTCTTCTCGAAATCCAATCAACTTAATGATTTCATGCTCTTTTATTTACTTAACTGATAAACTTTCATGGTTTGAACCTTCAGTTTTCATGAAATAATCTTGTATCCCTCAAGTCACATTTCACACACCCAGCACACCATAGTCGCAAAAGCTAGTTTTGTCATGTAAGCCTGCTACATTGGTATAATCCAGGAACAAATCTTGTGCAAAAACCCTTTCTTGTAGTGGCCCAATAAATTAATACATGAATTGTCAGAATTTTTTATCGTTGTTTTCCTTCTCATAAAGCACATTTTGTTTATTTAATTGATTCTACTTTCCGAACTTTTTAAATGTATTTATTTCTGTTATTTATCCACTTCAGCACATAATTTTGAATGTAGAGAGTGACGATGATGAGAATAGTTATAAGGCACTACGTCAATCCGTGAGGGAACATTGGCTTACCATGAAAGAATACTACCGAGCTGTAAGATTCCTACACTTTTTTCCTTGATGTTTCTGGACAACACAGTGAACACACTAAAGTTTGCATAAAGATGTACTTGTACGACTGGTCAGGATCAACTATTGTGTTTCTGTAGACAATGCTATGAATGGGTTGAAAATAGTAGTATCAATTATCTCAGCTGCTTTTCAGGCTGTTGATGCATTTGTCAAGAGTGATTATGCCCGGGCAGACAGACTACGAGAACAGGTATAAATGAGTGGCTTAATTTGTTGTTTTTTATTTTCTCTTTTCCAGGAAGACTTCTAGTTGGTCATTAATCTTGTGTGTATTGGAATTGGATTATCTTTTGCTTATTTGAAATTTTCAAGCATCTTTCTGTTATTGATTTAATTCAAATTTTTAATCGTTTTTCATTTAATTATTTGTTTATTTTGTCCTCAAGTTGCTTAGTTGATTGTGCTTTTATATAATGGTGAACATAAAGATATTGGATTTTGTTTCCATTAAATCCAAAGACCTATATTTCAGGATAGCTGCACTTTAGTAATTAGTAGTCCCATCTAGAGATGCTATTAGATTGTTTAAATATTCTTTAATGTACAGGGGCATTTTTTTAATAGAATGGCTCGAGAAGCAGATGAAAAATCTGCGCAGAAGCTTTTTCGAACCAAGTTAGTATCAAAATTCAGCAGTTTCTTTCTACCTTCAGTCCGTCACCTTTTTTAGCCATGTGTTTCCTTCCTTGGCTCATTGGAAAGCAAAACTTGAATTTGACTGCAGTGAAACCAACGATGATGAAATACCTCTTGATTTGCACGAGCATGAGCCAAAGCAGGCCCTTCATCTTCTCAAACTTCATTTAACTTCTCTCTCTGGCATTCATGGTAGGCAGCAATTTCTGTGCAAGTCATTTGATTATGGAAAGAATTGCATGGCACACCTTGATCCGATAAATGATATTCGTACTTTAACCTTTCCAGCAATCAAGTACCTTCGAGTCATAGTTGGGACAGGAGATGAAGATAGAAAAGGAGCTAGGAAAAAATTGGTAAGGCGCACAAACTTGAAATTGGCTTAACAAATTTGCGCCATAGTGAATGAATAATACGTTAATTTACACTTAGTGTGCTAATAAAAATCATTAAACACAAATTTTTTGTGATCATGATTATATTTATTCATAAATGAATGAGAAGATAGATTTGATAAAGTTAAGAGTAACGTGTAGTGTTGACAATTCATAAATCATAAGGTTCATATTCTGACATAATTTGAAATGACATATCACTCGCATGTATTTTGGCACGTAAAATGCAGTCATTTCGTATGCAAAACATAGCTATCTTATTCAAGCATTCAATCTTTGGAAAGCATGCACATTGCATTTCCTTATGTATTAGGAGGCTGATGTGGAAAATTGTTTTTTATTCTACAAGCATACTTTGTTGGGGGCATTTTAACATGTTCATGGAACCCAGTTGATGAACATTAAGGATATTATTCCATTCCACATATCTTTCGCAGATTATTAAGCTGCTGAACAAGAATTCCATTAAATGGACAGAGGAGGACATTGGTCGGACCTTACTCCTCCAAGTAGATGTCATTGATAGGAAGAGTTTGAGTTTTGCACAAAAAAGCTGAATATTTTAGTATGTATGTTTTCGTCCTTCAAAAATATGCCTGATCTCCCATTAGTATTTTACTCTCATCAATTTATATATCAAATAGATTTTCTAAAGATATATATAATACTGAAATTGTCCTTTCAATGTCACATTATTTTTTTGTTATTAAATTTTCCGTTTACGATTATTAAATTAGTGCTCAAAGGAAGAAACTGATGACATTAGTTATCATGCAAATTAATTTCATAATGTAGAATAAGGACCTGTTTTGAGTATAATCTGGAATCAACTCTAGCGGAAGTGAAAAAAATTCAATGCCACTAAATATAATGTACTTCATGCCAATTATAGTTAAGGGTATTCACAAACCGACCAAATCAAATGTAAATTATAAAATCAAACCAAATTAACTGGAAGTCGGATAAGCTGAAAATAAAAAAATTTAAAACCGCAAAAACTGAATTGTTTTAATTTTATTGAATTTAATGTTAGATTTAAGTTTAAAAATTGATTTGATTCAATCCAATTGAAACCAAAATTGCGTGTACATAAATAATTTAATTTATAAAATTAACTTTTGGCTTAGATTTATACAAATATATATTTATAAAATGATAATACTTGACTCTCTGATTTGTGATTACGCTTTTAAGATATTATTTATTTATTTTTATCTTTATAAAATGCTTATGGAGAGACGGTGTCAATCAAGATAAAATTGAAGCAACAAAGGCTATGTATGTTTTTGAAAGGGAACTGAAAGTAGTACGCAAGTGTAAAGAATTATACCTGAAGTGTGACTGGATTAACATAAATCTAATGTCTATATAAATTAGTTTAGTAAAAATAATATTATTATTTTATGGATTAAAGTAAGAACTTGAATGGAGAAGTGCTTCAATATTAGGAAACTACTACATCTGAGATGTTGATATCTTTAACAAACAAACCCTGTAATTGTCACATTCTCAATTTTCTTCAAATGAAATATTTAATGATATCATCACTGTTGGGAGTGGGTTCGTAACAATCACTATATAGGCATATAGTCATGCAATTTAAGAGTTTGAGATAAGGTAACCAAAGAGAAAATCAAACTCACATCACACCCATAAAAACAATTTCTTACTAAATTCTAACAGTGCAAATACATTTTCTTTGCCCATTCAAACGGACCAAACATTTTTATTTCTGTGTCATTGTAGTGACTTCTAGATGTTCAGTCTTTAAGAAAAATTAGTATTGCAAGATATGAAAAATAATAAACACTCTAGTACAGACATCAATAATCATACGATGCAGGTTTGACAAAGATTATAATTACATAAGAACAAGTATTAAATTTGTTCATTTCATGCCAACATGATATCCTAGCATAACTAATTTGTCAAAAAATAAAACTACTTAGAATGGCTACCTTAACCACAAAGAACCTTCATTGAACATTGTATATTACATATATACATGGGGAAGAACAGAACTGAGGTGGCAAAAATATGCAGCGGACCAAAATTCTCAGTCTTGAAGCTCTGTTAGAATTCATCACAGAAAATAATACAAGGAAATATTTCATTGGGGTCCTTGTGTAAGTCTCTGCATCTCATTGTGGTCCCCAAGAGTTTCAATGAGAAGAGGTGGAGCATACTGTGCTGTCCCATGCTCTTCAGAGTCCTGGCAGAATGAGAGAATGATGGTGTCAATTGACATCTCTACAACTGCAAAGAAAAGAGTTGCAACAATATATCCAAGAGCCCAGCAAACCTGCATAATACAAAATCCATTATGAGGTTCTGATAATGTTCACAATTCAACAATAAATGGCAGTGCTCGAGCGCATATAAGAAGCATATTAGGAGAGAGGACCATAATGATATTGAATCAAGTTCTATAAGTAGTAGTAAATGCCAACGCATTGGCTAAGGTAGGGCCATAATGATTTTGAATCAATATCAGTTTATTTGAAAATTCTGAATAGTAATGAACCATTTGTTTGGAACAGAAACACATGGAGTTTGTATAATAGAACAAACTAAAATATTTTGACCAATCATCCATCAAGAGGTACACACACTATCAACTAAAAATTGAAGTAATATCTTTTAGACTTTGGTTAAACCATAATTGATCTTCCAACCCTACTCTTTTAATTAGATTATATAGAACATACCACAACAGGCAATAATGGAGATGAGATCTTGTTATGTGCAGATCTGTACTTGTGTGCATCCAACATGAGGAAAGCAAAAACAGCACTTGAAAGGCTGACACATAGTTTTCCAAGGAACAAAATAACATCTCCTATCACATTGACACGTCCAATCCGTAGGATGTTATTCATGATCAATTCTGTTGCAATAGCAGAAGCTCTAAAGAAACTTTTACCCGTTATAGCAATCTGCAGGTGTCAAGGGGATAACTGAGAAGTTAAATGCAGAAATTCATACGTAATAGCTGCAGAAAATTCATAGCTGCACATATCTATCAACATGATGCATCATGCATGCAAAAATGGTTCTTGGAAGATTACAAAATTTACCATGATGTAAGCATTTCGGTTCACTGCTTTGATGATCCACTCAATACACCTTTGAAAACATTGAGAACATTGGTATGCAGCCTTGCCAATCCAGCTGTCAGGTACATGACTGGAGACTTTTAGTTTCCTGCGAATAGATTCAAGCAGAAAGCGGATTGACTCGACAAATGATACAGTCAGAGAGCCAAGAGCCACAGAACCAAGACTGTAACGCATAAGCCTTCTCATTGAGGAAAAGACAGAAAGAAAAGGAATTTCTGGCTGCATTGAGAAAGATGAGTTACATTTAATAACATATATAAAAGATAACTTTGTAATTATAAAAGTAAAAATGTTTAATATTATATAATCAAATTCAGCCAACCTCACCAAGTGAGATAAGATTTGGTTGTTGTTCTAATTATAATCAAATTCAAATTAGCCAACAAATAAGCACGAGCAGTTTGTCATTTAGTCTGACTTTGATCTTTATTATTAGGAAGCTAAAAATTTTCCTTGACACAAGGAAATTTACTATCTTGTTCATCCAATCTTTGACCAAATTATTGTGTTAATTGATAAAATGATATTCATATTTGAACTATTTATAATCCTACACTAGTACACCTTATGATGATAAAGAAGCAGTTCTTAGCCAAAAAGCAAACCATGGCCCCTGGTCTGGCTGGGGCTGCATATAATTCAATCTCATCAAAGTTTAGTAATCATATCTGCATAAAACCTTCCCTCACATCATTGTTCATTTCATTTATGAACAGAATATTTGGACTTACAGATGCTTCACCATGGGCCCAATAATAAGAGGCAACAGATCCAGCAATCACCGTTGATGAGAAAGCTATGAAAAATTGTGTAGCCCAATAACACCCAAATAGGTGAAAAAGGATGGCAACTCCAATATGCGGTGTGTAATGAATGCTATATCCACAACACTGATCACAAATCACCTTTTTCTCAGTGAGACTATATGAGCAGCAGTTAGAGTTGCAATTATTCTGAACAACTTGACCAGAGCTGAACAAATGGAGAGCAGCAGAAATCCAGAACATGTAGAATACTGCAAGAATACCATATGGTATGATTGGAAAGATAATAAGTGCTTGAACCTCTCCTATCACTTTTGCAGCAACCTGTGAGCAATATTTGCATTGAAATCAATTGAACTGATTGAATTTCATAATGCAAAGAATGCAGAATCATCATTCAACAACAGTAACATTAATTCTAGCAGTGCTATATTGAACGATGTTATGCAACAATGGGCTTAGGTAAGTGTAACAATTTTGAGAAGGGAAGTTATGTGTAACTTTGCAACCAATGGATGTGAAAATAATGTATTATACAGGGGTGTGGGTCAGAAGAGGCATGAAATAAAGGTTCCACAAGCAAGACATATATCACATATTGACAATGAAAATGTTATGGTTTCCAACAAATGACAATGCCAGAGGAATATAAGGTTAAGCAACCATTCATTGAATCATTAAAAAAGAACAATGACTGATCAAAGCTGTGAATATTACTGCTGCCAGAAAGAGAGTTAGCAAGATAAGATTAGCTCGAGCTTTACAGTTTTTTTCCCAGAACAGATATACATACACTTCAATTGCTTAATCTATGTAAGAACTCACAGTATAGGAATACTTGATAAGTAAGCTGACTTTATCCAGCTACAAGCATATTACTCAACATTGGCTTCACATTTTATCCTAATTACTTCAAGCACAAAGACTAATAGAAAAGGAGGATGTTTCTCAATTTTATTGCACCAAAACACTAATTCATTTTACTTCTTTGAAACCAAATGATGTACATTAATTTTTGGGATATATTACACATAATCCCCCTGTACTGTCACCCTTTTTTCAACTAACATCCCTAAAGGTTTTCTCTTTTTCTTTTCTTTTTCTTTTTTGCAACACTTGCCCCCTCCCCCCAACTTTGGTTGAAATTGAAAGTTCCTTCTCAATTAATTTTAATGGAAGTTATTAATTATTTTACACATCACGCCTTGTGGTTCAACACTTTCTTACCCTACAATCATAATGTTTTATTTTCAAGCCTCCTATAGAAAAATAAACATTAGCAAAGTGCACTGACAAAGTTTTTAATTGGTGTTGGTTCACTGGAAAGAATGTAAACCAAAGTTGAGAAATAACATTAAAAAAAACTCAAAAGGTTAATTGGAAAAGTTCAAAAATACATACAGATATTGTGTAACTTACTCTAAATCTGACCCCAATTAGAAGTTCAGCCTTTAAACAAAGTTTAAAATTACACATAATTGCTATCAGATATCAATCAAATATAAAAAACAACTAAATCAGAGTTTCATAATTGCATATAAATAAAATTGCTTGCCTTAAGGACAGAAGTTGCCATAAGGATGCGACGAACAATAGCTATTGAAGTAAGAATGGCAACAACCATGATAAAGGTCATAAAGACAGTCACAACACGTAGATGAGTCAGCTCCTGAAAATGAAACCTTTTTGTAAGATTTACACTTTCATATGATAAAATCATCAATGCAAGGTGAGAGAGAGATCGCAGCATAAATAGATAAGGGCTCAGTCACAACAATACTTACCCTCACAAATACATGAATGTAAGCATCATGCTCACCAATGATGGGGGAAATAGCATCATTTCCTATCCATCCAACTGAAAGTCAGGAAGACAACATTAAGCATTATTTGTTTGATTGATGTTTGCTCAAAATCTAGAAAATTAGTAATGAAAATATGTGTTCAAAAGTTATAAACATTGAACCACCAAGCATAATATATGTATCAAGTTACACACATTCTTTCATCAAACATTTAATATTTTATGAACTATATACCACACAAGCAAGCAAATTTCTTCATTCTTTCCAATGCTCAAAATACAAAGAACAAAGATAACATATGGATCATTTCCAAGTCCCAATGAATGACCATGCTATCAAAATACAAACTCAAAGCATTCAAAAATCAAGTGCAAGTCATATCATCTAACATTTTTTAACATTCTAAATTCTAATACAAGAAAACACACTACAATTAAACTATTCAGTTCTTTCCATATGATCCCTTCCTCAACTATAAGTCATGTATTTTAACATAGACATGTCTAGATTACTTTGAATGTGTCTGGCCCAACAATTACATTTAAAGTTTTAGTGTCTATGCGGTTTAGAGTTCGGTAGAATAAATTTTGAACCCTTGAATGTGACTAAGATGTGATCCTAAATTAATTTGATCCATACATATTTCATTGAAACATAAGTTTTTTGTTGGAAAGTGTAAGAATTGATCTTCTAATTTTATGACAAACGGGGACTTAGTCTAAATTGTTACACAAGCAAATCTATGGGAAGTGTCTAACAATATTTTTGCAACATGTGTCAAACTGAACATACAACAAGAGAAGTGTTGTGTGCTTGATTGGATATATCAGAAAGGATGCAAAAATACAGCTGATGTAAGGGTGTACTTATGAAAATGATGATCACAAATATGGATAGGCCATGCAGCTGACAAGGAAGTAAGTATTGAATACATAGGCCAAAGAAAGGGAAAAAAATATAATAAAAAAGGAATATTCATATTTTGGTCATCTTCTGAAAAGCGATGATTCCTTGAAAACAGACATTTGGACCACAAAATAGCCCAGCAGAGATCCTAACCTTTTAGGTAGAAGAACATTGTAACTGATACTATGAGAACATTAAAGAAAACCACTGTTATCCAAGGCATTGCAGAAACAAAATGCCGAATCATTAGCAGCCAAACCACAGACAGAAACAGAGGTAAAATCCCTCCACATACAATCAGCACAGGCCATGCCTTTCCTATGTCAGCCATGTATCTCTGCAAATTAAAATATTTGTGAAACTTTAAATTTCTGTAATGCATACATATAATGCTTAACGGCAGACCAAATGGAAGAGCAAAGCAAGCTTTCAAACAACTGTACTTGGTAAGAGTGAGATGTTGCAAAGGGTGAAGGAAAGGATAAGTGAAAATAGGTAAGGTATCAAGATTCAAAACATAATGCATGTAGGCCCAGTTTGGATTAACTTCTCGATTAGTAGTACCTATAGAAGACAAAAAGGGAAAAAAATGAATCAAACTTCTCCTTTAAATTAAAATCAACGAATGTTCTTTTACCTTTTCAGAAGCTCTCTCATTTAACTTTAAAACATGAGTGTATAAACTGATTTTAACTTATGAGAAGATTTTTATTTATTTTATCTCCTTATTTTCTTCTCCTATAATTGCTTTTGCAGAAACTTACCCAATCTGGACCATAGACAAGCATCCATAAGACCATAACACTTAGTTGTTATTACTTTCTACTTATTGCATTTCTATTCCTACTAAGAACACTCAAAAAGTATCAACCAGTCAAATGTTAAATTCAATCAGCAGAGAGGATCGGGTTTGATATGAAAGGTTAGCTAAAACCAAGTGAATAGAAACTTAAATTTGTCTTCTGTCTTTGCTACATATATTTCAGCAGAATGCTTGTGCTAGGATGCTTCCTTTAATTTCTTGGGTTACAAGTTAAAACTAAGATAAGGATAAAATAATATACACACAATATAGAAGAATGATTTAAGGGGTTATGCTTTCCCCTGGAAAAATCAGTCATAACATCAATAAGAACAAAAATAGAAAGTTGAAAAAAGTTAACCTTGAAGACAGCTGATCGAGAATTGATATTCTCATGAATGGACTTGTCAATAACAATGTCTTCATTGATGTTAACTCCGCCCATCTGCTGCCAATGCTTTAAAGATACATTTGATGCTCTAGCAATGAATTGGCAACTCCAGTAAACTAGACAAAAAGTATGCTTTAAGAATCAGGTATTTTATAAAACTTGTTATATATAAGATATTGAAAGTTCACTAACACCCTCTCCCTTGCCCACATCTCTAACCCCCAAAGAAAGAAAAAAGAAAACCTAAAAACGATGCCCTTCTTACAAGGGGCAGAATATGACACCAGGGTCAAAAATCAAAGTAATGCATCCACACAACACAACCATTAATAGACAAACAACAAAACATGATCTTTATGAAAGCATTAGAATGCAAAAGTTTTCTCACCATTTACACTAGGAAATATGAGAGGATAACAAGGGCCCTGAAGTTGAAGAGAGGAGTTTCTCATTTCTGGAGTAAGAAACTCAAAATAATCATAGTTCATATCAATCCAATCATTCATTGAAACACGGATATCTCCTTCAGGATAATCACACACCCAAGTAAGTGAATCTTCCGAAGGCATAGGGCAGTCCAGCAAGCATATACTGCGGGCATCGGCCAGTTTGACTTGGCTATCCTTCAATCCACTCTGATAAACCTGATTAGGATTTAGCCAGTATCTGAGCTCCAATTCTCGAAGGTCTTCAGCAGCATGCTTGTCACCGCACACATTTCCTTTGTAGTCCAGCCCATAAGTAAGCCTAGTAAGCCATAATAACAGTGATCACAAATTACACAACCATAACCACAAAAGGGAGAATAAAATTATCGGTGCACGCTACTATACAATCAAGATTATTGCACTCTCAAGTCATTTTTTGAGATTGTATGGTTCAGGCATTTTAAATTCCAAAAATTTATAATCACTTTTTTTTTTTATCAAAATCCAACAAACATAGGACATTTGCCATAGCTTTGTTGAATAATTATACAAATTAAAGACCCAAAAACTGAAAGAAAAGGGAAAGTAGAAAATGTAGGACCGCAGGGAACACCTACCCCCCCTCCCCTCATACACACACAGAGGAAATGCATAAATGGTCGAAAGTTAACATCCATGGCAAAATATCCTTAAGGAAAAAAAAAACACTATTAAAGTATTCCCTAGAGAAATAGCATCTCATGTCTTAAATTCAAGCCTTAAAGCTACAAACTTGCTAATTATAGCAACTCCATTAACACAATACAGAATCAGATAAAGCTGGAAACTTTAAGATCCTTACCTTAATGGGTTTCCTTTGCTGAAAGCAAAGCTGGAGTTGACAATCATGGCAACCCAGAAAGCTAAAAATATGACAAGAACAGCTATGTCTCTGCATTTTCTGTTGTGCCTTATGATTCCACCCAAGTGGGTGGTTCCATCACTTGATGTGTACCTTCCAATGACTGCACCCAAAGGACCCCTCATTTTGAAGCCTTGTATTATGTGTATCTATTTGGTTCAGTTCAGTTCAATGTTCCAGAGAGAGATTCAGACAGAAAGCACAAAAAGAAGGGACAGAAGTAGAGTAGAAGGTAGGACTCGGACACTGCTAAAGCTTCTGTAATGAGCAAAGGGTTTTAGAATTAGAATATTAATAATGATTCTTAAGAATTAAATCTTGCATTCCATCATAAGACAGAGATATTCTCTGAAGTCTAAAGTGGTTTTTTTTATTTAAAGAAAAAAGAAAAAAAAAAAAGAGTTCTTGTCTTTTGTGGCTCACTTCATAATCATATATGAGCTGAGATATGTCGGTTCTTAGGAAATCATGGGTCCGGCTTGTGAAGCTGAAAGTGACAAAACTGAAAATAAGACTCAATTGTCACTTATTAATATTTTTAATATTAAATCATATAGTAGTTTTAAATTTAAAGGAAACATATTTATGACGAGTAAATATTTATTTCATTTTAACAAATTATTAGCATTCGTTATTTTTTTCTTTTGCTAATTAGCATTCGTTAATTAAGTCTTCAACTTTATAAAAATGTTATTTTAATTTATATCTTTATAAATAATATTTATTTTAATTATTATTTTATATAGAAAATAATAATAAAAATAATGTAAAAAATTAAAATAACTCAAGAATTTAAAAATAAGTATTTATTCTACTTATAATGCTACGAAATAAAATATCATATTGCCATTATTTTTCTGAAACAAACATCTATAATTAATCGTAAATATCTAGAACAGTTGTAATTATTTAATTTTGATTTTTTATTATTATGCTTCTAGCATATGTTATATTTTTTTATTCATATTTTTGTCTCGTGCACGTAAAACTACACTAGTTAACATAAATTTTAAAACATCTATTGTTAATTAATTCTCTTACAATCATAGATAAATATAAAAAGATACTTAAACATGCATTAAGCAAGCACGATATCATAAGTCATTTTAAAAAATAAAATCCATGATAAATAAAAATATTTTAACTAAATAAATTTTCATGATTTTTAAATAAAGTACAGTACTTTAATTGATTGATATATATTAATTTGAAAATATTAACCCATGTAACATTATAATAATTATATTTAAAAATAATAATTATACATATCATAGGAATATAAAATATAATTATTATATTAAAATACATATAAATCAACTTATATAATTTTAAATTAAAATTGTATTTAATTGTACAAATTATCTTATAATAAGAAATGAAAAATAAGAGTGTGATTAGTAAGGTATAATTTACTTTTTTTAGTCCGTAAGTTAGAATAGAGTTATTCAATAAAATAAAAAAATAAATAATTTATAAATTTTAAAAGTTAAACTTTAAGTAATATTTAATTTACTAAAAAGTAACTTTAATATATATATATATATATATATATATTATTCTTTTAAACACTTTTTATTTCACAAAATTAGTATAACACTTTTTAAAATCATTTAAGACATTTTAGTTAGTTATCCGATTATTTTTATTAAATAACTCTAATTCATTTGATCGGTAATAAATTATTAAAATTTTAACTAATTTTATCAAATAAATTTAAGTAGAGTAAAACACAAAGGATAAACTAATAAAAAATATTATACATATTTCTAAATATATTTTTATATTTAAAATATTTACACAAATATGTAGAATATAATTTTAAATAATAAAAGTCAGGGCCCATGGGAAGTACTAAAAAACAAAAAGGCAATTATTAGATTTGAATAATAAAACGAAGGAACGTTGCGCCGATTTGGCGATAAGGATAGACAATGATTTAATGCGCGTATCAATTGATAATTGATAAATAAATGTATAATTGTGTTCCTCTTGCAGTTTTCTTCATTCTTCGTAGCATATTTAGTTTCAAGATAAAATTTGTATTTACATTAATATTACTAATTATAATTTTTAAATTAGATTTATGATTATAATTTTTTAAAATATATTTTCAAACACGTACTTAGGTAAATGTGAAGACAATAAAAAAAGTATCTTTGAAATGAATAAAATATTTATTGTCTCGATTAGTTTGGGTCAATCTAATTTATTAGGTTGTTTTGTGAGATGAATCAAATTAACGACTAAAAGTTCTTTTATCTCTCAAAATCTAAATTTTTTATGAAATAAAAACAAATTGCAACCTACGAGGAACAGAAACAGGAAAACATGGAACTAAAAATGGGGTCTTTGATTCGTTCTGCTGTGACGTTGAGAAACCTCGAAACTACTTTATGAGATTAGAAAACTTGCTATTGCTTCTTTCTTCCATGTTTCTCTCTATTTGTCTTCTCTCAAGTCTCAACCACTTACATGCCCAACAGGTGCTTTAATTTGTCCTTCAAGATCTCAACCATCTTTTAATATTCAAATTTTAAGGAAAAACAATGGTGTCTCGTCTCATGCCACCAAGATTGAAAAGAATAATATTTATTTCACTTTAAATAAAAAGAGTAAAGACTCAGATTTATCTTGTTTCATCAATTCTGAGATTGGATAAGCATTTTATATGGGTACGTTAAAATAAACATCTTAAATTAAATATTGATTTAATATTTTTTTATCACCAGAAAATTGATTTCATAAATTTGGCTTTAAATTTTACGAACATAAGTTTATAAAAATTATAAATTATTTTTTTAGATTAAATTATAAGTTTAGTCATTATCCTAATATATTTTTCTAATTTTGTTTATATTTGATTAAATTTTATTTTTCATAATAATTTGTGTTTTGAATTACAAGATACAATATATTGTCACTTTAGATTCACATAACTAATCCTCACTAACAGAATGATTTAGGATGATTGTGTCAATTCATGTGTATATAAATATAAATCTTCTGATCTGCCATATTGAAAAGAGTGTTAAGGAAAAGTTTTGAAGGTGAAGAAGATGAGAAACGAGGGAGAAGATAGGATTAGCGCGTTGCCAGACGAAATTCTGTGTGAGATACTTTCGTTAATTCCAAGCAAAGAAGCCACACGCACGTGCGTTTTATCAAGCAGGTGGAGATCCCTTTGGAGAATGGTTCCAGCCTTTGACTTCGTGCTCATGCCATCACACACCCCCGACAACTTATTCTTAATAATCGACAACTTCATGAGTCAACGGACGACACAGAGAATAACGAGGTTCAGTTTCGAATGCAAAAAACACTTACGTCGTTTTCCTAATGTCAAAGAACAATGGATTTCCGCCGCTGTAGCCGGAAAAGTTGAATCCCTCAACATCACCTTGTGCATGAGCTTTTACAACGTGGGACTCTGCATGTGTCGCGTGCTGCCCCTGCCCGATAGCTTGTTCACGTGCGCAACACTCGTGACGTTGAAGCTTAAGGGGCGGGGTGATCTCCACGCGATTCCTTCTTCTGTTTATCTTCCCTCTCTCAAGAATTTGGAACTCATAGTGAAATATATTGAGAGAACCGTTTTGTGGAGGATTCTATGTGGGTGTCCTGCTATTGAAACGTTTGATGTGAGTAGAATATTTGTTAATAGGTTAAGCAAGCGGTTGAGATTGGTGCGAAACTCTCGTGGTAACAAGCTTTTGATATTAGGGCACCGTCTTGTTGAAATACGAAGTGATTGTGATCATGATTATGTGAGGGACTGTTTGTTTGAGGATTTGAAAAACGTGGTGAATGCCCATGCTTTTGTCACTGTGTATAAGCCTTCTGATAAGCATCGATTTTTGTTCACGATGCTCAAAGAGCTGTGCAATGTTAAATATCTGACCTTATCATTATGTGATCTTAAGGATGAGGTAAAATTCTGCACTTGCAATTTGATGTACTATTACAAATTGTGGGATGAAGATGTAGTAAACGATTTTGTTCTTTTTTTTTATAATTGGTGACAGAAAATGTGCTAATGTAGTTTGTCAATGCCTTCTTTACAGACATCTTTTACGGCTGCTCTTCCAGAATTTCACAATTTAATTCGTCTAAAGACCAATCATGCAAAGACTCAGATGTTTCTGGAACAGTTTACTGGGAAGTGTCCTAAGCTCGAAGTTCTTGTCCTTAATTAACGGTCATAATTGTCAGCTTCGTGAAAGTACTAGTTGCAAGTATGGGAGAACCTATCCTTCGTAATCCTTGACTTGTTCGACACCTTAACCGATTACCGTGTTTAAAATTGCATATTTAAGACCAAATATGACCTGAAACCTGTAGAATATAGTCTCTAAAAGTCTATTAATTTTACCTTAGGTTGAAGCGGAAGGTCCATAAAGAAAATTATTGTTAGTAATCAAGTCCGGTGCATGTTAACTTGGTACTTTTTTACACATTTTTATTTTCTGAAATGTCTGTTTGGGGAATGTTAATTTATGAAGACTTGTTCTTTATCAAGTTTTTGATCGATTTCTTTCTTTAATTATTAATACCAATTCTACATGCATTTATACTCATGCCAGTGATGTTCAATAAAATAATCAACGCACAGTACAAAACGTTTCCCTCTTTATTACTCGTTACACAGTCAAAAGAAAGGCCCCAAGCCTTGACTAATATTGAAGAGACATATGAAGAAACTAATGAAAATAATTTGTCTCCAGTAACTATTTTTAAACCTTTTTATGAAAACTAACCTAAGATTTCTTTTAAAAATTATTAAACATGTGCTCAATTAAATTATATATCCAAATCCATCCTTAAAAATAAAAAGTTTCAGATAAAAGATCTTTTGGAAAGATGAACGGGAAAACAAATTTTCCACCAACGAGAGACTTTACACATGCCACAGCCAATTTCAATCTGTTCGAGTGATGAGGGATGGACACCAGATGGCATGTAGCTCGGACTCAACCGTTTTGAAATGGTCACTTTGATCGAATACAACGCCAAAATCTCCATCTTGTGAAGAAGCAACACTCTTCGATTAGCAATGTTAATACGTTATAACAGTGAACATTTACTCATCTATCGGAAAATAACTCCTCGACGGCAAATGCTAACTCAGTTTTTTTGGGTCAAGCGGCAAATGCTGACCCAATATGCCAAAAGATGCATAGCTGGCATAAAATGAGATTGTCACGGTGACAAGATCATCGTCACTCTATCACCTGATTCTTCAATTTACAGTAAGTCATGTCCAACTATATGGCAGCATCAGGATCCAACCTTCTCTGGATAGCAGCAGCAGCCTAAAGCGATAAAATTGCAGCCAGTTAGTTTAGTGAATGAGTTAACGCTCAAAAGCTAAAACCCAAGTAATTGTAATTCTCACCTCAAAGTTTCCAAGCTTGTACTGGTAAGCCATCTCCTCCCTGAGTTGAGCTTGCTCCTTCATTGCTTGTGCCTGTAAACCATGCACAAAGTGACAAACGAACCTTGCCATTAAGAAAATGACTAGAAAGTTAAATTTCCACAAGAGCAATCCAGTAAAAAAACTAACCATTCCACTTTGCATAGAGCGTTTCAATACCATCACTTGCTCTTCCTTATGCTTTTCACGAGCTTGCAACAATTCTTGCCTGAAAGTGCAATGAAAATTTATTATGGCAGGATGAAGCAACTTGGGTCAACATTGACAATTCTTGCTGTGTGGACCACAGTTCCATTTGAAGAACACCAAAAGAGAGTTAAGAATTTGATGTACAAATATATAAGCTATATTATGGATGGATAATTTTTATGTCACATTCTGACACAATTATAAATAAAGCTTCAAATAATTTAGTATGAGTATATTGTTGCAAATGAGAAACAGTTGACAGAAGAGTGAAATGAAATAATTAATTGAAAAATCTAACAAAATAAAAAATGAAACAAGATAGTACCAAACTAATACATCCATTTCAGTGAGTTAGCCATTAAAGGTGTAGGAGAACTAAAAGGCAGACTCCGACTAGTAAGGCAGGATTAGTTACAGGACAGCTTCTATTTATTGTAATAAGTTGCCTATTTGTGGTGGCAGTCATTTGTGTAGAAATAATAGATATAGGAGTGCAGAGCAAATATGCTCACTATTTAGTGGTTTGTTTCTGCAGTGTTTAATGGAGGAAAACTCCTTAGGGTGAAAACTTTTATTGAGAAAGATGTATTTATTAAATTGAGAATATAAAAGTGTAATAAATGTTATCATCAGAAAAAATTACTATTTTCAGTTGCTTAAAATCAATGCCAAGAGCTTAGGTTGACAAAATTGTAACTTACATCCTATTACAGTATTCTATTTCTTGAATTCAACATCAACATTATTGTTTCTCAAGAAAATGCTTCAAATAACAGTATGTGTAATGTAATTTGAAAAGAAAAGATTGCCAAACCAATTTAAGATTAAATAAGTAAAAGCAGCATGAACAAAATTCTACCTGCGCTGTTCCTCATCGTTGAAAACAGTACGTTCTGTTGCCTGGATCTTCTTAACACCTTTTTGCCTCTCTTTTTCCATTTGACGCCTGTAGTAAGCATCAAGATCATAGTACCTGCCACATTAAACCACAAAAATGATTAAGTCAATATCTTAAATCCATGTCATCATTGCAAGAAAAGGAGATAATAACATTGATAAATCACAATTCAGGATAGAAAATGAGTGCAAGTCATTTTTAAAACATTAATTTTCTCATGATAAAAGACTTTAGTTTATCTTGATTTTATACTTTGTATTGTAGTCATATCATGTCATATAATTTTAAATTTTTTCATATCTATGTCCGTGCCCTATCATATCTAAGTCTCATGTCGAATTTGTATTTCCTAGATAAAAAGACCAAAGTATTCCTAGATAACAAATAACATATACATGGGCATCTAGATTATTTCTTTTTTACAAATTTGAGCACAAACATCTGTCCCGATTAAAATAAGCTAAACTAAAACACTGCAAGAGCTTACTTTTTGGAAGGAAAGGTAGCTGTGTTGTGATCCTCCATGAACCTGCATATCAGAAATTAGAGATAAACAAACTTACATTTAAATCAACACCGTATATGTAACCAAAATTTTTTTCAAGAGAATTAAATGTAACAATTAACACATGACTAATCAAAGATTCTATTAAGTCCAATAAGGGAAGAATGAAAGAAATTGATATGAACATATGTTAATTCCTTTTCTTTTATGGTATTGCATACTACCATAATATCGAACTTAACAATTAGCAAACATCAAGTGACTTGTTTTTCCCCTCCTGAGTAGCAAGTTTAGGTGCATACTCTTTGAACATCTGTTTTTCTTCCCAATTGGCCAGATTCTCCAGATTCACCTGTGAAAATACTGCAGCAATTAAGATATAGGATATGGTCCATGTAACCATGACAAACATATAAATTAGGATACCAATAGAAGAATGAAAAAATATTTTCTGCAGTTCTTTTTAAAGGACAAAAAAATGTGGTCCAAATGAACAGGTCCAGCAGACAAGAAATAAATTAATCTAATTATTATGAAAATCTGGTTTCGTGACACCATCTCTATGCAAGAAACAAGATCAATAGTCCATGTGAAGAATACATAGAAAAAATTTCCCCAGATGATGTAAGGAAGCCACCAAGAGGACCACCAAGTAAAATGAAGAGGAAACGTCATATACATTGTTAGATTGCATAATATATAAAGTAGACCAAAATAATCACCTGCTTTACTTCTGCCAACCATGCAGTGAACTCTGGTCGTTTAGTCCTGCAATATTCATAACATCACTCACAGAAGGGATGGAGAGACCCATAGTTCACAAGATATAAAGCTAAATTAGATACTTATTAAATTCAGACTCATTCAAAACTAAGGTTGCTTATTTACTCCCATAAGACCTCTCCTTACTACTTAAAGATCTGAGAAGATCATGAGATGAATCTTCAAGTTAAATTGAAGCTTCTATGAGAAAATTGAAAGTATGATCATAAAATCGTGTAAACATTGAAACAATCTTAAGAATTTTTTCAGTCACTTTAGTTTATAAAGTCAAAACAGAAAAGTACATGCGTTCGTAGACATAAAATCTAGCAAAAGTGTCCAAGAGACAATAGCTTGAGCAAACCGTCAATATCAAGAGCAAATGGCTATGCTAACCCTTTCATCAAAACCCATTTAAGAAATTATTGCTGTTGTTCTCCTACATTAAATAAAACAAATAGAGAAAACCAGTCACCTTGCTTTTGCCAACATGTTTCATCTTCCTATACTCCAGAAATTGTGGCACAATGGCATTAGCCAACAAGTTTCAAAATTTTAAAAACCCCAAAGATTAGAAATCACAATCAGGAGAGTAAAATATAACCTACAGTCCATGAATCCCCCACAATGAAAGACAAAGTTAACAATAACCATTGCCTCCTTCAAAGAATAATTCTATATTTTCAGCATGTATTTAAGATTGCAGTTCCAAAGACAGTACTAAGCTGAGACCCTTAGTTAAAATAGGACAGTTTTGAATTCTAATATTTCTTTTAAGCAAAAGACAATGAAAAGATAATTTTTTAGAGTATGCTGGAATTTGTTGAGGAGTTGTTTTCCTTATTTTCACTCCTTTTTCTGTTTTTCTTGTCAAGAGAACAACTTCTAAGTTCTAATCCTGTTATTTGTCACTGTTCTTCACCAATCTTACCAAAGTTCGTATAATAGTATAACTCTAGTCAATTTGAAAGCTTATGATGCTCAATCTCACCATCTTTCAATCAAATTGCATAACCATGTCTACTCACAAGCTCACTAACTGCAAACTCAGTCCTATCCTCATGCAACCACAAACAACCCACATACAAAATCAAAGTAACAAACACATTGGCCAATAAATTCAAAACCTTAACAACATTGTTAGTTTGTCACAAACAATTAAGCAGCCTCCATGACCACAATTCAAACATTTATCACTAAGATACATTCATCTCTCACATTTCAATCAATAAATAAACATAATACATAATACATAATAAAGGGAATAAATCTCATACCACATATCAGTTTCTCTAATAACACCATATTTTCCCCAAGAATTTGTCACTGCTCCCTTCTTCCCTCTCTCCTGCTTCTCCTTCTTCTTCTTGTCCTTCTTTTTCTTCTTCTTCAGCTTCTCTTTCTTCCTTCTCTCCTCTTCTTTCTCCTTCTTCCGCTTCTTCCTCTCTTTCTCTCTCCGCCTTCTCTTCCTCTCCCTTTCTTCCTCCCGCTCCCTCCTCCTCCTCTTCTCCTTCCTCTTCCTTTCCTTCCTCTCCTCCTCGCTCTCCGATTCCAATTCCGACTCCGAACCGGACCGCTCCGAATCTTCCTCCTCCGAACTGGAACTCGAACCGGAATCGGAATCCGAGTCGCTGTTGTAGCGCCTCCGCGATTTCCTCTTCCTCCTGTGTGGTTTCTCGCTGTCAGAATCCGAGCTTCCTCGCGCTTTCCTCCTGGAATTACTGTGCTTTCTGTCGGTTTCTGAGTCTACATCAGAATTTACTCGTGCTTTTCTGGAATCCCTCTTTGACGGAGCTTCGTCTTTCTCTAAGCTCGCTGCCTTTCTCGGCAGGGTATCGTTTCCGTTTCCATCTCTCGACATGTTTGGCTCCGAGCTCAGCTTCGGGTTTTGCAGTGAGTCAAGTCGCAGAAACGGGTTGCGTCCACAACTCGTAAGACGCAGAGCTATTTACTGGATTCTGATTAGATGGGCTCGGGCGCAAGCCCAATAGATGTTAGGACCCACTGATTTGGTAATGGGTGGACCATAAAAGCCTACTTAGAAGAGCTATATAATTTATTGACAAAAAAAAAAATAGAACTATATAATTATTTTTAATTTCTCTCACTGTGGACAAAAATATATATCTGATAAATAATAATAATAATAATAATAATAAAGGTTCAAATTCCTCTGTATCAGTCCATCAGAAGAAAAAATTGTCTAAAAGTGAGATGAAGAAATAATATTTTGAACTTTGTGTTCGGATGAGAATAAAGAGTCTAATATTTTATTAAAAAAAATATAAATATTTTTTTTTCCAATAGAAATAAAAGTTTGCGAGTAAAATGAAGCAAATAAATTGTTAAATATATAATACTTATTTTAAAATGAAATATCGTACATTACACAGCTTATTTATATATTTTAAAAAAAAAGTTTTTAACTTTATTGCTTGGGAGTGTTTCATGCTAACGCAGTCGGTATGTTTCGATTATTATTTATTTTAATTTGTAAGACAAACCTCTATGTCTTCTATTGTACCGTCAAGTATAAGAGATAAATGACATTAATATTTATAAAAAATATATATAATTAAATTTTAATAAAATACTATACTTATTTTGACTTGAATTTTATTTTGAGATAAACATTGCATGAATTTGGCCAATATCATATATAGGTCTAATAACTGAGATCGTTCTCATTCTCAAAATTGTGTCATAGAAAAGAGAAAAAAAAAATATTAATATTTTATATAATACTTATAAAATAAATATAAAACTATGTAACTTATTTTTATTCTAAAAAAATTCAAATTAAATCATATTTATTATATACAAAATTATTTATTTATCTTCTTTATATATATACATAGTACAATTGGTCCTTATAAGTAAATATTATATACAATCTCATTTACTTATAAAATAAATTTTTTACATATATCATTCTAACAAATATTTTAAATGTATCATTTAGTGAGTCACTTGTATTAAATATTAATAAAGTATAATTATTTAAAATTGAGTTAGATTATTAAGAATAACGATAAAAATTATAAAAATAAAAATTTTAAAAAATTAATTAAAAAACAACTTTAAAATTATATAATTTGAAACTTTTAAATCTTTATGGGATAATAATCTTTACTTAACAAATTTTTTTCTTTCAAACGTATAGTAAATCAAGAAAGATTGAAAATTTTAAAATTTACATATTAGATATTATAATTTTTATTATTCATCATTTTTTAAAAGAACTCTCTAAAAATAAATTATTTTTATATGCATGTTCTTCAAATTTATTTATTTTTTAGTTTTAAAAAGAATAAAATAAAATATTAAATTTTTTTCACAATTTTAACTTGAATATATTTTTTACTACAATAGAAATTATTTTTTCTTTTTCACTAAATTCACGTAGGCAAACTTTTTACTCAAACACTACAATTCACAGTCAAAACTACAGTAAGCAATGCTAATATAAAATTCTATAAATTTCAAACCATTACACAAAAATCACACTGTAAAATGCGTCACACTCTACCATATCAGAAAGATAAGCAAAAACAGATAAAAGAACTGAATATTTATAGGTACATATACTCTATTATTTATTAAAAAAAATTTCTTTGATAAATGCCATTATCTATATGGAGACCCTGAAAAAGACTAGTGTCGAGAGTGAACGAGAGAAACACGTGTTCAATAGTTTATAATATTAATTATTAAGATAACAACTATTATTAATATGAAAATTTATAAATAAAAATGTAAAAAATGTTTACATAATATATTTAAAATAAATTAATATTCCAATAGTGTAAAAAGTTTTAATATTATCCCCTAATTTTGAATTATATATTTTAATTGATTGATAATGTAATTTTGTTATAGAAATATTAAATTATATTTAAATATTATATAGTGTATTATATAATTACTTTTATCTTTTACTTTTTAAAAAATAAATTTAAAATTTAAATAAAAAAATATTTTATTCATTGCAAGACATTTTGCATTGAAGGAGTCAATTACGTATTCAACTTGTCTTTCTTCTTACATACTGAAATTCCTTAACAGATATATATATATATATATATATGTACAGATTATCCAAGTAAAGTATTCGTTTCAAGTATGAAAAAGGGGTCAGAATTCTTTTCTATATGTTTCTTTATTCAAGTACTTACAAATTTCAGTTCGTTTTACTATTTTTTGTTTTAAAAAATATTATTATTTTTTCTTCATGTAAAGTTTAACAAATAAAGTATAAATTAATTACGTTAAGAAAAGACTGGCTAATAATAAATAAATCAGAAAAATATTAAAATTTAATAAATAAACAAAATTTTTAATCTCTCTCTGTCTATATATATATATATATATATATAAACAAATAAATAAAAACAGGAAGCAATATATATGAACGACAAAGTAAATACTACAAATTTCAACGCCGAAAATCCATTTTAACTACTTAATCAAGACAAAACTCGTCTTTTCCGTGATCTTCACAAAGTCCGTGTATTGAGGGAAGACAACAAAGACTTTATGTCAACTAATTTCTAGTGTTATATTCGTTTTCTTGAGAAGGAATAAGAATTTCACTCTTATTTTATTTTTTGTGAAAGAAAAATTTCTGGGTCATTGATGCTTTGTGAATAAAGAAATTAAAGACGTGAACAATATAAGAGAACTACGAAATAAACTGTTGATTATTGTTTGGGAAAACAAGACTTTATTCTGGAACACATGAAGTACATGCAAGTACATAACTCATCCGTTATGCACATACATGCATACATGATGAAGTGGTATTCTTATTCATATATATAGTAGTTTATTAGTAAAAGTTCCTGCATCTTATATTATACATATGTTGGATATGCATTTGCATTTAACAGTTTCTAGTGCACCAACAACGAGCATCGTCCCTGCACCTGCCCCTCACTAAGTGCTCTTTATTCTTACAGTGATCATCGCAGCTGGCGGTGGTGAAGCATGGACCCCTGTATGTATCTGCCAGATTCTCACAAGTCCTTCCCTCTGTTTGCACCACTACTTCTTCTGCACGTACCATTTCATTGTTTAATTACTAATTTCCCATCAGTACTTTAAAAATAAATGAAACTAATTGGTATTCAAAATGTTTTATAAAAATAAATATTTTTTTTTAATCAAATCAAACACATACTCATAATTAAATATTAGAAACAATAGTTTCTGCTAATAATAACTAGTTAAATTAAAGAGCATTGAGCAAAACGCAAAAGTATATATGACACAATAGAACTAATGTAACATTTTGCATCCCAAAACAATAGCTAGAGACATGCAATAGATTGACGTGAAGACTTGAATATCTTACGAGCAACAAAGAGAACGAGGAAGAGGAAGCACAATCCAGCTAGTGATTTCTTCTCCATTATGACTTAGTGATTTGCTTATCTGCTGTGTATGTTGATTATGTGTAGTGATGCTACGTAGGGTGTGTGTGTTAGACACATATATATAGTGATGCGCTGAGGGACTTGACGAGTACGAATGATCATAAATTCTGATGACAAATTAATAAAGTTGCAATGGAAACCCTAATAGAAGGAAGCAGAATTCAAATATTGGGTTGTAATTGTACTCTTTTGTGGAAAAGTCAACAACAAGCCGCATGTATGACCGATCGAAGAGCTTATCAAGATAAGATGCTACCTACAATATATATGACACAATAATGTTATTTATCTTTTGCGATTAAAAGATTAAAAAAAAAATTCTTTATGAAACATAATCATTAAGTTATTATCAGAATTAGTAAAATTCATATAATTTTATTATTAACTAAAATTTATTAAAATTTTAAAAAAAATATTAATTTAAGAGTGATGTTCCGTGATTTTTTATAGCTTTTAATAAATTTTAACTGAGTGAAAGATGAATTATAAAAAAATGTGTTAAGAGAATATATATGTTATTAATTCCTAATGTCTCATCCAAAATTAATTAATATTCTCCTTAATGGTATCCACATATTTCTGATAGATTAATTTTTATTGACATTCAACAAAATCTCAATTTATAGAGGTGGATCATATGAAAGAAGGAAAATGGGCATTGACATCCATATTATCAACACAAATTCTATTTAAAAAGGGTAATTTTACCTATCGTTTCTTTTTAATTTTAAGAAATACATGGATGGGTGCATGTGCGTCAACATATAAATGATGTAACATATTCTATTAAAAACAAGTTTTTTTTTAAAAATAATAATGCAAAGCTATAAAACAACAATGATTTATACGAGTGCAATACGTCAGGAAAAATTGAAAAGTCTATGAAACGGTGCAGCAAGTTAGCCATGAATTCAACGAAGCGGTGCGATAATACGTAATACCTACGATTACATTGAGAATGTTTGCAGATTAACTAATTTAATCTAATCATTCTTTTAGAATTTCTCAACGAGTTTGGTATAAAAGATAAATTCAATTGAAATCGACCGAATTTAATCAATTTGTATACCTAAGTTTGCTTTTACTCTAAAAAGTAATTTCAGAAAAATAACGAATTCTTGCATCTATCATTCTTATCCTGAAATTATAACATTTGTTGAAGGCATATTGGTTGTATGGTCTATTTTCATTTCATTATTCATGAATCTCTAACAAATTTTGGTTTTCCAAAACCCATCATTACTATATCATTCTAAGTGCTTGAAACAATCCACATATCGTATAATTTCCACAATGTCCATTATCTTTAAATTCAATAAAATTTAATAAAATTCCAATACAAATCATTAACAAGTACTCTGCCATTATCATAGTGTTACAAAAAGTACACATATTATTCTAAAAATATTATTCACAAAAAAAAGTGATAATAAATTATAAATTAATAAAAAAATTGTTTCACGTGTTTTTTGTACTTACAAATGATTTTTTTTCCTTCATATTTACAGAAACATATACGCACAGGTATTTAATTAAATACATAATGTTGACTATATCACTTCTCTCTTGCCATCAAACCAATTAAACATATAGATGACGTGACAACTAATTAATTGGATCGTGCTTAATTAGAACAATACGAGAATATTGGAAAGAAAAATAACAATTCATATTTCGCAATAAAACAGCACTTTATTCTTGAACAGAGAGTACATAACTCATCCGTTATGCACACAGTGCATTTACACGTAGTTCTTAGATAAGAAACAGTAATACATAGATGCAGTGCTACTTTTATTTGTATAATATAGTCTTATTTATAAAGCTCCTGCATGTTCTTGTTGAAGAGAAAGCGTAGTTTGCATTTAACAGTTTTTGGTGCACCAACACCGAAAATCGTCCCTGCATCTGCCACTGATTAAGTGTTCCTTGTTCTTACAGTGATCATCGCAGCTTCCAGTGGTGAAGCATGGACCCCTGTATGTATCAGCCAGGTTCTCGCAGGTCTTTGCCTCTGTTTGCACCACTTCTTCTGCACGTACCAATTCATTTAATTGTAAGCGATTCAGAACTATATCTAACTATATTTAATAGGAATTATATTAATAAATCATATTTTTAGTGTATTTTAAAAAATCAAAATTATAACTTAAAAATACAGTCCTTTTAGAAATTAAGTGGGTGGGAGCATCATCTCTATCTCTGTATACATAAAATGTAACATTATGCATATATAAAAAACATCAGATACATAAATATATATAGAAGGAGCTAGAGACACATATGCAATAGAATTAACATTGATCAGATGAATGGCTTACGAGCAACAAAGAGAACAAGGAAGAGGAAGCATAATCCAGCAAGTGATTTCTTCTCCATTATGGCTTAATTGGTAACACACTAATATGATGATATATGGGTGTGACAGTGAATGTTGTTGTGATCATAAGTGGTGTGTTAAGACACATATTTATAGCCCTAAGGGAGTTGACAAGTAAACGAGATTAAAGGTGAAATTTTGACTATAAAGTTGCAGAAAAAAGACGTAAGTTGAAACTAGAAGAAGCGGACATTTGAATTCTGGACATTGTGAATATATCATGGCGAACACTCAACATGCCCCGTGTACCATTCAGGAACCTATCGTTAATAGATTGAATTGATTGCTCGGTGATACTAAGATCCTCCGCAACACGCGTTTAAATTAATTTACCTTTTGTTTAAATTAATTACAAATACTGCTTCTATCTTTTATTAAAGTTATTTTTACTCCAACCAGATATTTGTTATTATACATGTTATATTGAAGATATTTTATTTTTAATATATATTTTTAATGAGTATTCTGATATCGTTATCTAAGTCTAGACTAATATATTGTTATTTAATTTGTTTCTGCGTATTCTAGAAAATTTCTAGCAAATAATTCATAAAATATATTAGAAAATTAAAACATAGCTCCACGACTCTACGGTATTATCTTAGTCAGCATACCTAAATAGATTGTTATTCCCAGCGTCTCTTTCCTTTTAAGTTTACCCTAAATGATAACTGTGGACAAATAGCAAAATTTTGTTTAAGCAACACCATTACCCTAGAATTTACTTTATAAGGATAAGAATAAGATTAAATAAGGATAAGAACTATATGTAGCATAAGTTATATGGGTGTATGCTCTATTTCAGTTCTCATCCTTTCGTGAATCAAAACCATATATTAGCTTTCTCAAACCCATCAATATTATCATTAAAAATGTTTAATATTCTTATCATAGTTTCCCTACTGTCCGTTATATTTTTAATTTAAATAAAATTTACTAAAATAAATTCACCAAAGTTTCAATACAGCTCAAAATATTAAAGTATAAAAGAATTATAAGACCTCATTAGGTTATCCAATCCAATAGCTACCACCCAACCAAGAGAAAATACCATTTCATACTTTAAGGGAGAAAAAAAAATTAAAAATAAAATAAATCATTTTTTTCAAAAAAACTATCTTATTTAACTGCTCTAAAAGTTAAAATGCATTTATTAACAAAATATATACATAGATAGATATATATAACAATGAAATATAGTAAAGGTTGAGAGAAAAAGAATGAGACGACATTCCTATTCGTAAGTTTTAAATTCGTGTCATTCAAAAGATATTTAATTGGTAAGATATAAAGTACCCTTGAGGTATGGCACCACTACACTTTTGATATATAAAGTTAATTTCGTAACAAATAATTCCTTTAAATTTGAAGTGAAATAAAAACAATAGTCAGCTGTTAGTTTCACAGTTATGTGAAGACCTAAATACATATGCTTTTATGCTTCTTCACATGGACGGAGTTGGAAATGTTTGCTACACTAACGAAACTCTAATGTCAATAACAGTTCAAAAGAATGATTACATAATATTAAAATTTTAAGGTAGCTAATCGTGTTTGTCTAAACTATTCTAGAGGTTTTAAAATCCTCTTGCCGTAGCCATGCTACTACCCACCCCACGTGAACACCTTAAAATGTTTTGAATTATATCAAATCTTAATATGATTAAAGCAAAATTTTAACGCTCCATAATAACAGAAGTGTTAAAAGGAAAATATTTCATTTTCATGTCTACGGAAACAAGGTATGCATTATTGGTTCTTTCTAGGTTTATTATGGATTTTTTGGTATAACCAGATTTGGGCAACAGTATCGCTATTGCGTCCACGATGCTGCTTTATAGAGTCATTACTGCAAAATTGGCCTTCAAAACTGCTGCAGGAGTGTTCTCTAATTTTGTAGGCAAGACCAAGTTGGTTTGAAGCTGCTAGTAAGTTAATGAAATACTATACGGTTTAGGATGATTTTCATTATTAAGGAATTTACAGTTAGTACTAAAATTTGAATCATCATATATACATATTAGTGATATATTTAAAATATGTAACCTCAGAACTTTTATGCTGGCTTTTAGTTTCACTCATTTCTTAGACTCCTTTAGTGAGATCTCACTTTTTACAACCCCAGGTTAACTACTATATGAGTGTGCGTGTGTTTATTTTTTTCCCTCTTTCATAACACGATAAAAAGTAGGATAAGATCATGATCCTATCTATTTGTTGCCCAAAAAGTGAGCCTAGTCAAGCAGAGGGTAACGTAGGTTGAGCTCAAATTAGAAACATCAAAATTGAGTTACATTTACCTAAAACGAGATCGACAGACCAATTTTAAAACTAGAAATTAACAGTAAATAATTGAGCTCGCGAACCACACAGCAGTATACGGGAAACAAAAGAAAATGTTAAAAGCTATTAAAACAAAATAATTGACAACATTGAGAAGATAATGTTGCAAAACCCAACAAAATCATTTTATATCCGTATTACCCCGATATTTTTTAGTATACTTATGCAATCTAATCTGTTTTATACCCATACGTGCACACAATGTTCAGTGAAAGGTGAAAAGAAACACAAGTCAAAGATGTAAAATGTATTTAAAGCGTACTATTAATAGATGGCAATTTTACGGAACATCTTGGTAACTAATAATAATCTACAGCAACCGAAAATACGGTTGCATCCATAACTATACAGGACCGTAATGGTTATTTAAGAAACAAATAATCCAAACTGGAGATATATGGCTTAGATGAGAGGAAGCTAATGAGAAAAATAGCTTTTCTTCCAGCTGAAGCCTTCATCGGTTACCTCCTCACAAGAATTTTTCTAAGCTTGAGGTCAATGTCGCCTTGGGCACAGCACCAATAACTGCATCTTTCTTCTCACCATTCTTGAAGACAATGACAGTTGGAATACTTCGAATGCCATACCGAGTAGCAGTTGAAGGGCTCTCATCAGTATTGAGTTTGTAACACTTAAGCTTATCAGCATACTCCTTTGCCAGCTCATCAATTATCGGGTGGATCATTCGGCAGGGACCACACCATGGAGCCCAGAATTCAACCAATACAGGTAACTCAGATTCAAGCACAAGTGATTGCCAATTTGCATCAGTAACAGAAGCCACTGCAATATCCAAAAATACAAAATGTTTAACTTCAGTAAAGTATCTCTCTCAATCATGCAATAATTCTCTGAAAACGTAAGGCAACAGAATACAGATAATTAGGATGCACATGCTTCACTTGGAGTACAATTATGAGTAATGCTAAACTGTAAAACATGAACATATTACATACCAGACAAATGAAGCTCATTGAAACAAAATAAAGGAAAATACACTAAGACATCAGTCAAAGGTCTGTAAAATGTCACTGCAATTGCATCATACCAAAAAGAAACCTATTGTTATTCCATCTTGTCTATCAGTCTTGAATGCTTCAAAAATTATTGGATCAATTTAGATTATTACAAGTTATCATAATTTGTCACAACTGTAACAGTAAAAAGCTTTAATCCCAAATCTAATAGAAACCATCCACATATCTTTTGTCTGGAGAAGGCTAAATCAATTAATGACTAAGACTTTATTTCCTATACAAATTTCTCAATGACGGCGAAACCTAACACAATAATCATTGTTATAACAAGCAGAAGATCAAAATTAAAAAGGAATAAAAAAGCGCTATCCCTTGATAAGAGCAGAAAAGAAGCTCCTCTGAAAATTGGAGTTAAACCATATACATCTGATATTCAATTTCTCGTCTATTTCCAAGAGTTCCAACTCTGATTCGAAAAGAGCTTCTTTGTTTCTCTCTTTCCTACTGATAATAAGCATAAACGAATCTTACTTTAACCCATTCTTTTCACGAAACACCACACCCCCAAGGGGTCATTTCTGACAGTGAAAAAAGGAGCTCAACTTTTAAGATAGTAAACTCAACCATACAATACAGACTAGACAAGCAGGGAGATGGATTGCATAAAACCATATTTAAAATTCATGGAGACATGTAACCCTGTACTTTGCTTCCGCATTAGAGATTATAGAACCAAGAAAGAGATGCCAGAAGAAAATGAAATAGACTCCCAGAGTGACCTTAAATGGTGATGCAGTTTTTGATTGTTTGGTAAAATCATGACTACAAGCATGATACATTAACACTGTAAAAATAGTCATGTTACCAAAAGAGATATAGTTAAATTATAAAACAAATATGTAATCAAAATCAAATATGAGAAATTCTCAAACTACTTTAGCTCTCCTATTCATTTTCCCACAAAACTTCACTTTGGAGAAATGTGCCAAGTTATGAATAAAAACTACGAAAGCACTAGATCTACAACATATTAAGTGTCAACTAAATTCAGAATTCAAAAAATACACCGAATTTATAAATAAATAAATAAATAAAGCAGTTTTCTTAGTTTCACTCGTCAACATCCTCAAAGGCTCAAACAATTAGCATAATTCTAACGTCTACACCAGCGGAAAGTGTGCAAGAAATTACACAGAACATCAACAAAACCACAACCAAACTATCACAAAACTCACTCGCAAGTCCTAAACAACAAATCAACCCTAAAAGCAACGAAATAATAATAATAAAAAACAATAACTCAACAATTATTGGTTCAATTCGCAACGAAATCGGATCCTGACCTTGAACGGCGGTATCACGAGCCTCACACGCGACGCGTCCACTTCGAGGAGCAGTTTTCGAGGCGGCGCGACTCGGAAAACGGGTATCGGCGGCGTGTGTGAGTCTGAGGCCGGCGTAGCGCGGCAACGTGGGAAGGTTACGGCAGGCGGAGATGGAAGGCGAGACGGTGAGGGAAGGGAAAGCGGAGGAGCGAATGAGGGTTAGGGATTGGAGTTGCACGGTGGCCATAGATGCAGAGGATCACAGCTCCAGCAAACTGTGGAAGTGGAAGTATTGTGATGAATGCGCAAGACAAGTTCAAGACTATTGGACGAAATTCTTCTTTTTTTTTAATATTTTGTTTTATTTTAGAAGATATTATTATTATTGTGTGGATGAGGTGCTGCTACACTAACACATTCACTTTCTCTTTCGTAGTTGTGGAAATAGAACCTTTTTTTTTTACTCCATCATTTGTTTTATTATTATTTATATTTCTTTAAATTATAGTAAAAAATCATAAAATATTTTTATAATAATAATTTTTTTTTTTGCTTGAGTATAATAATAATGTTAATACAATGTCTTTAACTGTTATGTCGGTGTCCGACACATTATTTTAAATAATGTTTAGGCATTTTTTGAATGTTTCTAAGATATAGTTTTTTATATGTAAATGTGAATAAGATATTATAATAGTTAAATAACAATAATATCCTTATCAAACTTACAATTAACAATATTAGTATTTCTGTTTTAAATTATAAGATTTGTGTTTTTAATTCAACACTATTTCATTAATTTAAAAAAGTAAATGGTGTTTTATTCCCAACTGAAAAGTATACACACATTCAGACATCGTAACTCACCTAATCTGTCCTGTGTCAGTAATCCCAACCTAAACTGGTAAACCCCAAAATGGTTCAAAATCCACTCTGCCAATAACACAACATTTCTAACCCCAAAATCTCACAGGATACACACTCTCACCAAATCTCTCTTTTTTTGTTCTTTTTTCTTATTTAATTATAAAAATATAATCCTAATAAATAATCATAACTTTTTAAAGAAAGAAAATCTTTATATTAATTATTTAAATAACAACCTAAAAAAATGAAAAACGTGTAGAGAAGACAGATGATGGATATATATTAAATGAGTTAATATGTTTTGATTTTCTTGTGGTACCAAATGCATGAAATTCTCATTGTCATGTCCTACACATACAGTGAGCTGGTCAATGTTGAAAACAAAGCAGTACCATATATGAATCACGAACAATTACTTGTTCTCCTTTTTTTCTTTGACTTCTCCTACCTACCCACCTCAAATGCAAAACACCCCTTCTTCTCTAATACCCTCTTTCATGTCCACCATGGAGGAAAAAGAACCAAAGCTCATAAGGCACGGCCATGGCTCCAAAGAGAAGACCATGCACATGCACATGCACATGCACATGCACAACCCATCTGATGCAATCATGAGATTGGCCTCACTTGCTATCAGCCTCAACGTGCGGTTGAAATCATCCGACATGCCTGTTCACATGCAAGAACATGCTCTGCGCTATACCGGATCACTCATTCCCCTTCATCCTCCTTCTCCAAACCCATCAAACACTCACTTAGCTAGAGCTCTCAAAAAGGTATTTCTCATCTCTCGCTTTTGCTTTCTTCTACTCTATCTTTAGTATAACCCATTTATTATTTTTAAATGAATGCCAACTAATATCTTGAAGAGTGGCTAAGAAATTAAAATTAAAAAAAAAAAAACAACTATTAAAAGGGTTATTCATACTTTCATTATGACATAATACACTCTTAACATAAATTTTAATAAAAATATTTTATTTATTGATTCATTAACTATATAAGATATACACTTTTGAGCAAGATTTTGATCTGTATTATGTATGAATTTCAGGAGTTTGACTCAAAGTATGGATTGGCGTGGCACTGCGTGGTAGGGAAGAGTTTTGGGTCGTTTGTGAGTCACACGGGTGGCGGGTTCGTCTACTTCTCAATGGACTCGCTTTCGGTTCTTCTCTTCAAAACTGAGGTTCACTTGGTCACGCAACCACCACCTACTTAATATTATTTTTTATTATTTTAGTGTTTCTTAATCGTATATACATAGTATTGTACTCTTGATTCCAATGACAACTCAGGTTGTGTACTTGGTGGTCTTCCCATGTGTGAACTCAACAGTTAACTCTTTAACCTACCCGGTTCCAAAGTTCCCTTGTATAAAGTGTGTTGCATTTACAAATGGTAATTAGATGGTTAATATATAGCTTTTGGGTATGTAACCAGTATTATATATGTGTGATAATGTTTTTCTAAAGGTTGACGACTTCATTGTAACTAACTGCCACCCTCATTGGGTTTAATTACATAGGTGCATGTGAAGAGAAGTTGAGTGTTCAAATTGGATCATGTAATTATGAGTTTAGTTGATGGGTGAGGAAGGCTATGGTTATAAAAGATTGGTCATATTTGGTTTGAGCTTTTCGTATATTCGTTTCATTCAAAGCCTCAAGGCTAAAAGTGAACAGTGTTTTCGTGATGCTGATTGAAGGTATATAGTAGTAACAAATAAAAAAAACACCGACCACGAGAAACCCTTTGGTTGTCAGAGGAATATATATAGGTTCACTGTTTGAATTTGCAATTTACACGAGTCCTCAATTAACTGAGATATTTTTCAACTTTAGCTAGATTTGATTTCATTCATTTCACTTGTCCCGCTTATATGAACATGGAAGACTGTGTTTTGGTCCTGGGGTCCATCATTTATGACTTTTTGTTACGTTTTATTCTGCTTGTTTCCCGATGAAGGAGCTCTTGCATTACGCATGTTAGAAAAAGTAGTTCAATTTGAATTGCCATATAATTTTAAATTTATCAAAAATAAGATCTCGCCCATTGAAAATAAAAGCAATACTAAGAAGAGTGTGTTGTTGATTAGCACATCACATGAAAATAATGCACACGTTCACAATTACTAAAAAAACACAAGTTCTGTATTAGTAACTAAAGTGCAATATTTATTTTCAAATTAAATCAAGATCATTCACCAGTGGCCTATTTCATCAAGGATCGAATCATTCCCTACTTTTTGGACTTGGCGCTTGTGCTTTGGGGTTTGCTGTTACATTTCCACTTTTACGTTACGGCAAAAGAAAAACCCTTCATCCAGAAAAAATTTACATTAATTATAGCCCGATTGCGAATTGGGTCAAGAAAAGTAACTTCTCTTTTTAAGTCGAATTAATTAAAATATACTGATGATGTTGATGTACATTATCATTTTATTATAAATTATCATTTAACTTAAAATTATTTGTTTTTATAATAGCAAAGAAAAATTATGTGTTTATAATTAATTTAAATGTAATATCTAAAATTATTTAATAATATAAATTTCTAAATCACGTATCAAAATTAAACAGTTTTTAGAGTAACGACAAAATTGGTAGAAAATAACGGATTCAATTTCATTTTTATGATCAAGTCAAAACTGTTAATGTTCTATCGTTAAGGAAAAGGGGAGCAGAGAAAACAGGAAATTATCAATATTAGCTGAGTCATTGCATTCATATTGCTGAAAAACAACACAGCATTTTCTTCTTTGCTCATTTTCTGTCAATCTCATCTCTTTTCTTGTTACATTGATTTTAGGTTTTTCCTAACAAAATTGGATAAACGACAACGTATTAAGAAATTTAATAAATCTTGGATGTACTTCTTGATCTCCCAACACTTTTTCCTATGTTTGGTTGAATGGAAGATAATGAGGGAAAAAACTAAAATTTAAAACAGAAAAAATTAAAGAAGAGAAGTTTAATTTTTATTTCTAAAAATAAACTTTTCTCTCCTTTTCTATTTCATTTTCCCTTCAACCAAAACAAAAATATCATTGTGTTTTTTTTTCTCCTCTCTATTTTCTTTCCCTCATTCAAATAATTAGTAAAGGCACTAGTCACCATGGGCAGGCATAAAGCTCGCACCTTGGGTCATGTGATAACATTGACTCAAATTTGATTTTTCGTTTGTGCTTCGATGTTCCTTTCTAAACCCATGGATCACCAAGGAGTGGTTTTCTCTGTCTTTTCTTTTTTATACTCTTCTCTTTTCTAGTGTCATTCTTCTCATTCCTGATCATCCTAAAATCCCCGTTTTCCTTTAGCTTCTTACTAGATTTCTCCTTTGATGCAGATTTTCTCTTCTTTGTTGAAGAGCGTGAGCTAGGCTCTGCACTAGTGTCAATTCCCCGTGGCAGTGGCTCATCTTCATAATCTAACTGCCAATTGCATAACATATCCTGATCTCCATACTGTTGTTGTAATGGCTCACCAGCACCAGGAAGCAAGCTGTCAAAAGTCACATCCCCGTTCAAACCCCCTTTACGCTCTAGCAAGACAGGGTCTGGTCTAATTATAGTGCCAAGAATGCTCCTATTCGGTCCTAAGCTCATGATGATCTTGGGATTTGTCAAAGTTGAGAAAGCCATTGCAAAAGCTGACCTAATCTGAAAAAAATGAACAGAAATTCATTTAGCCACAGTTGCATACAGATGAACACCAAATATCATAAGACTTAGTCACACCTTTGATCCGTTTATTATAACCTATATGTGATTTTGATCTCCTGTTATTTTTTGCTTCAATTATTCCCCATTTTACAAATTAATTGCATTATTTTTTTAGCTATTTAACCAATCCCATTATGCTTTGAAGAAATAATTGCATTCATTCAGAAGTTCTCTAAGGAAACTGCCAAAACAAGAGCTATTATGTAAGCCCAACCAAACACCAGTCTCCCTGGGTCTGCCATCTAATGCTAAGGGACACATATTAACACGGCACACAAATTTCAGATTTTATAAAATGTTGCTAAGTTAACAAAAAGATGAAGGGATTTGTTTGGGAAGAGATTTTTGAAAGAGAAGAAAGGTGAGGGTAAAGTTATTTCTTAATAATAGAATCATATAATATTTATGATAAATAAATATTAATACATTATGTTTAAACTAATATATTTTAATATCTTTACATTTAAAAAATTATAAAATTAAAATATATTTATCATAAATATAAATGTTGCCCTCCCCTCCCCTCCCCAAACAATCCTTTAGTTACTCTGACATGCAAGATTAAAGCAGATTAATTTATATTAAAAATAAAAAGAAATCAAGACATTGCATCATACCTTTAGATTCATTTTAATCCTACAGTGTATCTTTTTAGATGACCAAATCAATGACATTTATGCCACATCTGAATATTGTGTCACGTCTATTATTTCTTTTCCATTAGTAATTGGATGAGTGACTGACAAAAGTACTTGAATTGTTTAATTAGAAAATTTGGATAACTTGATTGGAGTGAAAAATTATTACATGAACAAATTACGCTGACCATAGTAGATGATTCAAAAGAACAATTAAGCCTTAACAATAGAAAGAGAAGGGGTAAAAGGAGGGAGAGCATATGATAATGATAATGTACCCCTTATGAGCTGAACTAACAAAAATTAGAAGCAAACCAGGCCAGAAACTCTTAAGCAGACGTTTAAAATTTTCTAAATCTTGCAATGAACCATCAAATTAATTTTCTGCCACTGCTGATGCAAATATTCTTCACTTAGATGAAAGGCAGAATATAGGACAAACATTAACAAATAGTGTACTCTGCGCAAGGATTATAATTAATCCTTCCACAAAATTTCAGCTTTCATAAATATGACTTTACTTAATTTCCGGTAAAAGACAAACATAAGGTGGCATCATTGTATTTCAAATTCCACAAAGGACACACATACATGACATAATATAATGAACTTCAGAAAAAATAATGGAAGTCACGAATAGAACAACAGAAAGCTCAATGAAACAGTTAAATGAAAACATACTTGCATCAATTTCTTGACACTAAAAACGTTAACAGAACATTTTCTAAAAATATTATCTTAAATATCATTTTACTAAGAATGAGAAACAAACCTGGAAATAATTAAAGGAGTTCTTCCCAATGTCATTCTCTGGTGCCTGATTCAGCCAGAAGAAAAATTCTAGTCAATCAGCTATATGTACAAGAATAAATTGTCTAAATTGATGAAATAATTAGTGTCAAACCACTTTATATTATACGGATTTGTATATCAGAAAAAAAATTGTAAGGAATTTACTACAGAAAATGGAGAAGACAGACTTCAAAGACAATATTTAACTCCTGCTTAGATAATCCACAGTTTAGTGCCCAATTATGAATAGTGTTTCTTAGAATTTTGGTTGGCAAATATCTTCAATTTCAATTTTAAAACTATTTCTGCTTAAAATATTCAGCAATTGCTCCAACAAAGAATGGATTAATGGCTTTGGAAATGGAAATAGTGACTCAAAATATTCATTGTTTTCAAACAGTTGGGGGATCAAGCTAAGAGGCTAAGAGGCACAAAGGTCTTAAAAGAATGCAACCTCAACAGAGAGAGAATGACAAAAAGAAGATTATCAAATATCCTCGATGTAGAGGAAGAACCAAACGAGATCTAGGAGGTAGAGAATACAATATAATTGTCCAAGGCAGCTCTATCAGAAATTGAGACCCCACTAAAACAAACTCAACAGAGCAACAATCTTATCTCCACTCCCAATGACACAAGAAAAAGAAAAAAGGAAAAAGAAAAAAGAAAATGATCCTAGGTCTAGAATTTCAAATAATCTTATAACCATTAAATGCAAATAAAAGCAGGAGGAAAATAACGACAATTCCATCTTAAATACAGTCCACTTTCTTGCTTTATTTGATTGACCAAAATGAAAACTCTTCATCTGAAAAAAAAGCAAAGGGCAGTTCTTGAAATAAAACCTGTGGATCCTCAATGCCAATAAGAAAACCCCGCCCTTTGGTTGAAAACCTGACCAATGACAATGATAAAAGTTTAATTATCTTTAGAATCAATCATACAGCATAATTAAAAATAACATTCCTTTACAACTATATCAAATTCCTTTATTACCCCTTAGTACTCTTCAAGAAAAAAGTGCCTGCCCCATTACAAGACACACCAACGTCTGACGTGTTCAATTTGCGTCCATAGAAATCAAAAAAATGAACCTAATGTCCAAAAAGAAAGAACACTATCAGAATGGCAAATGATATTTCTTACTTGACAACCCAGAAAGGGGATACTTATCCACACAAAGAGATGCAGCATATGATTATTGTACGTCTTCCTCTTTTTAAAAATATTAGAAATGAAATAAATAAAATACAATGCTAATCATGGAAAAAGGCCCATATAACTGTCTGGAACCCAAGGAACAAATGCAAAACTGTTGTTCAGATTGAGCAGATACGCACCAAAAGGACCCCCAGGTTGTGCTCCACAGAAGCTTGGCCCAGGCGCAGATTCTGAAGCATATAACAGTCACAAACTTAGAGCATGTCATGGGCAAAAACCGGTACTTTGAGTTTTAAGCAGTGACAAAGATTAAAACGCATTAGAAAGAAAAAGGAAAAGTTGTTGATTTATTTCTGTTGATACAGAGGTGAAACATATGTTGAATAAGTAAGCATTATCGTGAATGCTGGTGAACAAACATCAAATTTGGATAGTGTATTTAAGAACCACTAACCCGCAACATTGCCATCAGCATCGTAAGGAGGGCATAAGAACCAATCCCACCAGAATAAACCTGCATACTTTATAAGAATCTTCAATTATGCAGTCTGGAATAAGATCACAAGAAAGATAATAACATATTTAATAAAAAGCCATACCTCATTTAGTTCTCTTTGCTGCAAAAATACTTTCAAAATCAAACACAGTGGCCTTAGTGGTGGCCATTTAACCACTGCTTCCTGGAAATTGAGCAGTTCAACCATGAATAACCCTCTTTTCTTCCATTTTAAAAAAGAAAAATGATAGTGCAGGTGTTTTGAAATGTTTGTCTTTTGGGTGCCTCATTCTGCGACCTTTTTTTTCAGAACTGAAATATTATTTAGTTTAATTTTAATACACTATCAAGTATCATTAGAAATCATCCTACATATGAATTTTAAAGTAATTATTACAAAAGTCAATGATTTTCAACTATATGGCAATCCATGATTAAATACTAATGTGAAAAAATTTACATTGTCTGGATATTTTAATTAAATTCACTATTATTTGCTTTTATTTTTATATTACTGGAAGATTTCACAAAAGAATTTCAACATTTTGTAATGATTTATTTTTATTTCTTATATGTATTTTGGTGAAATAATATATTGTTTACATTACATAAAAAATAAATTTAAATACAACACAAAAAAGATCGCAAATCAAAATTAGAAAATGCATCGTGAAACCAAGTCAAGGGGAAAAAAAACAAACCTGAATAAAATCAGCAGCTTTGGGTCCATTGTCTATGTCAAAACTGAAAAAATCACAATTTCTCAGTGGATCAGTGATATCACATAAGCTTAATACTGAAATATGTTAGTTCTTCGGCACACAAAATTAAACATGACAATCCAATATAAATATGTGATAACCATGCACAGATGTATAGTATACAACAAAGCAAATATACTAACATAGTTTGGTCATGACTTGTCAATTGTCACATTTGGTAGTAACTGATAATATTATATTTAATGGTAAGAAACCTAAAAATGTGTTATGTGCTATATGCCCAGACATGTTTAGCTACTTGTTAAGAAAAATATATGCATGATGGAAGGAAAACCAAAAAGAGCCTCCTCATGGAAATGCAAATAACACACAATGAATTAATCAGAATCTTGATATATGACTGTTAGATTAATCTATACGAGGCATGAAATGGCTTCATATGGTGCACAGAGCCACAAATCATGTAAAAGAAAAAAGGAAAAAAAATTCTAGTAGTGGCAGTGCTACAAACTTTTTTAAGATCCAAAATTCAAAGAGAGAAAGCCGAACCTTATATCAAATGCAACACCACTCCTCTTTTCAACAAATTTAATAATTGGCACACGAGCCTTTCCAATGACCTGCAAAAGATTCACAAGTAAAATACCAGATACTCAAAACTTTGACAACACTAGTTACTTTTTTCATGGCAACAAAAATACTGATATTTCGGTACCCAGAGCAGACCTGAATCTTTTTAGCCATGCCCCTTTGTGATAATGCTCTAGAAATTGCATTCAAGCCAATCTGTGGATTTGGCAAGCCTGATTTCAGAATCACAACCTGCAGTCATAGGATTTGACAACAATCTATCAACCAGCCACGCACTCGTTCACAAGGAAAAAAGTAGTATCAGCATATCAACAATACTTACATCGATATCACTAGTTGGAAGGTACAGCCCTGTCCTGAAAGACCCAAAAACTTCCACCTGAGAGCAACAAAAAACAAACCTTCATTGAAATAATGAAACATAAAACTCTAAAAGAATGCAATAACTAAATTGATACCTGGCAGTGAGGCCAAATATGTTTTAGAACTTCAAATACAGATACTATAGCAAGGTCTCGTGCAGCTTTCTCTTCTGGAGTGGGTGACAAAAATTCACAAAAATCCACTATCTCTGCATAGCAATTAGCAATCATCACTAAACAAATTGCAAAACCATCTACAACAATAAAACCACATTCTAATTTTGCCCAAACTAATTTCTTCAAAACACAAACTGCACGAAAAGAATATCCAAGTATCTCGAATCGGCTTTTGAAAACGCAATAAACAGTTCGGTACCTTTATGTAGCTGAAGCATGGGACTCCTGAATTTGCAGTTGCCGCGAAACCAACCGCTCTCGAGCCTCGACTCCGACGCGAGAGCAGGCGTTTTCGGCTCGGGTGCGGCGACCAGCTCGGGGTAGGAGTCTTGGCCGGGAGCTTCGCCAGCGACATCGAGGGAGAAGAAATCAGGAGCGATGGAATCGGACGAAGGGCATTGGACAGTGGATAAGGAAATCTCATTGCGGAAAACTGAGTAGGGTTCGCGGTGGTCGGAAACTGGAGACTCGTCGGCGGAAGCGGCGGAGAGAGAGAGTGGACTAAGAGTTTCGTAGACGAAGGTTTCGGGAATCTGTAGATGCTGCTCTTCCTGCTCCTCCATTGATAGCCAATGAAGTGGAACAGAGAAGGAGGATATACTAAGATTTGGGATTGAAATTAGGGTTCTTCTTAGGGTTTATGTTTTAACGCGAGTGCCGAATCTTAACGGAATGGGAAACCTATTCTGAAAATCAGTTTATCTTTTTAAATTAATTTTTATTTATTTTAATTATTAAAAAAATTATAAAATAACATATTATCCTACAAAATCATCTTTTTATCTTTTAAGAGAAGATATACTTGAATCTAATTGGTATTTATCTACCTAATAATGTCACCCAACAAACTTACAAACAAATTATCCTATATTTCTTATATCTTTTTTTAATTATTATTATTTCTGTCCTAATTTCTTGAAGCAATTTTGATTTATGGAGGCAATTTTATTTTGGCTTCATACAAAGTGAGATTTCTTTCACTTCCATAACATTAGAAGCAAAAACCAAAGATATCAAAATTTCTAATGAGATGTTTAGAAAAGTGAAAAGTCAATGTACTTAATTGATTTTATCTAATTCAAAGATATTAGTATTCTATTTGGATAATCTGACCTAAACTATCTTAGATTTTATTGAGATTTTCTAAAATAGAAATTTAAAATTTTGAATCAATCCAACTCCAAACATTTTATGATTAGTTAAAAACTTTAAATTGTATCTTAATTTGAGTCAATTACACCTTGCATTAGCAAAATCATGGTCATCAAGCATAATCAAAGATACAAGAGTAGTATAAAGATGATTTATAGTTTTTGACAGCGATCAATCCAACAATTCATGCACCATAATAGAAAATGTGTTCACACCTTCTTGTTAAGAAATCACTTGCATTTAACTCACTAAAAGTCTCATAATGGACACTTAGATACTGTCACCATTGTTTGGAGAGAGAAAATGCAAAAGATTTTGCTTAACAAACTTATCAAAATATATTATAATTAACTTAAAAATATATTTAATTCTCATACAAGAATAATTTCTATTGTATATACAATTTATATCATATTGTAACATCTTCTAATTCATCGTAGAATATATATATATATATATATATATATATATAATATTAATCTAATACTTTATCTAAACATATCAAATAAAATATCTTTAGAGCAAGTATTTTAATTTTTGAAAAAGTCATTAATTTTTAGATAGGTTATTGATTTAAAATTTAATGGTAAAAAAATTATTATACTTATTTTGATAAAATAAATCTCTTAAACACATAAATAAATTTTAATTATTAAATTCAATGAATTTTTTTATTACACAATAGAAAAATCAAAATTTTGCAATAATACTCTAAAGACATTATTTTCACGTTCTTTTCTGCTCATAAATTTTTTTTATCTGACAATCATATAATTCCTTATAATTTTAAGTAATTATGTTTTTAATTTTAAATGAATATAATTTTCAAAAGTTAAAATAAATTTGCTGTCAAATAAACAATTATTTTAAAAAGTTTTAAATTTATGCAACATACTACAATTATAACAAACTATATATAATAAAATTTCATTAAAAAAATTAATATTTAATATTATTAATTCGAGAATAATTCATTTATTATTAATCTTCGTTAATTTTTGCTTTCAGCAATTTCAATTCATTGGTATTATTCCCTTTTCATACAATTTATCTTTCATTGTCACACTACTTTATTCATATAGTTAATATTTTGTTCGTACATTATATACATTCCACATGCCATATATTTGATCCGTTTTTTATTTTTTCATACATTTTTATCTCTCTCTCTCTCTCTCTCTCTCTCTCTCTCTTTTATTTTATCATTTATTGTATCTCATTTTCTCTCTGCCTTTTTCAATTTTTTCTCTCTCTCTTTTGTTATTTTTATCCATTTTACACCCTTTAATGAAACAATATTATTATATTTGATAAAGCAATTGCATACCATGTAACACGTATACATACCCAGTGGTATTACAAATCAAGCAGATATGATACTTTCTTTCTATTGTCACTCTTACCATATACTCGTTTGAGATGTCTAATGCTATATATGAAGATGAAAAACAACTCCTTTGTCAACCTTATTTCATACTGATGTATAGCGATGCAAAATTGCAAACCAGCTACATATGTGTACCTAACAAAATTTAGCAACTTTTTAAGGTTTTTAAGATTAGTATTATAACACGTGTGACTTACCAAATCTGCTACAGTTAATAGATATATATGAATTCTGTTTTCGACTATTGTTAAATAATGTGTAAAACTATCTATAATTAGAGTGCACAGCCTATGCATTCCAAGATGCACAACAGTTTATTTGCACATATAAAATGTTGCACAAATTATCACACCCAAGGTTCATCGACTCACCAACAACATACACAAAACACACCATGGCTGAGTTCACAGAATTGTTTCCCTTAGGCCAAAAATTGGATGGTTTGATGCATATGTATGTGTACATAGTCACTTTTGACCTTCAAACTGTGGTCATTGTTGGTATCATAGTCACATTGTTCTTCTTCATCTTCTACCAAATTCTAAATGGTTTATTTTATTGGTTAATGGAAAGGAGACCAAATGAACATGATCTTGAAGAAGGAAACACTCATCTAGCTTATGGGGCCTCTGACCCATCTCACCAAGTTACCATTTTCCATGCTCTTGTACATAGCAACTTGCAAGCTTGGACATTGGTGACTGCATTTGAAGGAATGTTTGATGAGAAGCGAGGACAGATGCTTAGAACTTTCAAGAAATTGCCTCCTTTGGTGAACTATGGAAGACATCATATGATAAGAAATTGTGGTGAATGTGCCATTTGCTTAGAAGACTTTCAAGTTGGTCAGTGTTGTCAAGTTTTTCCTGTGTGCAACCACTTTTTTCATTCAGATTGCATAGACCATTGGTTGCAGAAGAAATTAACATGTCCAATATGTCGTAGTCGTATATAGATTAAATGTAAATATGAAAACTGTATATAATTGTATTTTGTAAATTAATTTGAACAAATTTAGTTTTAGTACTATATTGTGTCATGGTGCGCAACTTTCACAAGATCATTTTCCTGTAAACCAGGATTGTGCTTTCCATATTTCTTTTCTCTTTTCTGTCTCTAAGTCTTAAATTTAAGCAATTTAACTAAAAAACAAAAAATATTTACCATTGCCCTTAAGAGAGTGGTTAAAAAATTAAAAAGTTTTATTATTATACTTTTAATCACGATTTCTAATATATCATATTATAATTTTTAATAAAAAAAAACTTTTTGTGTTGAATCTCTGATCAATGTCTTTTATTAGGAAATTGGTTAGCAAACTCTGAAAAAAAAAAGTGGACTAACTTTTGCTTACCATATTAAGCTTTTGAAGTGTTTCATTTTTATTTATTTATTTTCTATTTTGCAACTATAATACCATCACAATTACAATTCTGTTTCTGACTTTTTGTCCCTCTTGAATACCCAAAAAAATAAAAGACTATTCCTAGTAGTTCCTAGAAGACATGGCAATTACCACTGTAAATATCATCTCAGAAGATTCTAGGTGCGAATTGCTAATTATAGAATATGATAAAAGTCTATTGATAACCGGCCAGCGTTGTCTGACAATATTTTTCTAAACATAAGGATTTTATACAAAGCTAAGGAATAGCATCGATATTTGGAATCTACAACTAATGCAATTATGTTATGATCAAATTATTCTCTCTCTTTCCTCGTCAAAATTCAAGAGACTCGACATTTAACCCATGAGCTACAACTTCCATAATGAAAAAGAAACCACAAAAACATGAAGTTATCTAAGTTAGCCAAAAGTTGTTTCTCAAGTCATTGAACATGAATTTTGCTTCTCAAGCATTTTGCTCCACAATCTTCCCCATACCCTTCTCTTGAATTTTCATATTTTATTGCCAACGCTTCTAACGTGATTTTCATCAATCTTGTTCTTATGCCTTTTGGTTGAAAGGAAATGTCACTTGCCCGGTTTGTCAAAATTGTTTATTGGAAAAATCATAAGAAGTTACAAAGTGGTTGATTTTTGTTTTATGAAAAATGTAACCATGTAAAATCTGTTAATTATGATCCTCCACATCTTTACACCTATTCTGGGTTGCCCTCGCTTGGAATCGGATCTGAGAAAAGAAAAATAGTTCTTCACAAATTCCATCTGGTGTGTTTATTTGTCAATTCATTTCTTCTTTAGTTAATTTACAAGCTTTCATAGTTATTCTATTTTATCTTGTGTGTGTGTGTGTGTGTAAGGGACCTTGTGAAAATTGACACTAATTTTGTTCACTAGATTCAAGCTCCTTAGTGAAAATATATTTTTTAAGTTCGAAGTACAAAAGAAGTAGTACGAAAATTTGATAAAAGGACAACTAAATGGGGTAACTGCTGGATATACGAGCAACTACTAAACCAAAAAGAGCAATTACAAAAATATGCACATGATTCATACATAAAGCCCCAAAGATTTATTTTCTTAGCACATATGACAGCACTCCAATGGCTTGCAAAATAAAGGAAAACACATATGGTACAAGAAGAAGAAACTCTTGAAGAATTAACTTCAACTTGTTTGGTAGTGACTAGTGAGCTTTAAATTAAAGTTATCTTACACTAACGTGTTTTCTCCACTAAATGTAAGCTATTCATCATACTTTTAAAGTCTTTTAAATCAAGTCTCAAACTTTCTAAAATTCACAAAATACTATCCAGAGAATCGATATAATCCAAATCTGTCACCTACAAAAGTACTCATGCTGATTATTTATTTTAGCTTCAAATTTTCTTAGCAGATAATGTTTCATTCAGTCAACCACATGAGCATCCTTTTACTGTAACTAATATATTTTGTAGATACTTTATATATTGCAACATCACAATTTCATAGCTAAAATACATAAGGAAAACAGCTAAGAAATGGCCTAATTTCGATTTACCATGATCAGACCATTTACATTTTGGGGTCAAAAAGTACATTTCACAGGTTGGTTGTCTCTACTTCAGCTTCTGATTCAGGCACCTTTTCATATACCATAGACCCTTTGAATCTATGAGGCAGAATATAATGAGCACCAAAACGTTGTTGCAAGTAGATAATGATAGCAAATAGGATACCTCCCAATGGAATGACAATATCCCAAGCAGTGGAGTAAAAATCTGCACTTGGATCTGCATAGAAGTATGACCCATTATCTAGGCGAGCGTAATTATGAGTCCTATAAAGATCATAGGCATGTGGCAACAGTCTCACAAAAGTAGTTCCAAAGTAAAATGAGCATGAAAGAACACTCTCCCTAGTATTTGAAAATAGGTTTAGAATGATTTGTGGCAAGAGAAAGCCATCCAATACCAAACCACCATAAGATTTTAAGCTCTCCCAAGATAAATGATGTTGTTGGGACAATGGAGCAATTGGAGAAACCGTTTCTCCATCTTTCTTCAACTTCAACAGCAACGCAAATAATAAGCCAGCTACATACAAAGGTACGGTGACATAGGTAGCCTTTCTCTCAGCAACCAAGAGGCCTTTCTTGCCTTCATCGCCCTTTCTTGATGACCAAGTTAGTTGCAGAAGACGGAATTGTAACAAGAAAGCTACCATGGTGATTAGCCTTACAGCTATTTCATTAACTTCAAGCCACCCAACATTTCCAAACACAAAGTTTTTGTTATTAGGATTTTGAGCAAGAAGTGCTTCAAAGTTTAGAACAAGGGGTATCATGTAACCCAAAGTAAGAATTGACAACATAACAAGTGAGAGCAAGGGGAGCACATTAGGGTTTCTCTTGACATGGAAGAGTTGTAATCCCACAAAAACACATGCTAGCGTGGTAGATATCAAAACCATGATGATCTCCATATCCATTCTCCAAACTGTTTTTTCAGCAATTTCAGTGTAAAATGCAGCTGAAGTCAACTCTAAATCTTTGAAGTAAAGAGGATCTGACTTTTTGCGTGTGCTTTTAATAGTTCCTGTAATGTAGCTTCCACCTTTTGTATCTACTGATGGGAACTGAAACTTCACTAGAACCTCACAATCCACAGTACCAGCTATTGGTGTCACATGGTTTGCGTGAAGATCACGGCAACCTACCATGCACAAAGTTCCTGCTCCAGAATCATAAAGTCCTTCTGCAGAAATCCTCACAATGTAAGAGGACAAATTAAACACTGAATTCCTGTCATTTAACGTTGAATTATACATCAGTGAGATTTTGTAGCTCATGTTAAACAAGCCACCACCGTTGAGGATTGGCATAGGAGCTTCTGCAATGGAGCTTGAGGTAGAAACAGAAATGCTATTCTGATCTAAGTTAGAGATCTGATCACCAACAGATAAGGGAGAAGAATAACCCCAAGCTACTCTCTTGTTGGACTCTCTAACTGACATATCAAATCTCATGTCATAAGAATGGGCATCTGGATATCCTCTGCTTTGGTTCTTGACAGGCTTTTGTGCTGGGCATGATCGCTTAACTTTGTCTAGTAGGCTATACTCATACTTTGTGGCTTGATCTCGCACTCTACGATCCTCATAATTTCTAAATGTTATCATCTTGAAGTATCCTGGGTCAATAGTAGTCTTATTGCTCCAAATTTGGCCCACTATGCTACTAGTACTGTTGATTGACCAAATTGAGGGAAATCTCAATCTTAATCTTATCGAGCAATCACCTACATGAGTACCAACCAAGGATGATGCCTTGCCCATGATATGGCAAGCCACTACACACAACATGTTTTTCTTCTCATCCCACCATCCTTCCCCTACCAACATAGTTTTAGGGTTGAAATTCTGGCTAATCCAATAGTTACTAATATTTGAAAATCTAACCAGAACCCGCAACCTATGCTTCTTGTTAGTAAGAGAACATTCAATGCCTTTCAAAGACATTAAAGATGGAAGTTGACCAGAACTCTCAGCAATAGGAGTACAGTTCTTAGAAGAATTGCACTCACGAGAGAACTCTAATTGGAGCCTTCTAATCGCCCTTGAGAGGGGATATGAGCAAAAACTCAATGATTTTAATGCTAAACCGTGCAGAGCATCACCCCCAGAAGAGAATTCCTTGTCAGCTTCTACTGAATCCAAGGTATAACTATAATTTGCTTTTGGAAACATCAAAACAGAAATGGGTTCGAAGTGATTCTCTTCATTTTCAGAACTCAAGCTCTCCAAACTTCCACTAACCAAGCTAGTGATATTACTTGCATTGAACACATTATCAAGCTTAAAAACAGCATCCAGATTAAGGTACTTACCTGTTTTGGAGTAGCCATTTCCATTCCCTACCATGCAAACCTTCCCTGAAGATTCAGACCAAAACCCATCAAGCTTGAAGGTTACATGTCTTCTACGGTAGTAACTTTGATGCCCATAATTTACTCTGTCACCATAGCTGAAGTTCCCTCCACGGTAGTAAATTGTGTTGGAAGTGCTTCTGAATGTAACAGTGCCTCCAATTTTGAACAAGTCAATGACTTGAGTTGCTTGCATGTACTTCGGTCGTAGGTAAAAGGAGAATTGGTTCAAGGAAGTTCCAACATCGATGATACTATCACCTCCTGTGAAGTAACCTGTGTGTTGATCACCAAGAGGGAAAGAGTGGAAGGTGACTTCATTGGGTGTTGACTCTGGAACTATTGAAGCACAGTGATCTTTGTAAGAGGGTTGCGAGGCAAAGGAGAAGAAAAGGTTGAAGGAAGAGAGAGTGAGAAGAAAGATGAGCAAAGAGAGAAGAGAATCCATAACCATGAATACGATCAACTAGTTTATTAGGAAAGGTAGAGAACAAAGCAAGAATTCAATTCAGTGTTATATATAATATCTGTATGCTTTTGCTATGCTCCACTGAATGCAAGTCTTAAAAGTCATACAAGTTTTTTTTTTTTTCCTTTTTGGACAAAACTTTTAGGAAGTTTCTGATGGAATTTTCTGAGTCTAGACTTAGTAATTAACGTAATTATTCATCATGAAGTGGATCCAATTTACTAGTCTTGTGTAGAACTTGGTGGGTACAATTAATATCCATGATCAATAATGGATATCAGATAATTCACTTCTATTTAAGAGGGTGGATTCCCACTTCACTTTGGATACACGTCATTTGACTGTGCATTGATCAAATTAACTATATGTTTGAATTTTATTAAATAATTTATGAAAAAAACTTATACTTGGGACAAAAAAAGTATTTTAAACAGCATAGGCTCTTGTTACAAAATGAATTAATGGGTAAAAGAATAACTTAAAAAAATGCTGCACCATTCCAATGTGAGCATTAAAATCAGTAAGACCCCATTCAATTTCATTGTTCTCCATGGATAAGGTTTCATTGTAATTCTATTTTTGAATGAAGTAGTGCCTCGTGAAAATAGCCATGTTTCTACTTAGGAACATTTTTATCGATGTTTTTCCTGTAGTTTGGTTTGGTGTACTTGGACTAATTGTTCAGAAATAGGACAAAGGTGTTGCCGGCGAATTTCTATGGGCGCCATAATGAAATCGCCATTATCGGGTATTTTAATTGTATATTTATGGATATATAGATAAGGACGCGTTCTTGTTTCAAAGTCCACAAAGACTTGGAATAAGTCAGCAATCATATATTGCACAAAATGTCTTTAGTCAAGACCAAATAACACGTTAAATTTGGGAATATATTAATATTATTTTAAGTGCCCTTCTGAATATTTTTCTGTGATAGGATGTTGATAGCCTCACTGTGAAAACAAAGGCCAAGGTTATTGTATAAGATAATTCTATCAATTTTAGCTATGAAACAAAAACAAGATGTTAAGAGGCAAATGTTCATATTTTAACATATAGTTATGCCAAAGGGGCATGAAGCAACAAGCATGACAACGTTACTGCCTCAAGTACGAAGAATTTTCTATGGTTCTAGTATAATAACGCAACAAGTATGTATTTTTTTTTAAAAAAATAAATAAATATGTGATAAAATGTGAATAGTTGGGACTATATAGTTTTAGACTTTTCAAAACATTTTCCAATTAGACTCCTTTCTAGAGGTAAGTGGAGGAGGTCTTATAATTCATAAAAGGTTTTAATATAATATAATTTATTTTAAAAGCTTACATAGTTCAAAATTTAGCAATATAAGTTTATAAACGTCATAAAATAGTGTATATTTTACTCATTGTGCTCATGTAAAAAAAAAAATCATAAGGAATGAATTGTCAATTTTATATAAGTTGAGAAAATGTGTTGTTTATAAGTTTTAATAGCATAAAATATTTTTATAATTGACTTAAACATACAGCCAAAAATAATGACGAATGCTAATAATTATCGTTAAATACTAGCGAAGAAAACAAAAATGAAATGTATTAAATAAAAAGCATTTATAATGTAAAAATTATATTAGTTAAAAATATTTTTGGTTCCTATAATTTTATGATATTTTAATTATAGTCTCTTAAAAATATTTTTTTAGTTTTAATAACTGATTTTTTTTTAAATTTAACACTTCTTATTCTAATAATTACGTGATTAACTAAAAAATGTCATATATTAATTTTTATGTCATGCATCAATTTATTATCATACTGCATCAATGAAAATAATAAAAAATATTAAATATTAACTTTTATAAATATCAAGTTGTACTTTTCTTTGTGACTTTTTTACGAAAAATTATATTCTTATTTATCTGTCATTTAAAAAAGTAAAAAATAATTAATTAATGAAAGATAAAAAAAATTAATAATAATAATAATAATAATTTTATTTAAAATATTAAATCTATTCTTTAATTTGTGTCGAAATCTTAAAGTAACTGATAAAAATGAACAAAAGAAATAATTGATATTACTATTTAAGAGATTATACTAAATTTTCCTCAATTAATCAAACATTTAGAACTTTGGATAACTGAAAAAATTGTTTTACCCTCTGTATCTCTAATTAAAAATAATACACCAATAAAAAAAAATAACTAAGAAATTTTATAATTAGAGGGACAAATAATTTTAATCTGTTAACAAAATTGAAATTAAAATGCGATAATTTAAGTAACATTTTAGAAACTATTAATTTGCTTGTTTTTTCATTCGAAACCTTGTTCATACAATTTCTTGCAAATTCAGTTATAATCAATACACACAAGCTCTGTTTCAACAAAATTTTAAGTTGATTAATGCGATAATTTTACCATAAGTCAAACAAGATAATGTCATAAATACATCTAAATTGTTTTACTTATCTATATTTATCTATCTTGTTTAAATAAAATTGATTACACTTAAATAATAAATGCTATAATTAACTGAAATAATACTATTAAATGTTATATATAATTTATGACTAAAATTTCCTGCACTTAAAAGTCCATTGAGGTAAACTTGTCTCTAAAATGAATAAATGAATACATATTTGTTATTGATTTAATTTAAATAAGTGTATTGTAGTTTTAATCCACTAAATTTAAAGATGACTTTGGGGACAAACTGACTACAGAGAAACTTTATCCAAAATATTTATGTATAACCATATACCAAATCCAATATATGTGCGTGTGTGTGTGTGTACACACGTCAGTGCTCAAAGAAAATAACACGGTCCACAAGACAACTACAGAGATTCATCACTATCCAATTCTATAATCCACAAAAGCACTCTAACTGAGCCATTAGACGAGGCTTTATTTAATCAGCCACATGAACAGTCTTCTACAAAAAAAAGGGAAAAGAAACAAGAAAAAAATATATTAGAGACTATACTGCAACACAACACAAGTTCATAGCTAAATACAAACAACATAACTGCTTGGGAGTGACCAATTTTGATTCAACCTGATGATGCCATTTGCACTTGAGCATCATAACGGGTATTTTACATGTTGGATGTCTCCACTTCTGCTTCTGATTCAGAGACCATAGGCACCTTTTCATATACCTTAGACCCTTTGAATCTTTGAGGCAGAATATATTGGCCACCAAAACGTTGCTGCAAAAAAATAATGATAGCAAATAGGATACCTCCCAAAGGAATGACAATATCCCAAGCAGTGGAATAAAAATCTTCACTTGGATCTGCATAGAAGTATGATCCATAATCTTGGGGAGCATAACTATGAGTCCTGTAAAGATCATAGGCATGTGGCAATAGTCTCACAAAAGTAGTTCCAAAGTAAAAAGAACATGAAAGAACACTGTCCCTCATATTTGAGAACAGGTTTAGAATGATTTGTGGGAAGAGAAAACCATCCAATACCAAACCACCATAAGATTTCAAGTTCTGCCAATATGAATGATGTTGGTAAGATGGAGTGATTATATCTCCATCTTTCTTCAATTTCAACAACAATGCAATCAATAAGCCCATTGCATACAAAGGTAAAGTGACATAAGTAACCTTTTTCTCAGCAACCAAGACGCCTTTGTTGCTTTCATCGCTCTTTCTTGCCGACCAAGTCAAATACAAGAGACGAAATTGCAACAAGAAAGCTACCATGGTGATCACCCTCACACTTATTTCATTAACTTCAAGCCAATTAACATTTCCAAGTACTATGCTCCTGCTTTGAGGATTTTGTGTGAGAAGAGCTTCAAAGTTTAGAACAAGGGGTATCATGTGACCCAAAGTAAGAATAGACATCATAATAAGTGAGATGAAGGGTAGCACATTAGGGTGTCTCTTAATATGGTATAGTTGCAATCCCACAAAAACACATGCTAGAGTTGTAGATATTAAAGCCATGATGATTTCCATATCCATTCTCCAAACATTTTCTCTTGTTGTTTCCCTGTAATATGCAACTGCAGATATTTGTAAACGTTTAAAATAAAGAAGGTCTGATTCTTTACGTTTGCTTTCAATGCTTCCCTTAATGTAGCTTCCATCATTTGTGTCTAATGGTGGGAACTGAAACTTAATTAGAATCTCACAGTCCACAGAATGAGCTATTGGTGTCTCATTTTTTGAGACAAGGTCACGGCAACCTATCATACACAAGATTCCTGATCCAGCATCATAAATTCCTTCTGCAGTGATCCTCACTGTAGGAGAGGACAAATTAAACACTGAATTCCTGTCGCCTAACTTTGAATATGACATCTCTGAGATGCTAATCTTGTAGCTAATGTTAAACAAGCTACCATTGTTGTTGTTAAAGGTTGAATCAGGAACTTCAGTTGACTCACTTGAGAAAGAATCAAATGTAGGTAGATCCAACTCATTGAATTGATCATCAACAGCCATGGGATCTGAATAACCCCAAGCTACTTTCTTGTTGGACTCTCTAACTGACATATCAAATCTCATGTTATAAGAATAGGCATCTGGGTATCTCTTACCTTGGTCATTAGGCTTGTGTATGGGGCATGATTGGTTAACTTTTTCTAATTGGCTATACTCATACTTTAAGCCTTGACCTCTCAACGGACCATTCATATCAGTTCTAAATGTTATCATCTTGAAATAGCCTGAATCACTTGCAGTCTTGTTGCTCCAAATTTGGCCAACTATAGCGCTAGTGTTTTTGATTGACCATATTGTGGGGAACCTCAACCATAATCTCATTGAGCAATCACCCACATGAGTGCCAACCAAGGATGATGCAGTGCCCATGATATGGCAAGCCACTACGCACAACATGTTTTTCTTCTCATCCCACCACCCTTCCCCTACCAACATAGTTTTAGGATTGAAACTCCGGCTAATCCAATAGTCACTAGCATTGGAAAACCTCACCAGAACCCTCAACCTATGCTTCTTGTTGGTAAGAGAACATTCAATGCCTTCCAAAGACATTAAAGACGGAAGTTGACCAGAACTCTCAGCAATAGGAGTACAGTTCTTAGAAGAATTGCACTCACGAGAGAACTCTAATTGGAGCCTTCTAATCACCCTTGAGAGGGGATATGAACAAAAGCTCACTGATTTTAATGCTAAACCCTTCTCAGAATCACCCCAAGAAGAGAACTCCTTGTCAGCTTCTATGGAATTCAAGGTATAATTATAATTTGCTTTTGGAAACATCAACACAGAAATGGGTTCAAAGTGATTCTCATCCTTTTCAGAACTCAAACTCTCCAACCTTCCACTAACCAAACTAGTGATATTACTTGCATTGAACACATTATCAAGCTTAAAAACAACATCCACATTAAGATAGTTACCTGTTTTTGAATAGCCACCACTTGTCCCAACCATGCAAATCTTCCCTGAAGATTCAGACCAGAACCCATCAAGCTTAAAGGCAACGTAACCTCTACGGTAACCACGTTGACCCATATAATAATATGAACTACCATCATTGTTAAATGTGTTGGTGCTTCTGAATGATATGGTGCCTTCAACTTTGAAAAGTTGAGGTGTTTGAGTAGCAAATGTTTTCCTTTTTGAGAGGCTAAAGAAGAAGCGGTTCAAAGAAGCCTCAACATCAATGATGCTATCACCTCCTTTGTAGTAACCTTCATAATGATCACCAAGAGGGAAAGTGTTGAGGGTGAGTTTGGTAGTGGGACTTGAGTATGGAACTATGGAAGCACAGTGGTCTTTGTAAGAGGGTTGTGAGGCAAAGGAGGAGAAAAGGTTGAAGGAAGATAAAGTGAGAAGAACGATGAACAAAGAGAGAAGAGAATCCATTACCATGAATATGATCAATGGGAGAAAGGTGGATGAACAAAGCAATAATTCAATTCATAGTTATATATAATATCTCTGTCATTGTGCTGCTGAATGCCAAAGAAGATTAGTCAATTCTAAATTAAGAAGCAAAAATTGTTTAACATTAAAATAATTTTTGTTTAACAAAAAAATAATTATCAATATAAATATTGTTGATGGTTTTTACTAACAAATTATATATTATACTAAGATTTAATTTATTAATAATATATATTAATAGTTTTATTAACAAAATTATGGCCGGTTAATAAATTATATTATTTTGTTAATATATGCTCGTATATTAATAATTTAATATTTATTAAAAATTATATACTAACAATAGTTAATATAATAATAAATTAGTAATAAATATTGTTTTTTTAGTGTAATACTGAAATTTGAAGTAGTGAGTCATGTCGTAACCTATTTATCTATGTCTAAAACTGTATAAACATTTCAAAAGATTTTTTATTTATAATTTTTTAATTCTTTAAAAAATACCCCAATACTGAATAGAATACTATAGTAATTAAATAAATTTTAATATTTTACTATGTCTATAATGATTTATATTTATTTCTAAAATATAAATTTTCTTTTATGATTCAAATTTTTGTTTCATGTTAAATTTAGACTAATATACATCGTATTATAGTCAAATATTTAATGGTAAATAAATTTTCCTGAGTCATATCCTATTTGTATGTTGTATTATATATTTGAGTAAAATTTTCAATTTAGAGAGGTAAAGAATCAATTAATAAAATAAATTATTTGCAAAAATTAAATTAAATTTATATTTTTTATTTTAAGTTGAAATTTTATAAATTATTTTAAATTTATAAAAAAAAAAAAAAAAAAAAGAAACATGGTTGTATTCTGATCACACTTTTCAGCTATTTTTTCCCCCAAGTATTGAGAGAAGGAAGACGAAGACTTGGATGATAAACGAAACTGAAGAATGAAGACCAAATAACGCATTAAAGCAATGAAGACTTTATGAATACATATTTGACAGTGACAGCCATTGACTCAATTACAGATTATAAGTCAATTGCTCGTCACAGCTGAGAGAGACAAGGGAACGTTCATGCCAGTCTCTCTATTCAACTACCCTTTACTTTTTTGGTTTATTTTAAATTTATTTTTAAAAATTGAATGCACGTAAATTAATTTTTTTGTTTCATAATTTTTTATTAAATTAGTATTTTAAATTCATTTTTTAAAATTATTTTTTTTAATTCATCTAAATTTAAACCGCATATGGATACACTAATTTTTGTTTAGACCTTTATACTATATTAATTGGCCAACAAATTTTTATAATGACATTTTATGATTAATATTTTTTAATAATATTAATTCTTATAATTAAAATTAAATATTTAAAATAATTTTTAATTATAATTATTATATTAAAAATATAATTAATATTTTTAATTTATTTTTTTAATTTTTTAAATATAACATTATATCTTCATTATTATTTAATATTATGAGTATTTATTTTTATAAGTTTTAATTTAAACTTTCATTCCCAACTCTTTTTATTATAAATAAATTAAAAATAATTAAAAATATTTTATAAAGTATGGTATAATTAATAGATTATTAAAAAATTTTAAAACACATTAATTTAACTTTTATCTTAAAAACTAAATTTATAAATATTTTAAAATTAATTTTACCTTAAAAAATAGATTTAATGTTGGATTTAAAACTAAATTAACATAAAACTAGATTTAAAATTAATTTAACATAAAATATTATATTTAAAATTTATTTTAACTAAAATAAAATTTAAAAATTGATTTTAAACCAAATTTAAATTTTAAAACCAGTTTTAAAAATTAAAATAGATTAATTTAAAATTTAATCCATATAATTATAGTTAAAATGAATTTAAATTAGTTTTGTAACAATCTGATTTATAACAAGATAAAATGTTAAGATAATTGAAAAAATAATTACACCATTTATTAAATTTTTATAAATTGTAAAATTAAATAATTAATCATTTTATATTATATTTATTATTATGTATATTAAAGTTTATATAATTTAAACATTTACAAATAATTTGTTTAAAATTTAATATCTTACCTAGCAAAAAAAAATTTGATATCTTATGTTTAAAAATATTTTACATGTTAAAATAAAGTAAAGAGAATGCATATTCATTTTATTTTATATAATATTGTATAAAGTTAATCTATTTAGTAAGAAATTTTAAAATATAATTGAATTTAAACTCTATTTTGGGAGGAAAGACTTGTTTATGGAAAATGAACAAACAGGTAAATAACAGTTGCTTTTTATTTTTTTTAAGAATCAAATAAATATTTTTTTTCTCTTTCAAAAGATGGATATACCGGTCGTTCAGTTTTGAATAATATTTTTTGAACAATTCTAAGAGGCCACTCTTACTCTATTTATTTGTTGGGTGCATTTTTTATACGCATGCATGCAAACAGAAAAAGATAAAAATAATTATATATATATCATAAAAAAAATAATTATATATAATATCACATATAATATTAATTTTTAGCTCTTCAAAAAAAAAATCTTGTTTACTTTTTTACCTGTTTTACTTTTATCCAACATTTATGATATTTAAAAATAAATTCTTCAAAAGTACATTTAAATATAAAATCATTTTTTAATATAAAAAATGCCAATTTTTTTATTTACACATCAGGTTATGTAAATAAAAGTGTATATTATATTTTATAAAGATATTAAAAAAACCATAACTTAATAGGAATAAGAAAAGAAGATTTATCACCAAAAGATAATGATTCATTATGTTAAAAAAATGTGTTAATCTAGTCTGAGTAGCTTATAAAAAAAAGTTGTAATTATAACTAACTCTAAACTAATTTATATTTAATAATTATAACAAAACAAAAAAAATAACTTCTACCTTTTTAAAATCTCAAAAAAATTATTTTTATCCATTTTAAAAGCACTTATTTTGAAAGCTTAAAAAAGTAAGCTAGAAAATGTATTTTATTTTAAGTAGGTACTTTTTATTTATAATCATTTAAGCAGACACATAAATAAATAAATAAATCATTATTACATTCAGAAAATTTCATAATTATTTTTAAATACATCTAGTAACTCTTTAAGCATTTAAAATAAATGACTATTCTCATAGATTATTTCCAAAAAAAATTGAAATTTTGTATTGTAAAATTGTCGGCTGAAATTTGTCAAATTCTCGAGACAAATTTTCCTCCCAAAAGCAATAGTACACCATCTATACATCCAAACAAACCATAACACTAATGTATGGATTAAAATAAAGAAACTAACAAGATTGGATCCGAAAATTTTGAAATCAAAGTTTAAAAATAAATAGAAAACATGAAATTCAGGTTTTTTTTTTTTTTCACAACCAATACAAATTCTCTTGTTTTTAATGACTTTTCATGAGTTACGGGCTATTGTACCACAAATATGGTTATAAGGTTCACATCCATACTCTTAGTTCTCATAACTAACGAGGCCCAAATTATTTTTTTTTGTAGTTGCGAAGGAAATAAAGGAGTATTGGATGAAGTAAAGCAAGTCCATTTTACCAATATAATGCTCATATTATATAAACTTACCTCCCCTTTTGCGCAATATAAATGAAACAAAACAAAGCATAATAACCAAACAATTATAGGCCAGAATAATGTCACATACTAAGAAATCGGTTAAATTTTTATTAGCAATTATATACAACTATGTGCAGGTATTGTTCAAAGTTCTTCAAAATATGATACTAGAAGTAACAAAAACTAACTGTTCAATATAAAGCAGAAAGGTGCTACTTGGTGAAATAGATGTAATAATTATAAGCCTCTATAAATATATAGATCAAGTCTCAAAATTGGGTTTTCCAAGAGAATGTTCAGGTTGCAGCCTCAGGCAAATCAGCCAATGGCTTGTTCAGTGTTGTTTCTGGAGGCAGGAATTTATCAATGTCCTTTGCTCCAGTTTTAGCGAACTCTCTAACAATCATATTCATATATCCAGATAAAGACTCTTTAAAACGCTTTGAGCAGCTTCTGTCACCCTCATCAACATCCTGAACACCACCTTTGACCAAACAACCAACTTGAGCACCTTCCATGTATGCTTTACATGCCACCAGAATATCGTCAGCTCGGCTGCAGAAATGCCCCATAACAAAGTCCTCAAAATTCTGCAACCAAAGATAAGACTCAAAACATTTAAAATTTGAACCACAAAGAAATAGAAACAAGTTTGGAGGCTACTGTCTTATTTTAAAGGGAAAAACACAGAAAGAACATATTACAGCACTTGCATATTCTTCATTTAAATGATTCCTATTTTACGTAGATCAATGTAGTATTAAACGTATTCAACATTACATGATAAAATTTACCAGCAATGAGCATATGTTGCTGAGTATGGACTGACACCGAAGAAATTTTACACAAGGAATGTAAATGCAATAGAAATTGGACTTTATTAGATGACAGGTGCATTATCATTGATGACTTGCAAATGGTAGTAAGGTAAAAAAAATACAAAAAAGCATAAAGATGTTGAAAACCCTGGATAAAACAAGTTATGAAGAGAGAGATAAAAGAAAGGGCACTCCAAGCGAACATGGGCAAAGCAACCATGCCAGAGACAAAATTGAAACTAGATTTGAATCAAACCTTTGGAGGCCTTCGTATCATATACATCATTGTCCTCAATGATAAAATGAATGTGTCCTCATTATACTGCAACGACTTCATTTCACCATTTGCTGAACCACTCATGCGTGCAAATCCAGGTTCATTAAAGTAAGGCTTTGTATTAAGGATTAGACCTTGTATAGAGACCAGAACCTGTAGAATTGTTGAAACACCTGGAAGCCACCTCTCATTCTTGTTGCCAGACCAGGTGTTAAGTAGACTAAGGCATACTTTGCCACAATGATACAAATTTGGGTTTAGCCGAAGACCTCCAGAGTGGTAGTGGACTTGCTGCCATGAAAAATTTCCCGTTGTATCAGACTTCATTTAAAAAGGAATGAACAAGAAGATAATGCCAGACAGATACAGTATTCTAAACCACATACTGGAGGTACATTGGGATAGCCACTGGGAAAGAAAACATCAAAAAAGAAAAGGCCATCATGATAAGGAGTCCCTTCTGCTCCAATAATCACAGCCCTTAAGAGATCCATCCTTGATTCATAAACTCTGACAAATATTGAATCTGACAGGGAGAAAAGGAGTCAAATCAAAGATAAACAGCAAGAGACTGAGCAAAATACCAGGGACAGTTGCCCCATATCATACTCAGAACACAACTTTCCACTTTACAATTATTTCTACATTTTAAATACCAATTTAAGAACAAGCATCTGGATTCTGGACTCTTCTAAGGAGAAAGTTAATAAGCACTATCCAAATGGTAGGTAAGTCATATAAAACAAGACAATACTTTTTGGATATGACCAGAACCTATCCTACCATTTAGTAACAATGATAGTAGGATGACCCACACATAACACAAGCCCATAAGCTTGAAAGGAAAATAAAGACTAAAGCCAGCATAGCAAGGAAAACGATACAGCTTTTGTAACAGGAATACTTTAAACTCACCAGGCAAATCCTTCTCCAAAATCTTCCATTCTTCCTGGATTTTTTTAGTCCAGTTCTTTGGACGCTGCTCAAGTAATAGGTTCATGGTAAACACAAATAATTAAGATCAGAACAGAAATAAAGTGCATCTCTAAGAAATACCTGTTCCATTGAAGAATTATTGCGAATATAATAATGGTCTGAAGTGTCTTCAACTGTATCAAATTGTTTAAAGCTTTGGAATTTCCTCAGAATTTCATCTCTAGCTTCATCAGAGATTGTAACAAGAGGGCCATCCAAAGCTGTTCCATTATTTCCATCTTCCACAGAATCGTGAACCCAAGTGTTGTCAAGAACATGCTCAGGATGGTCAAGATGAGGATCAAATGGATAATAAATAGGATTAGTGTGAGTGTGATGATTGGGAAATAATGGTTTAACTTTATGAGAATTCTTCCACCAAGGTTTTCCTGATTCAATTACCGGAGGATAAACTAGTCCATGATGTCCGATGAAATTTGAATGATGTGAACTGCTCCCACCTGCCTTCTTAGCACTTCTAATTTGCCCCAAAGGCTCAACTGCATGTGACAGGTTCACAGCCTCTGATTTGTCAATAAAACCATGGTTTGTTGAAGCACCAACAGCAGGTTTCTTTTTATTGTGGAAAGGTCCCAGAAACCAGTGAGACTTGGATGACTCTACTCCCAATGAAACATTTGAAGTATGCCCTCTGTGTTTTGAAGTAGAAAATTTCTTCTTACTAGAGGCAACTTGAGAAAATAATTGGGAAGACGACTCCATTCCAGAAGAGTGATCAACATTATCCATTTTGATTTGAACCTTAGAACTACCCACAGAAGATCCTTGGATTTTAGAGTTATTAGGCTCTAATGACAAAGAAGGCTGAAACGAGTGTGTCGTGTGACTAATTTTAGCATTTGACTGCACAGGACACCAAGGATACAATGAACTGTTTCCAGTCTTCTCCATACCTACGTCATATTCTGGTGGCGACCAAGTAAAAGGTGCCTCAATTCCAGGAGGTATATCCACATTATCAAATTGTTTCTGTAATAGAGCATACTCATCTACATCCATATAATCTTCTGAAAAAATATCAATGAAGTCATCGTCATCATGTGATAGATCAGAACCATGACCATAAACATTGATCAAATTATGTGAGACTGAAGGATAACCATTAGAAGACACAATCGGACTAAATGATCCAAAATTTTCCACACCAGGCAGACAGAAGGTATTATTGGACATTTCCTGAAAAAGATTCCAAGCAGAATGTTTGAGACATTTTCCTGTTGGAAATATTGAATCAATCTGGTGAAATTTATAAAAAAATAAAATATTACACAAACCTCAACTTGATGATTATCATAACCATGAACAGCATCAATTGTCTTTCCTTTGTTACTATTATTAACTTTTTCACCAATTATCACTACATCTTCAGAGTCATCGTCATCGTTGTCAATGTCAATCACATCATGCAAAATGATCTATAAAGTAAATTTCACTTATTATATGTGAGTAAAAAATAGATACACAGTACACTCATAGAAACATTCATACAACAAAAACAAATAAGAGAGCAGAAAAACATATCAAAGGAAACAGCAGTGCTTGTGTAGCTTTCAAACTAAAAAAAGAAAATTCAAGCCTATTTTACTCTAATTATACAAAGGAGGTATCAATGATATTCCTTATTTTGACCACACCAGTATCCCTATTCGACTGTGTCGATGTGATCCACTAGAAATATAAATACAGCAAGTTAATTTATATTTGAATTCCAACTAAATTAAATGGGCTCATGATTAAATATTGGCCTCTAATATCTGAACATACTGGTAGCTTCACAAAAAAAATAATATGCATGGAATCTCCTTAAACAAATCTCCCCTCCATTTTGAAAAATTCTGCAAACTCCCCTAACAATAAAATCATACCTTCGTAAACCTCCCTTGATTTTTCTTTATTTTTCACAAACACAATGTTTTATTCAAGGCAAGTGAGAGTGATTTAATAAAAAATATAACTCTGCCAGAGAAAACTCCAAAAGAAAATGCTCATATCCAAAACTTCACATGCAATAGAGCAAGGCCAAAATGAAATCTGTACTATTATAGAAAGGGATTCCCTCACTATGCATCCTCTCAACTTTCCTTGAAAACACAATGTTGTGCTTTTGTTTTTATTATAACAACAGCACAGGGACAAATTGTAATTACAGATTAACAACAAAGGCCCAAAAGTTACACATATTCTTACCTTGAATGACAGAAACATATAATTACACACAGGAAAAAAGAAACAGAATACTGATATGCTACCCACAAACTGTTTCATCCTACAATTCCCAAGTGCATGGCTAGGTACATTTCACCTGCAAAGTACTTGCACATAAATGACACAAAAGTAACCTTGACTAGTTCATTTTATCTAATGGCAGGCAACAAAGAACTAATGGATTTTCACAATCAGACGATGAAAAAAACCATATGTATGACGGAAAAAGAACACCGAAACGTTAAATTCACTATTACACATGCATAGGTAAGCTCTGCTGTCTTGATTTGAACTTCTAAAAACAAGATATTATTGTTTTGTTCAAAAGTCCTTAACCAATTAAGAGACAGGCAATTAAATTTATCTACTATCTAACTCAATCAAATTTTCCTATTCTGATGGCCAGGAGCAGATTAGGCTGAACAGGACAAACGGAAATAAATAAACAGACAGACAAAAATTAATTTAGTTTACTATCCATGTGAGAACACAGATTACTAAATTTACTTATTAAATTTTCCTTTGTTTGAAACAAGACAATATACATGGAAATGCATTAGACGCAACCCCAATTTGTAGTGACATATGAATAATCCTTGAAGGTCCCACGAAATAGCTCCAACCATAAACACCATTCCACTCCCAAGTTGCCCACACAAGACACAACACAGATCATATAACCTTATTCTCCCTCTAAATCATACCAACAAAATATCATTAGTAAATAGCATCTCAACATGCAGAGCACATAATTCCATAATAGAAAAACATGAGAAGAACCAACTACGTGATTTGCGAGTTTCTCAATCATACGATAAATCTTAACCAAATTATTCTCCAAAGGTTATGACTTATCCATAAAGTAGCCCCTTTCCACTCCATGGAAAACAGCAAAAACCCTTAAACTTCAATTCCTTGGGGGTACCAATAACATGATCATCAAATAAAAACCCAAAAGACCAATAAGGAAATAAAAGAAACCCATGATTCATCCAAAACCATAGACAAATCAAAACAAGCTGAATACTTTTGTAACATAGTCAAAATTTACAATGTTACCATCATGACCTACACGTTTTGCACACTAAACCAATTCCAAGAACAAAGCTCACACACAGCAAGAAAAACCAAAAATGGCATTGAAATGCAGCAACAACACCACCAACAACAACGACGAAAGTAAAAACGACTTTAAAGCAGAAAAGGGAAAATCGGGTTAACTGAAAAAAAAAAAAAAAGGAAAGAGCGATCATTACTTAAAAGTGAAAACCCAGATTAAGATTTTCCAAAAAGACAAAAGTTTGAACGAATTAAAGGCCCCCACGAGACAAAACACGATTAAATGAAACACCCAGGAATTTAAAAGGAAAAATAAAACTTTTGAATGGGGGGGGAGCAGCGTGCCTTTTTCTGATCATAAAATTGTGAAGGGTGGTGAAGTGGCGGAGGAATCTCGACGACGTTAGGGTCCATGAAACGCTGAGCGTTCTCCGAATATCCTTTGCTGTGGCTGTTGTCGTTTCAGAGCAAAAAACGAACAAAGAGTGAGTGAGTGAGTGATGGAAGAGGGAACGTTCACGCGGGTGTTGTGGACTTCTTACAACAGAGAATGAAAGAAATTGAAAATAAAAAAATATAAAAGAAAAAGAGAGTGTGAAAAGACAAAGAGACCTTCTTACGAGTGTTGATTGCATTTGGGAGTGGCGGCGCGGCTCGTTTATCGGCTCATCGGAGAGGTGAAAAGATATTTCAAGAACTTGGCAGACACGTAACCTTTCTAAAACTGTTTAATTTATATATATATTATCAACTTTTCATTTGTTGAGATTGTTGTTAATAATTATAGAGGTAGAGAATAGATTATAAAATCATTAAGACTGTGGTTTTTTTATTTGTTTCACGAATAATCCATGTTTTATACTTCTTTGACAATAAATCTTGTAATTTAGAATATTATGAAAAGCAAAAATTTGATTTTATATTATGATACGAACAAATAATATGATAATAATATAAGAATTTGTCTGTGTTTTATTTGGAGGAAAATATGTTTACCTGTTTTTATTATTCAAGTATTTTTTTTTTAAAAGTAGATTATGAATTTTGATTGTTAAGTTAAATTAATAAAGTTTAAAATATTAATATTTTATTTTTAGAAAAAGTTAAAGAAATATTACAGTTAACTGGTTAATATAATTGTTTGATAAAAAAATAATTTTAAATATATTTTTTATATATTAAATGAGACAGAAAAATCTAACAAAAATAAAATTAAGTTATGGGCTTAGGTCACAAAGATCCTATAGAGTCCAATATAAGAAAAGGTTTTAAAGACTAAAAAAAAAGTCTAAAATCAGAACTTATTTTTGTTAACCAATCAACACTCTATTTTGTCTTTCTCTAATGAAATCTCACAAATTTTATACATCTTAGAAGTTGTCTAATATTACTAATGACAAAATAAAAAAGATAATTATAGTTTTAAAAATTTATAACTATAAAAAATAACATTCTTAGAATTATATTCAATCCAAAATTCGAGCTGTATTGGATAGAGAATAACTTGGAAACCGAGTACCTATTCGACCTAAGTGGCCAGATATCTTTTGTCAGAATTAAAAGGTAATTAACCCAATTAAAGTAATAATCAAGATATTATTTATTTTAATTAAAGGGCCAAAGATCAAGACTGGCTTAGCAGGCCCATTAGCCTATTACAGTACCTATATAAGGAAGGTAAAAATATAGGTAAAGAGTTAACTTTTCATTATTAAATACCATTTATTACTCAAAACTGAATCCTGACTTCAGCATCAGAGTGTCTTTTGCAGGTATCCTCCCCACATCAGCGACTACCAGAGATACGTCACTATTTCGGAGCAAGGACCTGAAGACTAGTATTTCGTTAACAGGAACATTTTGGCACCCACCGTGGGGCACGATTAGCCTCGTTTTTCAAATTAATTATGGTACTAACGAGAAGCCAGTAGGTCAACAGCTAGAGGGTGTTACACCAAATGAACCAACACCTGAAGTAGTGGTGCAAGGGGGAACCAACGAGAGCATTTTAGCTGTACTGAGGCAGCTCAAAGCAGAAATGACGGAGATGAAGAAGGAGAGAGAGAAGGATGCACTGGAGCTCTCGGCTCTGCGAAGGGAAAATGCTAACTTGAGAGAAGAGATAAGAACACACATCCCTTCCTAAACTACACCCATCATTCAGGATCAGGGAGAATCCTTGGCATTGGAAAAGAAATCAAAGCAGGTTTATCAATCTGAAGCCAAAAATGACTGAGACGATCCCGTGAGCCGAAGCCCCTTTGTTCGCCATATCCTGGAGGCTAAGCTGCCTGATAATTGGAGAGGATTAACAATAGATAAATATGATGGCACATCTGATCTGGAAGAACATTTGGATGTCTTTACAACCCAAGTCGGTCTGTACACCGAGAATGATTCTTTATGGTGTAGGATTTTTCCCACCTTACTCCAAGGGCCTGCACTTAGTTGGTTCACCCGACTCCCCCTTTCATCCATCGACTCATTTGCAACACTCACAAGACGGTTCAACTTATAGTTCGCCACAAGCCGACCACATCCCTTAACATCCTTGGCGCTGGTTAATATTCGCCAAGAAAAGGGAAAGTCACTTAGAGCGTTCATGGAACGCTTTGGCAAAGTGACCCTTTTAATCCATAATTTGGAATTAGCAGTGGCTATGCACCACCTCACAATGGCCCTAAAGTCAGGACCTTTTGTTAATAGCATCTGCAAAAAATCACCTGTTGACCTAGACGAGTTAAAAAGTCGGGCTGCAAAGTATATGCAGATGGAAGAATTGTTTGAATACCGAAACCAAGTGTAGATGGACTAGGGGTTCAATTCAAAAAATACAGATACAAGAGAAACTTTCAAGTCTAGGCAAGAAAATAAAGAGAGAAGAAATGAACCTGAAAAGCTGCCCAGAGGACCCAAATATCCTTCCTACACTACGCTCAACACTAATCGATCTAAAGTACTAGATCAAGCATTGGCTACAAAAATACTGAGAATGCCTAGACGCGTCAACACCCCTCCTCGGGCAGATAAAAGCAAGGCTTGTCGATACCATCAGAACAGGGGTCATACCACCGAAGAGTGCACTGCCCTGAAAGATAAAATAGAGGAATTAATAAAGGAAGGACATTTAAAAGATTTTGTGCAAACAAATCCCGTCGGTCAATCTAATAGAGGAAGAGACCGTTATCTTGAGTCATCAAGGAGATACAATGACAAGAGACTTGAACGACAGAGGAGTAGGTCCAGGGAACCTCCAACTAGACGATACGATGAACGTGAGAAGTATCCTAAAAGGGTCATTAATACTATAGCTGGAGGGTTTGCCGGGGGAGGACCTACCCATTCGGCCAGAAAGAGACATTTGAGGCAAGTCAGATCAGTCAATAATATCTCACTTAGTAGTAGGATTCAGATCCCTCCTATTACATTTACTGATGAAGATTTTCAAGGAGTGGACCTTGTACAAGACGACCCCATGGTGATAAGTGTAGACATTCTCAACTGCACTGTCCGAAAAACACTCATCGATCAGGGAAGTTCTGCTGACATCCTCTACTGGAATACTTTTAAACAACTGGGAATACCAGAAGAGGAACTCAAAGAATACCGAGAACCCCTAGTTGATTTTTCAGGGGAACGGGTGGAGACTCAGGGGTGTATTGACCTTTACACCTCATTTGGATCAGAGCATGAAGGAAAACGCATCAAGGTCACGTACTTGGTAGTTCACGCGAACACCTTGTACAACATATTACTCGGCAGATTGTCCCTTAACAAACTTAAAGCTATAGTATCTACTCCACATTTGGCTATGAAATTTCCCTCAAAAAGGGGACGAATAGTCACAGTTCATGCTGATCAGAAGACAGCGAGGGAGTGCTATTTTGCAAGCTTACGCATTAGACCACTCCATGAATATAAACAAGATGTCAACATTGTGACCCCTAGGTCGGAGGAGGACGTAGATATTGAACTTGATCCTAGGACTGATGAAGAGTGTTGGGCTGAGCCCAATGAAAATAAGCAACCTTTTCAGCTAGGACTGAAGCCTGAACAAGTTACGTATTTGGGAGTCGGCCTATCTAGCCAAGAAAAACAGCAGCTCCAGAAGACATTGATACGAAATACTGATCTATTTGCCTGGTCGGCTTCAGACATGCCTGGCATCGATCCAACATTTCTTTGTCATCAGCTCTCGGTTTATAAAGCAGCGAGACTAATAGCCCAAAAGAAAAGGAAAGTGGGAGACGATAGAGCAAAAGCAGTAAAAGAAGAAACTACTAAATTGATACAAGCTAGTTTTATCCGAGAGGTTAGGTACTCTACCTGTTTGGCCAATATAGTCATGGTCAAAAAAGCAAATGGCAAATGGCGAATGTGTACCGACTACACAGATTTAAATAAAGCATGCCCAAAAGATGCTTACCCACTCCCTAGCATTGATGCCCTAGTAGATGGCGCAGCAGGACACAGAATGTTTAGTTTTTTAGATGCCTACTCTGGGTATAATTAAATCCGAATGTATCCGTCAGATGAGGAAAAAATTGCATTCATCACTGATTCCACTAATTTTTGTTACCGAGTAATGCCTTTTGGTTTGAAGAATGTTGGGACAACCTACCAGAGGTTGATGAATAAAATTTTTGAAGAACGAATAAGAAAATGTATGGAAGTATATGTTGATGACCTGGTAATCAAATCTATCAAATTAGAGCACCACCTTATGCACTTAAAAGAAGTATTCGGTCAGGCTCGGCGGCATGGGATGTGGTTCAATCCAGAAAAATGTACATTTGGTGTAGCCGGCGATAAATTCTTGGGTTTCATGCTATCTGAAAGGGGGATCGAGGCAAACCCTGATAAATGTCAAGCTATCATCGAGATGGCTAGTCCTCAGAATGTCAAGGAAGTTCAACGACTAGCTGGCAGGATCGCTGCCCTTTCCAGGTTTCTTCCCATAATGGTAGAGAGATCTCGGCCTTTCATTAACTTGCTTAAAAAATCTCAAAAATTTGCTTGGAATGATGAGTGTGAGGCCGCTTTCACCCAATATAAAAATATGCTCGCAGCACCACCCGTATTAACAAAACCGCACCCTGAGAATGAGATGATTATCTACCTGACGGTGTCAGATAACACCATCAGTTCCGTTCTATTACAAGAAATGTTTGAACCGGCCCCAGTTTATTTCATCAGCAAAACGCTCCAAGGTCCCGAATCCCGGTATCAATTAATGGAGAAAGTGGTGCTTGCTCTAGTCCACACAGCTCGTCGGTTAAGACATTACTTTCAGAGTCAGCGGATGGTGGTACGGACAGATTGTCCAATGTCCAAAATTTTAAGAAAACCTGAATTAGCTGGTCAGTTGGTAGTGTGGACAATATAATTATCTCAATTTGATGTACACTTTGAAAGTCAACGCCTCCTTAAAGCTCAAGTACTTGCTGACTTTGTCAATGAATTCACGACTCAGCCACAAGCTAATTGGGATATGTGGAACCTGCATGTTGATGGATCATCAAACCAATCTAGTAGTGGAGCAGGAATTATACTTGAAGGCCCGAATACCGTAACAATTGAACAATCCATTCGGTTTGGATTCAAAGCCTCTAATAATCAAGCTGAATATGAAGCCCTCCTAGCCGGCCTCAAATTGGCAAAGGATGTTGGAGTAAAACGTGTCACTTGTTGGAGTGATTCAAAGATAGTGGCCGAACAGGTCAATGAAACATATCAGGTGAAGGATTCAGTCATGCTCTAATATTACCAAGAGTTTAAAAATATAGAAGCCGAGTTTGACGAGGTATGTGTTCGATACACCCCGAGAACAATAAATGAACAAACCAATAAGCTTGCTAAGTTAGCAAGCCAAACAAAACCTAGGCAATTACAAAGCGTAATTCACCAGGAAATCCTTAAGTCGAGCATAGCTAAGAAAGAGTGCATGGATATAGATAATGTGCCTCACAATTGGATGACCCCCATTATCCAATACCTTACGTACAGCAACCTGCCAAATAATCCAGACTCGGCCAAGAAAATAAGAATGCATGCATCTAAATATCTCCTTCTCGGCAAAGACTTGTACAGAAGAAGGATTTCAACACCTATACTTAAATGCCTTAACGACGACCAAGCAAACTATGTCATGAGGGAGATTCAAGAAGGTATCTGTGGTACCCATTCGGGTGGACGAACCATGGCGGCAAAAATACTCAGAGTTGGGTACTATTGGCCAACACTCTCCCAAGATTGTCATATGTTTGTAAAGAAATGTATCCCTTGTTAACAACACGGTCCACACTTACATCAACATGCCGACACCCTCTGTCCTATTAGCTCTCCTTGGCCCTTTGTCATTTGGGGTATGGACCACCTCGGCCCTTTCCCCTTAGCAAAAGGACAGTGTAAATTTCTAATTGTCGCTGTGGATTACTTTATCAAATGGATTGAAGCCGAACCTCTTGCCACCATCACGGCCAACAATGTACAGAAATTCACCTGAAAAAATTTTATCACATGTTTCGGCCTTCCTCATGTATTAATAATAGACAACAGATTGCAATTCACAGATCGGCGATTCAATAAATTTTTGGAAGGGCTTCATATCAAGCACATGGTTATGTCTGTGGAACACCCTCAAACTAATGGTCAATCTGAGGCCGCAAACAAAGTTATCTTGCATGAATTAAAAAGAAGATTAGGTTCGGCAAAAGGGAAGTGGGCAGAGAAACTGCCGAGGTGCTATGGCTTATCGGTGTACGCCGCAAACCACAACAAAAGAAACTCCTTTTTGGCTTATCTATGGTACTGATGCCATGGTGCCGGTAGAAATTGGAGAACCTTCATTTCGAAGGAAGAATTTCGAGGAATCGGCTAATAACGAGGCTTTGGCCATCAACCTAGACTTAATAGCTGAGGTGCGTGGCCAAACAGCCATTATGACCAAGGCCAGCAGAAGAATGATGGCTAGAAAATTTAATTAAAAAATCAATCCATGAAAATTTTATGAAAATGACTTGGTACGGCGAGTAACAGGAGATGCACGAAGAGATCGGCGAGAGGAAAAGTTAGCGGCTAACTGGGAAGGCCCATTTCGGGTAATGGCAAGATTAGACAATGGAGCATACAAGTTAGAAATATTGGAAGGAAAGCTTATACCAAGAACTTGGAATGTTACACATTTGAAGCATTACTTTAGTTAAAAACTTGTAATTTGTATTCGGTGTACTCTTTTTCTCGCCCAGGTTTTGTCCTCTTAAAAGAAAGTGAAAAGGAGTTTTCCTGGGAAGGTTTTTAACGAGGCACCTTATCAATAAAATACTACTTCTCACTTTTCAGTTATGGATTTCTTTCAAGCAAATCTTCTGAATTAGTTAATTTCCCTCTCGAGTACCCCTACTCGGCCAAGGATGAATCGTTATTAAAATTCCCTCCCAAGTGTCACTTGGCTAAGGTTGAATTATTTAATTTTCCTCTCGAGTACCCTTACTCGGCCAAGGATGAATCGTTATTAAAATTCCCTCCCAAGTGTCACTTGGCTAAGGTTGAATTATTTAATTCCCTCCCGAGTACCCCTACTCAGCCAAGGATGAATCGTTATTTAATTTCCCTCCCGAGTACCCCCACTCGGCCAAGGATGAATCATTATTTTCCCTCCCGAGTACCCCTACTAGGCCAAGGATGAACCGCTATTAAAATTCCCTCTCAAGTATCACTTGGTTAAGGATGAATTAATTCCCTCCCGAGTACCCCTACTCGGCCAAGGATGAATCATTATTTAATTTTCCTCCCGAGTACCTCCCCCCGGCCAAGGATGAATCATTATTTAAATGCCCTCACGAGTAACCTCATTCGACTAAAGATGAATTAATTAATTATTGCAAATACCTATGTTAAAAACGAATTCATCATTACAGTCACATGTACCCTTACTCGACTGAGAAATGAAACATTGAATGAAGTCTTCGGCTTAGTTGTTTTAAAGAGAATTTGGAATAAAACAAGAAAATAAACTTGTATTTCGTTGAAACAGGATTACAAAATTTTGGCACTTTCGGCCCATGAATACAGAAGAAAAAAAAAATCCCTTCTTAATTTCCCTCCTCTTCACCATTGAGATCAGGGGCGACAGGACCTGGAGCTTCAAAACCAGGGGCTTCAGGACCGAGAGCGTTATCATCAGCTTCATTTCGTATAGGGGCTTCGGCATCAGGTTCCATATCTTCATCAACCTCATCATACGAAAGGAACCTACCGCCGAAGAAGTCCTTCGTCAGATCGAAATGAAAGTTGGGAGGGACTTGGCAAAATCCATAGCATTGGCGGACAGCCTTGTTGAAGCCTGACTCATGTTCAAAGGCAACTTGTTCAGAACACTTGTCGGCAAAGGCTCTCAGATTTGCCTCCGCTTTCTGCCTTTCAAGGGCCAAGGCCTCCTCCGTTTTAGCAAATTTAGCTTTCAAAGCTTTTATCTCCAAAGACTTCGCCTCCAGAGCCGCCTCTATCTCCGATGATTTAACCCTCAACGCCTCGTCCATTTCTTCCTGTTTAGCTCTTAAAGCTTGCTCAATTGACTAAAGCTGACTCTCGACTATGTGATAATGCTCCTTATACTGAGTAACCTCGGCTTCCAATGACTGCATAGTTTCGGTAAGGCTTGACTGAGTCTCTCTGCTCTCCGCCAGAGATTGTTGTGAAGCTGAGTATGCCTTCTCGACATTTTTTAACTCAAGTATAGGATCCACAACTAATCTTCGAAGCATGGAGGCAGATCGCACTTGCATCTCCGCATAGCACCGCCGCAATGCTTCTAGATCTAAGTTGTTGACCACATCTTTTCCCAAGTCGGAAAGTAGGTCTGGAGCAGTTAACCGGCCGGCGTGCACCCCAGGATTCAGGAAGGAGTCAGATAGAACAACTGGAGGAATCGCAGAATTTGAGGAACTGCCGGCCATAGCCATCACAGCACTTTGATCTTGCTTGCGCGATCCTTCATCACTATTCGGTCGAACCGAATGACTGTACTTCCTCTTCTTCTCTCTCTCTGCTTCTTTCCCATTTTCTTTCTCCTTGCCTTTGTCTTTGCGCCTTTTCGGCTGCTTTTTTGCAATGACAAGGTCTCGGGGAGGAGGTCGGGGCTCGGTCACCTCAGGAATATGATCCAGCTGAGGGTTTCGGTGCTCCTCAATAGGTGTGTTTTCAGGTGCTTTGGTCTTCAGAGTTTTACTATATGTCGATACGTGAACCCGCGTTGAGCCATTATACCTACAATAGACGCAAACAGTCAAATCAATACAACTTAAATAAAAAATGAAACCATAAGGACGGAACATACCATCCATGTCCAGACGAGGTTGAGGGGATCTTAATACTAATAGTATGTGTCGGGCAGGAAGCTCTCGGGGAAGAGACTTTAAGTAATCAAAAGCCGACAACATGTCCTCAGGAATCAAGTCATATCGGCGAGGCACCCGGGTCCAGTGGAAGGGAAAAAGGGGGTTATTTTCACTATCAAAGAAAAATTTCTACCTACAGAGTGGACGGTTACTTTAAAGTAACCGATTTTAAAACCCGTGAAAGACGAAGCATAAGGCTTAAACAATGGCAATTCTGGTTGCCTTATTAAAGATATCCACCTTGCCAAATCGGATGGACGAGTACACAAAAAATAAAGAAATAAGCCTATAGTAGGTTCTATATAATGAAATTTACAGAGTACTATAAAAGCTTGAATAGTCGTCCACCCGTCTGGATGGAGTTCCGTCGGCGCTACATTTAAAACTCTTAACAGTCCCATTTGGAAGTCGTCAAAGGGTAATTTTATACCTAATTCTCTAAACATATACTCATACACAAAGAAGGTGTCGGTCATCCCAGCACCCCCTTGAAAAACAAATTCAGGGTCTTCGGTCTCATCTCCCCGACAAGGTTCAATGGATACAAGGTAGGGATCGGAAGATTCCCATAATGCAATATCAATATGGTCAACAAAAGATTGAAGAATCTTATTTCTTTTAAAACGAGAGAAGTAGGCGGCTACTTCACCGTGTAGCCATTCGTATCCAGGAATTATGCAGGGAGAAAATACGGGTCTTTCCCTAAGGGGGCTCATACTTGGTAGTGGTTCAGAAGAGTCAAAATCAGTGGATTCAGACAACTCAGTTTCGTCATTGCATTCCCTAGAACGAATTTCTACCTCTTTTCCACTCGGTCTTGAGGCAAATTTCACCCCCCCTTCGGTTCTCTTAGGATTTTGAGTATTGACACTAGTCGGTCTAGAGGAGTCCGACAATGAGCCCTCCCATTCCAAGGATTCGACCATGATAAAATAAGGAAGGTAGAGAAAAAGCTAAACGTACCTCATAGGTAGGCGGTTTGGAAGAAAAGAGAAAATTTGTACACCCTTCAGTTTGGAGCAGTAGTATTTACTTCTCGGTTTAGAGACAAAGTGGAGAACAAAAGACCTGGACCACCATGTATTTATAGGGCCTTGGGCCCTCAGACATATGAAGGGACACCCCTCTTCCAAACCAACAGATCTCTTTAAGAATGGATGATTAAGATCGAACACCCTTTCGTTTCGTGCACACAAATCAAGGAAACCCTAAAAACCCTAAAGATTCTAGAATAATCTTTTTTATTATTTATTATTTACCTTTTAATTCAATATTTTCTACACTAATTTTTTGAAAAACCGAGTACTCCTTTAAAGTACATCAAAACAATATTTCATATCTAAGCCGAATACCCCCTCGATATTTTTTTTCACTTATCTAAGCCGAATACCCCCTCAGTATCCTTACACTTCCAACAAACTGAGTACCTTCTTATCTCTGTTTTATGCTGGTCTATATTTACAGCCCTTACTTCGTACTTCTTCGGGCTTGGGGACTAGTGTACTGGATAGGAAATAACTCGGTCCTACTTGTAGGAAAAGGAAACCGAGTACCTATTCGGCCTAAGTGGTCGGATACCTTTTGTCAGGATTAAAAGGTAATTAACCCAATTAAAGTAATAATCAAGATATTATTTATTTTAATTAAAGGGCCAAAGATCAAGACTGGCTTAGCAGACCCATTAGTCTATTACAGTGCCTATATAAGGAAGGTAAAAGTACAGGTAAAGTATTGACTTTTCATTATTAAATATCATTTATTACTTAGAACCGAATCCTAAATTCAGCATCGGAGTGCCTTTTGCAGGTATCCTTCCCACGTCAGCGACTATCAGAGATACGTCACTGTTTCGGAGTAAGGACTTGAAGATTAGTGTTTCTTTAACAGGAACACGAGCATTCTCTTCTAAATTCTCTTACCTCAGCCTTTTTATTTTAAAATTTTTTTAACCCAATCTCCTTCAAAAGTTTTTTGTCTTAATCTTAGATAGGAAATTTATTCTAACTAATTTATAATAAAAAATTATTATAAGTTTTAATATTTTTTATTTGTTCAAATTTTACTTTCTTAATATTTTGCATAAAAATTATATAGTTTAACATGTTTATATCTTTAAAAAATATCATCTTAGAAGTTATCTAATATTGCTAATGACAAAATAAAAAAGATAATCATAGTTTTAAAAATTTATAACTATGAAAAATAACATTCTTAGAGTCATATTCAATCCAAAACTCGAGCATTCTCTTCTAAATTCTTTTACCTGAGCCTTTTTATTTAAAAAAAAAATTAACCCAATCTCCTTCAAAAGTTTTTGTTCTTAATCTTAGATAGAAAATTTATTCTAACTAATTTGTAATAAAAATTTATTGTAAGTAATATTATTTGTTTGTTCAAATTTTACTTTCTTAATATTTTGCATAAAAACTGCATAGTTTAACATGTTTATATTTTTAAAAAATATCAATATTCTTGAAAAAATTATATTTAAACTAAATTGGGGATAAAAAAATTATTTATTTAATTATAAAATCTAATAATTTTTGTTATGCTGCTGAACTTTTTTAATATATTTTTTGTAATACATCACTTATTATTAATTAAAATTTATTAAAAATTAACAATATTTACGTACACTTCACTTTTTTCACTTATAAATTAATATTTTTTCTCATATTTTTTAAACTTTTAAGAATTTTTAATTAATAGTAAAAAGTATATAAGTAAATGTATTACTAACGTTTCTCTTTTATTAATATATTTTTAATTTAACCAAATGGTGGCAAGTACCCTAACAGAGTATCATAAAATCCTAAAAATATCACAAAGTGTCGTCAATGAAATTATAATCCATGACAAGGAGAGAAAAGCTCAAACTACCGTGCCACTATTTTGAAACATTACAATAATACTTATATATTTATTTTATTTTAACGGATTTAACTGATGATTCAATACCCTGAGCGAATCCAAATTTAATAACATTAATTCATAGAACCATAATTCCAAAAACATAATTTTAAGAATGTAGAAGGATTCATCGTGCCAAATACTCCCTTAACGTGACAACATGCATTCGCCTCGCTTATTATTATCACCATCACAATGTAACATAAAAACATCATTTTATGACTATAATATTTTTATATTTTTATATAATTTCTGATTTTGTGCTGCTACGCACACACATAATATTCTGTAGCAATACAGTTATAAAGATGCTATAGGGCTAAGTTTCATAATATCAAATCCAGACCAAGTTGACAAACGAGATAAAAATAAATTTAAAAAAAGTGGTTCAAGGATAATTAACAGAGGTAAAATTTTGATAGATATATAAACTCCTCAGAATAATTTGGCTTTTCCCAAAAGGATTAACCATTCTTAACCCAGTACCAATGCAGTTCTTTTTTTATTTGGTTAACCCAATGTAGTTCAACTTCAGTGAAATTCAGGGATATAAAATCTGGGCCTCACCAGGACTACAGAAAGCTGTTGCATAACATCTGTTGGATCAGGAGCATAAGCATATTATAAAAATTCAGGCTGTCTTCAAATTGCTTGGCAAACAAATTTGTGATTATAGTACCTAGGAAAGAAGCAATCTGAATCACAATTAAATGGTGTATTTGATAATATATGATATCTCTTTCAATAGTAAGTCTACATCGACCACAAGGTGGAAAGGGGCTTCCCCTTCTTGCATTCTGTGACACAATCAAGTACTATTTCTTGCAACTGTTTCTCCACATCTTCTATGGGTTGGCAAGCATCTACAACCTGCATCAAGCCAGTGGAAACACAAAGGAAGGACAAAAGAAAAACAAGAACGAAAGAAAAAGTTTAGCATGATGTTAAACTATGCGTGGATCTAATAAGCTAATAGAAACAAAATGAAGCATAGCCTTTTCCAGACAGACAGCTACAACAAAGCTTTGGTATCAAAACTGTTGATTTCAGGAGGAAAGGCCATATAAACAGTTAATTACCTTCCAGGAGACATCATGAAGAACTTTGTAACAATCAGCAACTTTCTTCTGAAACTCCAGCTTTTCATATCGCTCACCTCCATACCCTCCTCTTTCTGCAGCTTTCTGATATATATTGAAATAATACACAAGGAATATAAATAAGCAAAAAAAGGTGACATGTATGAACCAAGCCCCAACGTGTAGCCAATCAATAGTGAGAAAAATTAAAAAAGATATGCAGGGGAATGAATTTTACAGACAAAAAAGCACAACTCGTCTATATGTTAATGTTAGAACTTGAACCACCCTCTCGGTAAAAGTAATGCATCTAACTTTTGTAAATCAGTCCCCACCACCTCTAACTTCAAAAGTTTAAATCCCAACAGCATGGATCATAGAAAAGAAAGCAGAGACACTATTTTAAGAAAATAAGCAGAGTTTTATAGAATTCAAACTGTTTACAAGCAAGAAAAATATAAACTATTGGAGACATATATTTTTTTGTAAAACTGTAGTTCTGATAGACAAAGCAGTTTTTAGATAGTGTCTTGAAACCTAAACCAACAAAGCACTATATATTGACCACACCCACACGACAATAAGTGTTGCTTACCTCTGGTGATATGTCAAGGTATGCTACCAGATCTGGTGCCAGCAACCCAATCTCTGGGGCCTGCTAGAAATAAATTTCACTATTTACTAACAGAGAATGTACATAACTATGTAAACTGTACTAGAATAGAACACAATGTGGGAAGTCCTCAAGTGGCAACCCCTTTTTTTGCCAAAAGAAAAATAAAAAGTCAAGTAATTCTTCACCTTACACCATTCAATATCAAGTCCCTTCGCAGATGAGAAAGCAACCCCAGAATAAGAATAACGATCAACAATAAGGGTTGTTCCAGTTTTCAATTTTGTTTCCATCAATGACCTGCGAAGACAACACAACTTGATTGATGATATTAAAATGTAATCTTGGAATTTCACCTGTCATCAAGATGTACTAGCAAACAATATCCAAATGATTTGAGTGCTATGAAATCCACTGGCAAAATCAGCTAAAATAAGCACAGCATTTTAGGATATATACATAACACAAAGTTATGATATCACCATATTATTTAGTCACTGCAGCCCCTTCACAAGCTTGTTGCAATATGCTTTCCCTCAATGCTATATGCATGATGTTATGTATTACAAGAAGTTAAGCTAGCAGCAAGGCAACACAGCTTGCTTCAGATTATAAAAAGCATATGTTCATATCATGTCACAAGATGTTGCTTATTTGACCACTAAAATCATATGGCAACTTGAGTCTTGCATTAAAGGATTTCAATGCCTAAGTCATGGTATGGTTTCTGTTTCCTGCTTTATACCCATCGGAACTTTTGTCCACTTTCCAGGTAGACATGGCCATATGTCAAACTATAATATCATGAACCAAGAATTTTGTTTATTATTCTCATGCTACTTTTTCCAAAACCACTATTAATATTCAAAACTCCTAAGTGCCCAACCATCCTTCCACAAGGTACAAGTTTTCAAAAAACTGTCAGTGAAATTCAGAAATAATCACACTTCCAATAACTTAAATTTCATTAACTCAAACCCGGAATGTTGCACATTGCATATAATAATGCAACTGATTCAAAATATCTGGAAAAAATGTGCACAAACCTCTTTTCCCAACGATTAGCACTGAAGAGGAGATGAATAGTATGATCATCCAACTGTGATGTGTTAGTGAGATAGGCAGATATCATTTGCCCAACATTTGTAGTTCTATCAGGAAATCTCCATAATTCAGCAGAGATTCCTTGTCCCTCCAAGAAGGACACTAGCCTGCTACACTGAGAAGACTTCCCAGAACGATCCAAGCCTTCTAGGACAACCAAGGCACCTCTAGACTCTTTTTTGTTGCCCCCTACGCTAGAATTTAGATTACTTTCCATTTTTATCTTCCTAGGAGAACACTTGGTGGAGAATTTCACTTGAAAATCCAATGGCTTCCACAACTCTAGTGCTCTGAAAATCCTGCAAAAAAAAAAAAAAAAAACTCTTTGCTTTGTTCCTTCACTGAGAAATCCCAGTACAACTACAAACATTGAATTAAAACTGCAAGCCTTTGCATTTTTTTTTTTCAGAAAAAACAAAAATTTGCACCCATTGGACTGAGCATTCTTCCAGGTCAAGTAAAATTCAAACGCAGAAAAAAGAGAATCCCAGATTAAGTCAACCAGAATTGACACATGCTTTTTTTTCATAAACAAATCAGCTTTAAAGCAAATAATCCTTACAGTGACTTAGAAGCTGTGATGCAAGTGCCATAGATCATATCCTCACAAAGCCCTTAAACTGAACCCAAAAAACAGGAAATTAAAACATTAAACCAAATTTGATAAAAAAAATAAAAAATTGACAAACTAAGATTGACACGTGATTGTTGTTAAGTTTTATTTTTGGGAAATTAGGGTTTGCACTTTTTTAACTAAACCTCCCTCCTCTAGTAATTACATAGGCAAAGCAAGTAAACCCACCCTATATCATTAACCTTCCAAAATTTGGTATTCAAGAATCTAATGCCATGATCACAAACACAGCACCTTTTCTTCACTAAGTACAAATCAGATCTCAAAATAAGAATAGAGAAACAATAGCATCAACCTCTTCTCCAACTCGTAGAATTACAGTATCAGAAAGCACGACATCAATTTTAACAAACAGAATCGAAGCAGTAAATAAAAGTGTGATTAACAAATCTGTTTCAGACTTTCAGTTAAGAAATAACAGAGAATGTGGCATGCAAACAAATCACGAAGTACGAAATGGAACTAACTACAGGACAGGGAAGAGCGTCACTCTTCCCACGCGCCCTGTGGTGGTTGCATCGCGCGCGTGGCTAGCCTCGTATGAACGCTTGCTCGCCGGCGCTTAAAGCACGTGCTGGCCGAGGCAACGGACACAGTAACGTTCCAGCGGCGCTCAAAACTGAAGAACCAAGTTCAAAGACTGAAAGTATTTTAAAATAATATTTTTAAAATATTTATTATATTAAAATATAATATAGATAATTTATTAAAAATTTATTATTTATATATTAAAATTCAACCAAAATGTTAAAATAAATATAAAAATTTGATAAAATCTTCCCTCAAATAATCATTTTGGTAACCATTGCATAAAGAAAAGGGCAAGTCTTCTACCAAGTAAATAAACGAAAGAATTTGGACAAATAATTAAAAAAGAATTACTACATGACTATTTCCTACTTTTTAGGAATAACATTCAGAGTTGAATTTTGCAAATTTTTCATTGTCACTGGTTAAGATTATGTCATGTACTTCAAGTGTAGTTTTAAATTAACGTAAAATATCACACTTTTAGATGAAATTGTAATTATACAGTCAACTCAAAGTTTAGATTAACAGCATGTTTAATTTTTATTTTAAAACCAATTTTTTATTTTTAAAAATATAATATAATACAAATTTCAATCATTATTTAAAATTATGATTACAATTTATTTAAAATATACAAATTTTTATTACATATTTTAGAAAAATTATATATTTTTATTTTCCAAATCCTAATTCTTTTTACTTCAAACACTAACTTGGAGATACGTTTCGATAATTACTTGTCTGACACCCATTTAATAATTTTTAAAATAATAATTTATATTTTAATTTTAATAACAAAACATTAAAACAAATTTAAAAATACTAAATGTTTTTCTAATATCAAACACATAAATTAATTAACAAGAATTTCGAGTAAATGTAGCTGTGATTTAGAAAAAAAACTCAAAATAATTACTTCTCATAATCAATATTAGCAAACACATGGGAGTTTTTGTGAATCAAAACCCTAAACCCTGGAATTTCCCTGAGAGTGGCACGTTTGCGAAGGGTTAGAGTTTGTGACGTGAGATCGCAGCTCCACTTAGCAATCAATTCTGTGAACTGAGTATTGTGTTCTTCTTCTTCACCATCACCATTACCATCATCTTCATCTCAGTGGCTAAGTACGTATACCTCAGTTGAGCTAAGCTACTTTCTACACTTTCCAAATGCATCAATTCAATTTCTTTCTTCGTTTTACGTTGATCTATTCAATTTCTATTTCTCTAGCTTCACTATGCTCGCTCTTTCGAGAGGCCTCGTTTCTCGTCTGCAACTTTTCGCCGTCGATTCGGCTTTGCCAATTAGATTTCTGAGGGGATTCAGTTCGGATGCTGAGATTCAGAGTCGGATAATTGACCCCAAACCTGGAGTGATGAGCCCTAGTTCGAAACGAACGGGGCTTATAGCGGTTAAGTGTGGAATGAGTGCACTTTGGGATAAATGGGGTGCTAGAATTCCAATCACTGTGCTTTGGGTGGATGATAACATTGTCTCTCAGGTCAAGACCCCTGAGAAGGAGGGTTTCTGTGCTCTCCAGGTTGGTGATTTTTTCTTCTTGTTACCATTTCTTAAATACTATGTTTGTTTTCTGCTATGTTCTATACTTGCTGGCTGTAACTGAAATAAAAATGTTAACTGAGGTATGGTAGAGGCACTTATCTTGCTTTTCCTAGTGCATTTGTCTGAATCATCACTCTTGGTGTTTATAAGGAAGGCCTTTTCATGCACTTAAGAGCAGTGTTTTTAAACAGTAGCAGCATTTTCATATTGTCTCAGGCACGGGGATGGAAAAAAAATGTGATCTTAGTTTTAGTAAGAAATTAACAAAGGCAAAGCCCTACTGATCGCCCTTTATCGTATTTAGTACAGAAGGAAACAAAACAGAGCCAGAAAGTTAGGAAAAATTTTCCCTGGAAGAAGCTCCGTTTTAATATGGATTTTTCATGTTTTCTGAAAATACTATGTAATCAAACACAAATGGACATTGAAAAATGGAATCTATTAAGATTAAAAAATCAAATGGAGCACATATGAACTGTAGTTACAGGGAAATAAGTTGCACCAACTTTGTTTGCAATTCGTTAAATTCTGAGATGGAGGCTTATAGAGACGAGGAGATGAACCAATGAAACAGAGGAACTCATTCAATTTGATGAAGAGATGAGGGTAATGCTTGCAGGGATGATTTGGGGCTTTAAGTTCTCAAATCACTTCGGATTGTTATGTAATGTCTTACTTGATCTTTGTTTTGTGTTTGATTATAACCAAATAACAAAATTGGATTGAAAAGTGGGTTAGGTTACTGAAATGGTTTAAGAAAACATGTTTGGGTTATTTAACTGTTCAAACATTTCGGATATTTTGTGGTTTGGTTCAGTTTATACTGCTTTTCTGCACATCCCTACTAAGAAATACTATAATTTGTCATGGTATAATGTTTTTAAATGTGTGCGTGTATATCTAATTATTGGCTTTTTTGCTACTTTGTTTCTTGTTAGATTGGTTGTGGACAGAAGAAAGATAAACATTTGACCAAGCCTGAAGTGGGTCATTTTAGGGCTCAAGGAGTTCCACTGAAAAGGAAGCTTAGGGAGTTTCCAGTGACTGAGGATGCGCTTCTTCCTGTTGGTACATCACTTAATGTTCGCCATTTTGTCCCAGGCCAATATGTTGATATCACGGGAATCACAAAAGGAAAAGGTTTTCAGGTGTTTTTCTGTTTCCTTCACATTAAATATCACTCATAATTTTTTAAAAAATATTATGCTACTTTGAGTATGTTGTGTTTATGTTGATGCATGTATTCTACACGTTTCTATATATTATTCCCACTTGATGCAGTTGAACTTGAATGCATGGTGTTCTTTGTATGTTTGTTGAGATGATGTAGATTGGTACTTATTTTGTCAAAGAAATTCTTTAACCTGTCTTTGTAGGGTCAAAATAAAACTTCAGATTCTTTTTGTAAAGGCTGATTGATTCCATATAGGTGCAGAGAAGAAATTATTTTAGAACTCCAAGAGTGTTTTAAGCATTCCTCCGATGGGCAATCAGTTAAGAAATGTGACGATTTTTGTTAATATTTCAACTAATCTCAAACATAGATTAGGATTCTGCTAACAACAAATAAGATCATTAGTTGCTACATGCCAAGGTTCTGGAGATACAATAATAAGTTCCCAAATTCAACAGACATTGAAACGTTTACTTCAATGCATTATTGTTTGTTTAACTGTTTCGAATCATTAATTTATTTACCTATGGATAAGCATTGGTCTACAGCATTTTCAACTTACATGTGCAAGTTTGGTTGGTGGTGCAGTACTCTTCTTTTTTTTCCCTTCCCCTTTGCTTGAGATCAGTGAAGGTTAGGACTTAGGATTAGCAAAATTTGATTGCATGCTTTCTAGCTGGTGGTTTATCACGGCAGTTTCCTCTTATTTATTTATTTTTTATACTTGACAGGGCTTAACAGCCCAAAAATGAAAACAAAGCAAAACTAGATTACAGTCCAAGGATGCCAAAGACGTAAGGCATCTAATCTTAACAAGGGCATTTAGGCAGAGGAAGCCTTGTCAAAAGAGAAAAAAACTTTCCCATAATCAGCCCCAACTTTTGCGAACCATTGAATACACACATTGATTGGCTTCTCTAAGGACATGGCTAAATCTAATGAATCTAATGCCTCTTAGCAGACATCTAATTTCCCTTATTACAGACAAACGCATGATTGCTATTGGGGTAATTAAACAATTAAAGAAATGGCCTCTCTAGAATCACATTCAACCCAAATTAGAGTTTCCTCTTATTTTATTTATATTGCATATGCATGCTGATATTTCTGCTATGTGTTGAATCCGCCAATGTGCATGAAACACAGTAAAAGGATCCGACCATTTTTGTGGATCTAAGGCTTTGTCAATTTGTATGAGTGTCTATTTCAAATACCTTTTGTTTCCAGGGTGGGATGAAGCGGCATGGATTTAAGGGAATGCCAGCTTCCCATGGTGCATCATTATCACATCGAAGCATTGGTTCTACAGGTCAAAGGGATGCTCCTGGAAGGGTAAGTTGAACTCCTTTAGATCGGTATTCTCCCTTGATACCCAGCTTTCTCTATTGTTTTTGTTGAACTTGAAATGTTTGTTTGGTAAATTTTTCTCTCCAATTATCATAAATAGTTTTTTCTCACTATTGTACTTCAGGTTTTTAAAGGTAAAAAGATGCCTGGGAGAATGGGCGGGCAGCAAAGAACAGTTAAGAATGTATGGGTCTACAAAATTGATCCAGCAAGGAATTTGATGTGGGTGAAAGGCCAGGTAAATGCTTTTTCTATTTTTGTTCTTACATTAAGATTGGAGGTAAAGGGCAGGAACTCTAATATGTATGAGGCGCAGAAATATTTCCTATAAGAATTTTGGACTATAAGTAAGTAATCATGTATGGATCAGTATTCAGCCTGTATTCTTAATGGTTGATTTGCTTCTGGTTAACACAGATGTTCATTAACTCACTGAATAACTTGCTACTTCTTGATTCGCAATTTGTCTGTATGATGTACGCAACAGGTCCCAGGAGCTACAGGGAACTTTGTTTTTATAAAAGACGCTGTATATGAAAAACCTGACATATCTCTACTTCCTTTCCCAACTTACTTTGTCCAAGAAGATGAAGATTTAGATAACATGAAACCTTTGGTCGCTGAGCTTGGGGATGTGGACCCATTTATGGTTACTGATTAAAAAAGCATAATTCTGAAGCTGGTTTATTCTTGCTAGGTTCACTTTCTTTGAATATAGATGGCAAAATTAGATTTTTGAGGAACCATCCGAGGATGATTTTTCACATGTATTTTACGGCAGCTTTAGGGTTACTTGTGACATTCACCAAATCTAAATTAAGATTGGTTAAACATGGCTGTTTTTTGGAATCCTACAAATAAGTGTGGAGATTTGGAATTAATGAATCATGATCTATTCTAATGAATCTTTCTTTTTAATCCCAATTTCACTTGATCTTTTCTGATTTTAATAATTTGGAAGACTGTCTTTTGCGGAACGGGTTTCCTTGATTTATAGACGTCACCTGCTTAATGTTAAATTGATAGATGAACGGCCCTTATGGTTTTTGGGACGTTAAACGATATGTTTTGTATAATCTATACTTTGGACCCCAAAAAGGAGTACAATCTACAGTTGTGGGTAAATCTAGCATAACCGCATTTCGATTTAGTACTTGCTTTGTCGGACCTAATAAAGTGTAGGCCTTTTGTTTTCGTCAACGGCCTTCAATGTGTTGATAGTAATCAACATGCAATACGCAATGTGGCGGCAAAGGATATATTCTGTAAAATTTATGCTTAATATTAAAAATTTGATCTGCATAGCTGATATCTGTTTAAAGGATGCTTGTTGATATTGGTGAATAAGATCACTTTCAAATAAAAGTATACTGTCCCTAGGCTTAAAGAAACATTATTGTCTAATGTCAGGTGGTTATCACTGTGGCTATAACCATATTAAGATTTGAGTAGGGAACTAGGAGAAAATTGCTGTAGGACAGGTTGGTTTCTATGATTTACTTGACATGCCTTCTGGTTCTCCGATGCTCGAAGCATCTTTACGGATCTTACATTAGATAAGCTATTAGATAGATATATGCAACTTATTTAAGAACTCATTCAATAAACTCTTTTTAAATAATGGTTTATACCATCCATAAGTTTAATAATATTTATTGAAAAAAATTGACAAATTATTTTGATAAGCTATTTCAAAAAGTTTAACATAAACTGAAAAGAACTTGTTAAAAGTTATACATTATTTTTATAGACAGTATATAAGCTCTTTTATATAAGCTCAAAATCTTAAACATAATAACGATTTTTGCTTCTTACATGTATGTTTTCTTTAATCAATTGGTGTAAGAAACGTGAATTTTTAAGACTATATAACATATATCTTTTTCTTAGCTTTTTATATTAGTGTTTGGAGAAAGAAAAAAATTTTAAGTTATAAAATCTCTTACTGAACTTTTGTGGTAAGAAATAGACTATGTTCTTTCAAGAAAAAATACACCTTGAAGGTCAGTGACGCAAACATAGCCTTTGACTAAAAAATTAAAGAATCATAAGTCCTTTTGTCATGATGAATCAGAAACTGTAAAAATCTAAATCTAAAACTTGTCAAAGAAACTATCTTTCGACTCATTTCTGTAAAGACTGACGAAAGAACCTTATTCTTTGTTGAAAGCTACATTTCGAGATATTTTGGAAGGTTATAAGAGCCTCGTTCTTTGTCGGCTGCATTCCGAGGAGATTTAGAGAATGGCAGAGAACCTCATCAAAAAGGCTATATTTTGAGCAATTGTGACAAAACATGAAAAGACCCAATTTTTTGTGAAAAGAAGGGGAGTTTTTGAGGATTTTTCAGTTCTTGAACTGAAAAATAACCAAAATTAGTTAAAAAAAAAAAAAGGGATTGATAGAAAAAATATTCTTAAGTCCACAAGATTGAATAAGATCTCAGATTTGTCTCAGAATTAGTCAAAAAGTGAGAACTGACAAAAAAAATATTATAAGTTCACGAAACTGAATGAGTTCTCAGGTTTTCCTCAGAATTGGCCAAAAAATAAGAATTGACAGAAAAATTATTCTATGTTCACAAGACTAAATAAGCCTCCAAATTTCCTTCAGAATTAGTCAAAAAATAAGGACAGACATAAAAATTATTCGACGTGTAAAATACTAAAGGAGTTTTTAGATTTTCTCCAGAATTGGTCAAAAAAAGGAGTTGAACAAGGAATTATTTTAAGTCCAAGAAACATGATAAGGCTCAGAAAGTGAAATTGAAAGAGTTACAAGGTTTAAAGTAGTTATTAGCGATTACCAATAGTTACCATCAGATGAAGGTCTGAGACACGAAAAAAAATTGTGGGCGATAACAGTTATGAAAAAAACTACAACCGTCAGCATGATCAGAAACAGTCGTAGATAATGAAAAGTAGCGATTGAAGGCAAGTATGTGTAGAAAGCAGTTACTGAGAAATGTCCGCAAAAAAAGGAGAACGGTAATAGTTCATTGATCTATAAATAATACAAAGCTTCATATTTTGGAAGATGACTTTTTGTACCCAAACACTACACCAAACTCTCTACACACTGAAATTTTACACCACGTTAAATACTAGCTACCAAGAGACTCGCAGTTGTTATTGTTTATTGTAAACAGTCATACATTATTTTCCTGCACATTTACATTTCTGCAATTTATTTTCAATTTGTTTCACGTTCTGTTTATTCAACTTTAATCTTGTTCAGCACATTTTGTAAAACCTTCACATTTAGTTCTGTTCTATTTGGTTATTACTTACTATTTACTATTTCTGCCTTAGTATTTGCTTAACGATGTTTATCTAATTGTTATGTAAAAAACATACTTAAAATAACTTAAGAGGACCTAAAATTCAATTCCCGGATTGCTTTTAAATTTATTTGTTTATAATCTGCAAATTTTCACAGTAGTTGCGGTCAATTGCCCTTGGTTCTAAGCTCAACGTTACTAAGGTATTATCGTCCTAGAGTCATATGGATATTGGAAAATATTAATCCCAAGAACAACATTATGAAGGCCCAGTACGAGCAAAGCATATTATTTCGTAAAATTGACATGAAATTTTGGTTTTCGAAATATAAGACCACGTATTTGTAGAGAAATTCAAACATCCTGGAGAATCACTGAACCCTAAAATTTTACTTTCAGATAATCTTCTTCATTGATCTTGAGCACACTATTAATTCTTAGACTTTATGTCGTCCACCTAAAATTAGTAGGGAAAATCTTGCTGGAGCAATAATTCCTCTTAATCAAAGATGTAGTAAAAACTCTGGACTCATTGAGAATAGTTATAGTACTAGTGCCACAATAAGAGGAAATGATGATCATGAAACAACTTGCAACTCACCCAACATAAAAGAGTGTTGAACAAAATTTTGAGTTATTTATTTTATGATTAATACTAATTGAAATCGCACAGAGCCTGATTAACAAGTTTAAAATAAAAAAATTATTAAAAAATATTTTAACATATGTTTATTATGATTTTTAATGTACTCTTAATACGATTTTTAATAAAAATCATTTATTTATTTCTTAATTAAGATACTGATTAGCAAAAATATTATTTTATTTAAAAAAATCATATCCACTTTGTCCGAATATATGGTTGGTGACATTAAGTTCTTTCGTATCTAACTAAATTCTCAACTTTGGTTTTAAAATAGGAATAGACAAGCACCCATATGATCTAAGATTAAGATTGGCATTTGATAAGAAAGATAGACATCCTACCCATTAACTCCTAAGCCAAATAAAGTAGTTCATTATCGACTAAAAGTGGTGTATTATCATAATATTAAAAAGTGGAAAGAAAACCTACAAAACTAAAACAAAAAAAAGTAATGGAATCTTTAAAATTCTCTTAAGATCATGAAGTGACATCAGAGGCAGCAGAAGGGGCCAGGTCTCCATTGCTTGGATTCCTTTGAATAACTATAATAATTCTCTATTGGCACGTGCTTCCCACATGCTCTGTTACGTTCGGAGTAAAAGATTTTCAACACTTGCAATTTTATTTTTGTCGATAATATGAATTTTTATAATTAGATATTCAAAACTTGAATTTAAAATTATTGCTCAAATTAAAAATAATCATGTCTCGATCCATGCGCTTAACACTAACCCTTACAAAATCTGGTTATTTTATATTTTGGTAAAATTGGTTTTATAAAAGAATTGAGATTGAAGACATTAATTTACGCGTGAAAATGATATTTTAAGACTAAACTTAGAAACTTAAAACCATTATAACTGTACTTTAAAGCGGGCCTTCCTTTCTCTAGAGAAACTAAACTTTATGAAAAGAAATTACATTTTTGGTAAATAAAATGAAATTCACACTATGCAAGTCTTGTTTGGAACTTTTTTTTTTCAAAATTAATTTTTCTATAAATAAATTAATTTTATAAAAAACAAACCTTTAAATTTTTCAACAATTAACATAATAAAAATTAAATTATTATTACTTGAATCAATCATTCTAACTGTACTTTTGAGCCTTCCTTTCTTTAGAGAAATTAAACTATATAAAAAGAAATTACACTTTTGACAAATAAAATGAAGTTGCACAGTATGCAAGTCTTGTTTGGAACTTTTTTTTATTTTCAAAATTGGCTATAAATAAATTAATTTTATAAAAAGAGTAAACTTTTAACTTTTTCAATAATTAACATTAATTTTTAAAGTGAAATTTACAAATAATTTAGAAACATACAATATATTTGCATTTCAAAAAATATTTCTGTTTTATCATTTTAACTAGTAGATATCTTCACTCTTTTTCTAAATACTGGTGGCATTCAACGAAATACAAAACTAATAAAATAATTCTAAATTTACATTTAAATATTTTTTTAACAATAATCCTCCTAAATCATTTTTATCAAAATCCAACGTAAAGGCATTAATTATAAGCATATATGGTTAAATGCAATTATGCGAATTTCGCCACTGCGTGTTAATCCAAATGAAATTCATTCATCCTTTGTGCATTAGTTAGGTTCTTGCACAAAAATAGCTACACTAACAGGCTAAATGAAACAATGGTCATGCATGCATGAATTTCTTTCTGCTTCATACCCTTTTTTTGTATTATAAACGTGAACCAACTCTTCCAACAAAAAGATGAATTGGATCTACGAAGGGTTGTGGTCGAATTGTCATCACTATAGTTTGTGATAAAAAATTGTTGGTTGATCGATTAAGTTTAAGTTGCGCAAACCTGCTAAAAAAAATTAAAATTATATATTCGACTATATCAGCTAATATGAATTGACTAACTACCGAAACAAATTATCTCTTTCAAAAATATAAGACAATTACGCACCAGATAATTTGTCCTTCAATTGTAGATTTCTAAGATATTCAAAAACTTTTGATCAATTGCAATTGAAAGTAAAATTGTGTAAAAATAAAATTGGATGTAAATAAATGTAAAGAAAGCTGTAAATAAATGTAAATGTTGAAATTGTAAAAAAAATTATTGTAAATAAAAATAAAGTACAAGAAAATAAAAGTAAAGATAAGTTGTAGTATGTTTGATTGATTGTTTAAGCTCCTTTCAATAAATACAGATGCAACTTATGTAATATGCACAAAACAATTAATTGGCCCAAAAAATTGCTATCCATATCCATGTTCCTAACCCACTACCCTATGTGCATAGTGCTGAGTTGCTTAGTCTACAGCTTTTGGCACCAAGTAAACATCATTGATTGACTTTCTTCATCCATGACTAAAATTGCTTCAAATATGTTAGTTGAACATACAATGCACATCTTCACTGTGCTATATTGGATGTTATTCTAGCAACACATAGTTAGAAACTCTCTTCAACTAGTTGTTTAGTGGCCTTTAGATTCAACAGCTAAGATTTCAAGCTGAATTCATGTTGACTCCTCGAATTTTTAGCATGTTTAAAACTCTAAAGTAAGTAAAAAATGTGTTTCATGAAGTCTCAAAACAAGTCGAGGTTTATAGATAGCTCCAAAAATCTCTTATCCCTAAAAATAAGGAGCCATTTACCAAACAGTGGTCATTCTATCCTCTATGATTTTGAATTTTGCACTGGATAGCTAGCGACCACGTTTTTACTTTTCAAACGCTATCATATTTGAAATAATATTTAAAATTTTGAAGTGTTAAACTAGCCATCAAGTTTAAGTATTGGTCATGCTATTTTATCACCTTAGTTAATTTCTCTCCTTCAATTAACATCCTCAACTAGTGGTCAAATTATCTATTTTGTCTCAATTAGCACCTAATTTAACCGTTGTGGCATAAGCTAAGTCGATTCTATTTGGCTGATGGCCAAATTTTGGTGTTAACAACTATAAACCTTAAATTTTAATTTATATATGTAATAAAAGCTCAATTAATAGGTGTGCTGAATAATATATAAGATGGAATATCATGTGGCTTTTAATAGGTAAAAAGTAAGATTAATATTGTTATAACGCCATCGCTACTGCATAAGTTTAATGTTTACTTTTGATTGTAAAAAACTTAAGTTTAATGCTTACTCTCACCCTATCGCTACTGCGTAAGATCTGGTTCATGATTAAGAACAAAGTAATGCAAATCCTGATCCTTAATCTAATTCAACACAACAACACCACACTAGTATCTAGTGTAGAAACATAAAACAGATAAAACCATTCACGACCTCAATGTGATTGTGTAAGAAAATACTTAAATTCAATTCCAGAAGCGGACGTTAACAAAACCAAAGCTGTAACTGTAAGAAAAACATCACGGAACGCGAAAACAAAAATCAAAATAAATGCATCCTAATTTTTCATTTCAAACAAAGAAAGGAACAAAATAATAAATTACTACGAAACCTTACAATCACCACTTATTCATTTTTTCGACTACAACATAACTCTTTGAATTTTTAAAAATCAAAACTACACTCCTTCCCTTTGCTTCCAAATTGATCAAGCGTCATATTATAAATACTAAATTTTATTTAAAAACCTATTTACTTCATCACATGCAATTTCATTAGGCATAAAAAGGGAGTGCGAATGAAAACCTGTATATCCGAAGGAATGCGTAGGGTTTTAGTTTTGTGATTGTGATTGCGATATCAAACATTGAATCCCTCGGCGCGGAGGCAAATGCGGTGAGCTTCAATCCATTTGGCACAAGCGGCTTCACCGTACTCCACCACGCACTCATCTCGCAGCTTCTTCGTATCAGGGCACGCGCAACAAATTTTCTTCTTCGGTTTCGAAACTTCACCGGTTGCGTTCAGAGAAGGGGAAGTAGCGCTATTCATCGCTCTTTCTCTTTCTGTTGTATTCAAATTGGCGTTGCCCAAGTAAATTCAATTTATGCCTGCAACGCCAATTGAAACTTCTGGAAAGAGGGAGAAGAGTGAAATAAGAAAGGTGTGAATTGACGATATAATATTATAAAAATGCTACTTCAAGTTCTGACACAGCATTTTCATAAAAAGATAAAATATTATTTTTACATCAATTTTATTAGATGTCTTTTTACATTTTTTTTTCTTTTGATATTTTGTTTTATTTTTATCTTTAAAAAAATACTTAAAATAGTGCGAATTTTTTTAGTACAAGAGTGACGAGAACTGTTACAGTTAAAAGATAAAAAAGGAAAACCCCTATCAAAAAAATTTAAAATATTACATTTGTAAAAGCATAAACCTTTGAAAATAAATACAAATGCATAGCATTATACAATATAATTCATGAGCTAAAACTTAATTGTTGAAGGCATTATTCATAAGCCAATAAACACATTTGAACCAACATTATGGTCCATTGAAAATTTACATTGAAAATTGTACACGTGTACAGATGAACCCAACAAGCAACCACAGCACCAAACCAAAGTTTTTCATCAAATGTGATCTCAATTTCTCATAAGCAATTTGTATCTAGAGCTTGAAAAATTTTGGACCTTTCTTAATAAAGCTCAACCTTGCTTTGGTAGTGTTCATCTACAAAACCTAACATAACATTTACAAGTTTACACTTTACACTAACTAATCATATTTCTCTCTCCACATGTACACAAGAAAGAAGACCCAAGAAATGGCCAATGCAATGTCCCCAACAGCATGCCTAGGCCAATCATGTGAAAGATCTTCGAGTTTCCCCTCAAAATAGAATCTCCACACTGCCATAGAAATGTGAAGAAGCACACACCCTTTGGCAAAGAAATTTTGGAACTCCCAGTCCTTAACACAAGCAACCATGAACACAAGGAACCCAATGGTGAACAACAACAAGCCAGAGAAGGAATCTGAGGTTTGAATTAGTAGCTGATCATGGGGTGTTGACCCTTGAAGCTTACTTGCTGTCTTTGGTCCATGTCCCAACACACATATCTCTTTGGAGTAAAACACCATCAAAGCTCCACAAATCAAAGCTATTGTTGAATGAAGAACACAGATTAGGAAAAAGCAAGAAGAACCCATTGATCCAAAGCCACTGTGAAGGTCCTTAGTTTCTTACTTTTTAACTCAATTAAGCTCGTTCCCAAGTAATTAAGGTAGTTGAAATTTCAAGCTTTAGTTGCTTACCACGAGTATAATGATAACAATAGAACCAAACCTGTGGCACAACCAATCTTGATTCTAGTTTGAAGCATGATAACTTTTTTATCACAACCCTTTAGTATTTCAACAGTTACTTACCACGAGTATAATGATAACAATAGAACCAAACCTGTGCCACAACCGATCTTGATTATAGGTTGAAGTATGATAACTTTTTTATCACAACTCTTTAGTATTTCAATTGTAGTTTTCAACAAATCAGAAGCTGCAATTGATCATAGCATGCAGAAGTTCACCTTGATCATAACTTGTTGACAAATTTCAACAAACCAATTTGGTATATAAAGTGGACTTACATGGGGAGAATTGAATTTGCATAGAGGTTGATGAACCAAAGTTGATTGTTGCATTATCATAAATGCCTTATAAATTGCTTCCATACCTTAAGCCACCATGCTCCATGCAGAAAATGCCATGCCTTTGTGGTGGCATCCTTTCTTGTTCCACTAAGCAATTGAAAGCATGGTGGGTCATGGAAATGGGTCTACATAATATTATTCAGAACATCATGTCGTTAAAATTTTGTTTTTCTTAGTAGGGCCCTTTCGAGTTGCTCGTCCTAAACTTGGTTGGTCCTTCTTATATTATTTTTCAAAACTAAAGCTTTCAAGTCTTAATCCGATTGATAATTTTGTGCTTATTTGTTGTTATGGATAAGTATGGTTGAAATTTATCATCCTCCACTCGAATTCTAAATATCTCGATATTTTTCTATTCATGTAACTACTGTTCACAAAAATAACTTCTCAGAAATAATTGCATATTATTTTTTTACTATCAATATTTGCCAATTCTTAGTACGGTAAACAGTGCATATTATAACATAATTATCATTATTATTAGATAGAGTGAATTATACTTTGGTCTCACAAAAGATATTCAAATTATAGTCTTTCTCCTAAATTTTGAAAACTATACAGGGTTTCTTGAAAAATAAATATACATTATACTTTAGTCTCTTTTAATGTAAATAAACTTTTAGTCCTATAATAAATTTCCCTCGTTGTAAGTCATATATTATCGAAACTTTGATGAGTTTATATTATTAATTTTGTTATGTTAGAAGATGAAATTAAGATTTTGGATCAAGTTTCAAGATTAATAGCAATGGTTTTAAAACTTAATTTCATTATTTAAGATCTTAAAGTCAATAATAAGAAATTTAAGAATAAGAAACATTAATAGTCGAGAGAGAGCAAAAATATATTTCTAAGGTTCATTTACAAGTATCCATCATTGTAAAAGATTCCTTTACCTCAAAATAAGCTAATGTATAACATTTATTTCTCAAAATTGTAAATCGTAATTTTTTAAATTAGAAGGAAGAATTGTGTAATTTAAGTAATTCTAGTGAGAGAAATATAATTTATTTAACAAAATAAATATTAAGTACTATTCCAAATAATGTTAGAATTTCTAGTACATGCATTGAACAGAAGACGAATATTGATATAAGTTTACTTTAGATAGGATTCTTTTATAATATATTAAAATTGAAGATATCCTTTTTTAATGAAAGAAGCATGTCTCGCTTTACATAAACTTTAGAAAAGTCCATAATCATTCATTTTACTGGGAAATTAGGTTTTACATGATTTAGAAAGTAATTATTTTTTTCACCACCTTTTCAAATAGTTTTTGAAAAAGAAAAACAATGTATTCCCAATTAAGCATTCACTGCAAGTGTGGAAAATAAACTAAAAAAAAAAAAAACCTCCCTTAAAAAAACCCCGAAAAAATAGAAGTAAAAAAACATTCATTGCATTTTTGTTCAAAAATTTAGTTTGCGAAGGCAACACAAAGCTTAGATCTATGCATTGTTTTTCCAGACAGCATCAATTATTATTTTTCCTTTTATTTTTCAAACATGTTTAAGAGCTAATAACAGAAGAGAATAAAATTAATCATTTCTTTTGTCTGCGCATACCAAATATATCTCTTAACTAACAACCAAAATTGAATTCATTATCAAAACATAAGGTTCCTCTAAACAAAGTCTTCTTCACATAAATGATAAAAAAATTGGGTCCTAATCAGTATGTTTAACAATCAAATGAAGTAGACCTGTTACATAAATTAAAATGAACTTATACACCTCAACTTCTTCAAAAAGCTCCCTAATTTAACTTTTCGTAAACAATTATAAACTTACAAGGTTTTCTTTAGTAAGTGAAAACAAATACTCGTCTCAATTGTAAAACTCAACGGTTAGAAGTTTCTTTCCCTTCTGGAAAAGATGGTAAGAATTTTTACCAAAGATATTTACAAAAAACAGCCAAGGAAGCAACAATTTCAAAATCGTATCAGTTGTTTGGAGCTCTTTGATGTATAATTTGCAACAAAGAATGCATTTACACTTAATCAAGGGAGTTAAAAAGAAACCAAAAAACCTCAAGGAAGAAGATGACACTAAAATGAATTGTGATTCATAACAACAGTGCCTACTTTATGATGACGCCTTGAACCAGATCTCTTATCTCTCCCACGCCTAGGATTCTTCTTCACCTGAGACCTGTTAGTATAAGCAACCGGTGGACTAGGACGGCGTCGAATTACAACAACTGGAGGAGGCATGTGGTCCAATATGTCTCTATGGTAGGCCTGATATTATTTATGAAAAGCCACAAACATAAAAATCCCTAATTTCAAAGAGTTGAAAAGCCACAATCATATGCTAAAAGAAATTTGGTTAGTTTTCACAAAATATAAAATGCATTGGGATCTTTCAAAGGGTTATACTAGATTCGAGATAGCCAAACTCGAGGGAAAAATGATTTGCATTATTGCACCTGACTATCAAATCCAAAACAAAAGTCGTAGGGTATTTACATTACTGCCTAAACTCCTCCCAGAAGGTGCAGTGACAATGATGACCCTGATCTTTTCCATCATCGTCTAAGGGAGAAAATCATTGTGCTCAGTTGGAAGTTTTCCTTCTTCCCCCTTTTTTCTTAATTTGACTATAACTGCCAAGGTAGCTCTAACATGCATAGTAATACATGTCATGACTACAGCACATTAAATAACTAACTGAATTATAACAAACATAACTAGAGGCTGCGCCAAAGGTAAAATTATTGGGACGTGAATCTTGAATTCAGAAATCAGTAGCTTTTCAACAAAACTAAACACAAAAACATGGCAACACACAAATACCAACCTGTATCACAAAGTTACGTCTTTCACAATCCATAAACATATTAATACTCCAATCAACTTTTGCCATTATTTTGTCTCTTACTGTGGAAAAGCTTAATTGATCCCTGGAAGTGAAGCGATCAACTTCATTGAACCATAAGCAGGTAAAGAGATTTGTTATAGGAATGTGTTCTCTTATGATAACACAACCTTCAGGAACATCTGCAAAAACTCATCCATAAACAATGCTTTAGATTTTTAAGATGCAGGCAGCAATTATATGCAAGCACAGGCAGGCACACATCTCCACACATAATCCATTTTACATATGCAGGAAAGAAAATATATTTTTTTTCTTACCACTAGTTATAGGAAGCTTATACTTGGAATAATGAGTTAAACCATCGTGGTATTGATAAAATTGAATTTGGCGATCAATGGAAGCATTTTCATATTTCCCTGCAGCTTTATTGGCTTCAGCCTCAACAAACACATCAAAGCGTCTGTAGTGTCTTGAAATTGCAAAAGTAGCATTTGGGCGCCACAAGAACCTGGATGATAAGAAAGACAGTAACAATGAATATATTACAGATAAACAATCATAAATTTTTATTGGCATTATCTTATTCTGTTAAAATTCTGTAATTAACATGTTGGTAGAAAGAGAGAAGAAAGAAAGGAAAGAGTCTTTGAACTCGTAAAACTAAGGATTTTTCACTGATTAATTATTGAGAATTACAACATTATATAAAATCAGTTACAGCCGTCACAATAAGAGAATTAACCAAAATGCTATTGCTAACTGCAAGCTATTCTATCATAACTCTAACATCTTCATATAGCATTGTGAAATAAGGGTCTTGCTAACTAGTGCCCTTAGGAACTAGTTAAAAAATCAGAAAATAGAAAGTTTTTATTGAAAATTGAGTTAGGAAGCATAAAAGATCATGAAATAAATAATAACTTATCCTACTTCACAGACAAAAAGAAATAAAAAAACCAAAATAAATTTTCACAAAAAAGAGATGGTTTTTACCTTTCAAGAATTTGATATGGGTCCACAACAAGCTGAAGCTTCCCATCAACCCAAATTGAATATCGGACATTGGGGAAGATTCTGTGCAAAAGAAGCTTTGGAACCTGCAATAAGTTTAAAGGCATCATATGAGACCATATATAGCAACTTCCATACATTAAATTGCAGATGCACTGATATTAGGAACAGTGTACATGTAACTAAAAATCTTATCAACTTCAATAGAATACAAAACTGATGATTCATTTACTTAAAAACAAAACTAATACTTCATAAAAAACCAGTAATTCAGTTTTTTTTTCCTTGTATGATTATTACAACCAAGTCATTTCCCTTTCTTTATCTTTCCTAACAAATTTCTATTAGATTTAAGCTTTTATAACGCTATATAATTCATTACAAACTATATAATCAAATACTGCATGATATTTAAGTATTAACAAAAACAATCAATTCCTTATTAAGCCTTGGGCATGCAAGCCTAAGCTCTTGCACTGGTTTAATGAAGAGCAGCAGAGTTTACTTCCTTCCATACAAAAAGGTGAACAGCCCTTAAAGAGAAGACCTTTGCAAGTGAGGTAGGTAGCACCAAAAACCAAAATCAACAATTAGTTTCAATTTCAGAATAGGACAGTCATAACTCATAAGCTCAGGTTCCCAACTAGAATTTTATACATGTGTTTAGTGGTTTATTTAAACTGTGCAGCAACTAGTAAAAATCATTTCCTAAAACATACGACATGGTGGAATGTGGAAGAAAATGGAAACAAGGAAAATGAAGTGCTGAGGTAAGGTCAGAAAATTAGAAGCTTCAATTAAAAAGGGGACTTTTCTAGAAATATAATATACGCCAAAAATGGTTAAATTTTAAGATATTTGAATGTGAGATTTTACAATAATAACTATTGAGAAGCAAAAGGTAAGCAATCAACCTTTCCATTACGCCGAGCATCAGCATAAGGAACATTACGGACAACAATGATTCTCCATAGTCCAACTCTCCTGCTGCTACCCAAAATACTGGCATTCTTCATATACAGTTCCGTTTCTTCGTCAATGAACATATAGAAAGGAATGTTTTTCTCTGCTTCTGAACTGATATTCCTGGGCTGCTGTATAACATCATAGTTTCCTGACAGATGGAAAAGAGCTGTGAGAAGTGAAAAAAAACAAACAACAGAAAATACATGTATAAGACATAGACATACCAAATATGGCAGATGCAACAATGACATCATGGTACTGATCCAACTCTAAGAGATCTGCATCATCAAAATCAAATCCTGTCTGGCGACCAGGTCTGCTTCCTTTCACAAATCTGATAAGAGTTTATGCCAGTCACGACAATGCAGGAAAGGGAATGAGAATACATTCAGCAAGGAAACACTGATACGTGTTGTACACTAATGTGGGTGACTTAAGAGTTTTTCCAAAAAAATAATCTCCAAATTGTGAGAAAATGGAATGCAAATAACAAAAATGAACTAACCCACAGTGCACTGCCATGGTCTCTTTTATATCAAAAGCAGCATCCCTTTCTTCCAGAGAAGGGAACCCACCAAAATCAGAACCACCATGTGGTTCACTTTTAATTGGATTTTCATGATGCACGTATGTCAAAGTGCGAAGTATAGGAGATTCTGATGGGAAACTTGGCATAGTAGCTATAGCTTGCTCCACTGGAATATAACACACAGGACATGCTGAAAGGGAAGAGAACAAGAACCTGATTAACAGAATTCTACAATGACTAACTAAATATGCACTCTGTTTGTACGTGTGTATCAGATGCTACTGCTCAAATTGAAGATAGATACAATGTTTGAGTAAAGAATTGAATAAAAAAAAAAAAAGACTTACGGCGTGGTCCAGTTCGCCTTCTATCAGCTGGTGGAGGAGGAGGAAATGCAAAATGGTCACATTGATGTCCCAAGGTAGGAAAATATCCCCTTTTGCCTTTAGACTTAGACAAGGACTGTGAATGAGGAGGAGCAGGAGGAGGCCTAGCTGTATCTCTATCTCTATGTCTACTAGTCAATGAGGTCGCTCTAGAAGAATTACTAGCCTGTAACTTATCTTCTACTACTCCATGAGGTTTTAAAATTTCATACCTAGTAACGGCATAAGATCGTGTATCTTCAATTTCATTAGTGATGTTTCCACCTAGTTCATAACAATACCAAAAAGCACCCAATAAAACACACATATTCCAAGCTGCAGATGATCAAAATCGTATGAAGGTAAACACACCTATAAGAACTGACAAAAGTCCTAAACAAAAACATGACATCTCAAATTATATCTAAACTATTATGAATTCAACTTAACTAAGAAAAACAAAACAGTGGAATAAAAACACAAGAACTAACAGTGCCAGAAAGACCCAAACCGAAACCCATTATATCATGGCTTATTTATCTTAATAGCACAAACTTATAAGATGCACCTAATCATTCAAATGAAAACCAACCAAATTGCAACACATATTATACCCCTGTTTGTTTTGGCATTAAAAAAATCAATTATTGCCCTTCGTATAGAAAAACACGCTCCAATGTAAGTCTATATGAGTGTTTAATTTAGACACACACTGCTCAAGGATTCAAAATTAAAACAGTCAAAATCAATTCTACGCAACATTAAAACAACCGGCCCTGTATCTTACGAGACAAGAACAGCATAAAATAGATCATAAGGCTCAAACAACTCAACATTAAATAAAAGGGCTGTCATAAACACTTCCAATTCTAACATATATAATAATAAAAAACAGGTACACGAAGACTAACCCTTGTATACAGTGAAGCAACCAAAAGCAAAAAGACAAAGGCCAAGGCCAAGCATGAGCAGCATTGCCACCTTCCCTCGCCCAAGGTGCCGGCAAATCAAAGGGTAACCCCTCTCTTTCTCTCTGGGGTTATAAAGGAGCGCCTTTGAAGGTCTACGCACAAGCATGGGCGAAACGTTGCCGCTTTGCAGCAGCTGCAGCGACCCATAGCTCCCTGTGCGTAGACCCAATGACACTCCAGTCATTGCTCTCCCTTCAAATTTTCACCTTTCATACCATCCACAATCTCTCACACCACGAATCTAAATCCCAAATCCCCCAACCCTATTTTTTACTTAATTTTTAAAAATAAATTAAAAAGCACCCGCCAATCTTAATCTCTCCAAAATTCAAATCCACTCCGAATTCTCCATCGCGTTTTACACCCTTTCGAAGGCCCACGATTCGTTTCGATAGATACATTCAATGTCACGCGCTGGGAACCAAAACCCACGATTCATTTCGGTCATGGAACGCGTGGGAGGCATAAAAACGGCAACTTGATGGGAAGCGGAGGAGGGTAGCGAATGCGGGTGACAGCGAGAGACCAATGGTGTGTGCGACAATGAATCGTTGAAACGAAAACCTTTGTTAGTGTCAACGTTGTAGCGGTGGGATTTGGAATCGGAGATTGGGAGTGGAATTGTGATTGGGGAGAAGCGAGATTGATTGAGGCTAACCGGGAATGGAGGGAAGAGACGATGGTCACTTTTTACAAGAATGAGATGCAGAAGTTCTACAAAGATCTTCAATGGGCCCATGGCCCTTGAATGGCCCAAATTCAAATGTGATTCCAAAAAACAAAAATTCCAGGGATAGTTTTTGAATCCAGGGAATGGGCCCATTTATTTAACAAGTGGAGGTTCATGCATGAGACAGCTCCGAGACTTTAGAGAAATAGGATGAAATATTTAGTATTTTAAAAAAATTGTTGTTAAAAAATCATAATTGATCTCCCTCACTTAAATTGGAATAAATGAGTCAATCAAACTAATCATTATATCAATGAGTTTTGAGAATTCAAACTTACTCGTTAGTTGAGTTAAACTAGATTAATATAATATTTAAATTTGTATTTACTTTAACACTACTATTTATAATTTTTATGTTAAATTTATCTTTATAAATTTGTTAATGTATTTTTAAACCTCACACTAATTTACTCACGAGTCACAGTCCATTCTGTCAGCCCTTGTAGGGAAGAAAGAATAAGAGAATTAAAAGTAAGTCAAATGAAGGGTATAACGTACAAAACTTTCGCTCACACGATGTCTGCATAGCCTTAAGTGAATTGTGCTCTTAAAATGGGGACATGTATTTGAATATTATATACGTTACTTTAGAAAAACATTTAGTGCACATGCAAAGTATCTGTGTATATAAAAAAATATTAGTGACAGACTCATCTATCACATGATTCAAATTAGATGTGGATAAAACCGGATAAAAAATTAAAAAAATAAAATAATTAAAATAAATAGTTATCTAATTAAGAGTAATCTTCTTGAGTATTAGTTGATTAAAAAGCATAAGAGTATTTTAAAGCAATTAAGTATGAATAATTAACATATTTGAAGAGAGGTTAATTATAAACGAAAAAGTTGAGAGATAACTTTGGCTCCCGACCAAGAACTTTTCATCTTTTGCATAAAAATTTTCAGTTGGTGGAAATCATGTGAGCAAGACCAAAGTTAAAAAGGTTGAACATTTTGAGTTTATATTTTAATAAAGGGTATTCTCGATTTCAAAGTATAAAAATCATTAAAATAAAGTTAGCCTCACTTAATAAAACTTGTTTGATATACACGATTAAAGATTAAAATCTTGTCATCACATTTAAGGAATTAATTATTTATAAATTTTGTTGAATTTTTTATTGGCAGGCCTTGAGAAACGTCAAGAAAAATGACTGCTAAGCTGAAATGGTAATCATAAGCTTAGTTGAAAACATGGTTACTCAACTCTAATGGTTATCCACTCTTTCCCGCACCTACACCATTCCCAACGATAAATGCCAAACAAAGATTCGCGTCAGGATCATAATTTTCATGTAGAAGAATCTCTGGCCAAACTATTCTTAGTCTTTGAAGCTAATAATGTTGTTTTAAGACCCCAACTAAATGAGTTTCGTGTTATTATAATCGCAAATGGGTTATTTCTATTCCAAGTTCTGGCCATTCTATTGGGGTAACTATAAATGGCTTAGCTTAGTACAAATAGAGTAGCTTATAAATTGATGTGATACGCATGATGTTTTGATATATATTTTTTTATTTTAAGTGGATTAGGATTTTCTTTTCTTGAGTATTCTCTTTAAGTGTTGGCAATCGAGTACTACGTTCTGGAAAAAAAAAATTCAAACCGTAATTTACTATTTTGTGAAGTGGGGTAATTCCTTTCACTAAATCAAACTCTTGTTATAAAATAAATTAAAAATTAGAAAATTATATTCATACTTCTCATATTTTTATTCAATATCCCTCTTTCTTTTAACTTTACATTTTTTTTGAATTTGTATAACAACATAATATTTTATATATTTTTAATAACATAGTTTCTCTAATTTCTATAAAGTTATACATCCATGGAAGATTAAAGTAATTTAATCTTTTTTAAAATTTATATAACAATATAACACCATATATTTTTCACTAACAACGCTTTCTCTAATTTTTACACTGTTAACTCTAATTTTTATATAGTTATATGAATAAAAAAAAGTTTTAAACAATGTAAAAAGAGTAAAAATATCAAATAAACTTTTATTAAACTTGAAGAGAACGTTCGGGAAAAAAGAGTTTTAAAAGAAAGAGATAAAGCGGACTACTTTTTTTAAAAAATTAATGAATTTTAAAATATAAAATTATATAACATAAATGTATTAATTATAAATATGTTTTTTTCCTCCGAATACCTCTTTTCAAATATTTCTTAAAAGATGTAAATATAACTTCATTAAAATTTAATTTTAAAAATACAATTAGTGCATATAATTTAACATATACATAACAAGTGCCAGTAGTAACTTTCGTAATTAATTTGAATAAGAAAAAAATGCTAAATTACTTAAAACATATTCAAATACCCAGCGTTGATTTACTGTATTAGAAGTATAATTTCAAATAAATTTTATTTGCATTGTCGTTTAAATCCTAAAATTCCTATCATTAGAAACACCATTTGCAAATAATATCAGAGATGTGCAAGTAATACATAGTCCAAGACACGCACATCCAAATAAATTGGATTCTTTCTTTAAAATATGATTTGTACAAAGTTACTTTTTTTTTTGTTTTTTAAAATTATTAAAAACCATGCAAATCTAAAAGATCAACGGCATTTAAAAATTAATCAAATTAAGCTTTTTTATAAGGGGGTATTATCGAAATTAGCACAAAAATTTCTTAATAATGCATTTACTTTGCATCAGCAGGGGAAAAAAAACAGAACAACGATAAAGACAGGCAAATATACATAGAATAAGGTATAGAAAAGTTGATTAGCACAAGTAAGACAAGCATATCCCGATATGGCCTTTTGGGTGTGACTATTTGACTTTGTGTAGCCATTATTAAAACAAAATTGGGATTGTCCATTACGTAATGTACAAAGTATGAGGTTTATAATTGTTAAAAGCTCACTCTAATGTTAGACCACAAAAATACACATAGTGGACCCATTAGAAGCCGTGCCCATGACTTAAAATTGGACCCCATTTACTCGTTACATGTCTCAATGGCACAAGGCAGAGACATAAATTTCACCCATGAATGATTATTTCCAAAACTGTTCATTATTTAATGGCCACAGACAGCTGTTGTGGGGTGGGTCATGGCAAAGGGTAGCTCACATTCACCATCTCCATCTCCTTTTCTTGTGTTCTTGGAAGGATTAGTTTGGTTCACATCTTCCTGTCCTTATTGGGTTCTCACAATTTGGACTTCATATTGTTTAGTCACTTCTTCTTGATTTTGTTGTCTAGTCAGTGATATATATTCCTATCCATTGAACATCAAGTTTATTCCATTTTCAGATCCGGGGAATTCCCAAGTATCAAATTCTAACACACCAAACAAATCCCATCACATTTGAATGATCATGTTTAGTGTCACAATAATAAATATCAATCTTATTTTAAGGGATAAATTATTATTAAATTTTTTTAAGATAATATAAATGTTATATTTTTTAACAAAGAAAAGTAATTATTTATAGGTGTTTAAACTCAATCTAACTTAATAATGTTTTGTTGATCTTAGTACTAATTGGCAAAGCCTAAGGTGTTGAAACTTGGAGTTCTCATGACTTTTTCAATTACGCAAAAAGGACTTAATTATAGCCAACTCCATCATTTCATGCTTTTCTAAACCTTTTGGACGAAAGAAAAAGGTACATGTGAGGGGCTATTCTCATCTTATGGTTCGCCCAATTATTCAGGGTAGGGGGTAGTCAGTGAACAATAACATGAAAACAAAAATTAGTTATGAGGGGACACATGATTCCTGCATAAGGATCATAATCTTCAAAGTTTTGAACTTTTCAAAATTTCGCCTTAGTAACATTCTTAAAAAAGGCAACACTCTTTTCCAAACTAGTTTTTTAATTATAATTCATTTGATACTACTATATTAAATTTAATTGTGTAGAATTTCTTTATATAATATTAAACAATTGCTTACATTGATTATAAAATTTTTTTTGTCAACGATTATAACTTTTCTATGAAAGTGATATGTTGTAATGTTTCTTAGGGCCTATTCATGTTAGTAGTAAAACGGAAAAATACACCATTTTTAAGTATATTGTGTAGTGCTAAATTGAGATAAATTCCAAGACATAAAATCAAACATACACTAAAGCATGGTTTATGATGCTTTTTTTCAAGTGAGAAAATTTCAGTCTTGTAACGAAAATACAATGTAAATACAAACAAATCCTTAATCTACGTTTGTATTTATTAAAATTGAATTGGAGAAAAATAATGTTTTTGACTTTTATGCTAAGTATGATTTATTTAATATTTAATTAATTTCAGTAACTTTATTCCTAATTTTGTGTAGAATAAAACCAAAATGCTACGCATTTAAAAGCATAAAAAAGCCAAATTTCTACAGTAGTGTAAGTTTATCAGAAAGCATGTGTTGTATATTCCTTTTTTTATTATTATTTTTAAAAATAGAAATGAAAAGATATAGTAAAAATGGTAAACAAGTTATACAGGTAGGGCGTGATGCCCCAAAATCGAAAACGACATTTCGAGGGAATTGTTAAGCCCAAACGATCAAAGAATATTTTGTGTATTTTTATTATCTTGTTAATTAAAAAATTAAGGGAATATGATTGGAGGAGGGATCTGCACCGTGCGATGAAAAAGAAATCGAACGGATAACCGTGTCATGAGGAATAAGTGGGCCCCTCAAATAGTACTAAACGTTGGGTTTTACGGTGTGTGTGATTGTATTGTAACTGCGTCAACGAAGCCAACAAATAACAAATGCGAAGTGAACTGAGGATAAAGCAGTGGAAAAGGCAACGACTTTGAATGAGCCAAACGACCCTCATTTCACTTTCGCACGCTCCTGTTTAAGCAGGTGACTCCACGCAATGCTTGTCATGTCGTTTTCTTTCTTTTATTTTTATAACATTAAGTTAATTTAGTTTAATAAAACAGTATTTGGGAAATTTGTTTTTCTTTTTATGATAAATTTTTAACTTTTCTTTCTCTCGCTTATTATTCATAAATCACGTGCTTTTTTGTCTTAAGTAAACGAAAAGCTTGAGTTTGTGTCAATCGTACATGACAAAATTGAGAGAGTTTCGGAAACATGATTAATTTATTTTTTTTAACTTGACTACGTTTAAATTCTCTTAAATATTTAACACAGCTATTTTTATTTTATTAATGAATGCAAGAATCGTGTATAAATATTATAAAATAATTTTATTTTGTTTAAAGAAGGATTATAATAGGTTTTATAAGAAAAATAAAATAAAAACAATAGAGTACAGTTACAAGAACAAAACTTGTATATTTATGCATGTTTTATAACTAACTCAATTATGGATCCAAATAATTTTCCTATTTAAAGCTCACCGGAGATGTAACTCAATAAACACAAAATAAAACAAAGATTCCCTTGCGAACCTTGGGCGTGCGATTACATACATGTAAACAAATCATGTGTAATTAATAAATAACTATACTTGAGTATGTACAGTATAAATTACGTCAATTTTGTAAAAAAAAAAAAAAGCCTGATTACACATAATTAATAAACATAATAGTTCTAAAACTGCATGTATCCAAGACTCCATGATCTGACAATGATTTTATCATTCTTTTTAATGTAAGATTCCATGTATCTTTCATAATAAATAACTATACTTGAGTTTAAAACGATAATATGGAATATTAGGACTAGTTCTCTCGTTAATCCGTGGAGTTTTTCATATATAAAACTTAAACATATTGTTTTATTTTTAAAAAACAAATCTATTCCGTTTGAACTAATTATTCATTAAATAATATAGTAGGTTCGAGTATTTATAACATGATAAAATTACAGTTTATAAAGTATAAAAATAGCAATTTATTTGTTTATTCTTGAAATTATTGGTATGTAAAATATACTTTAAGTTGAATCGAGTTAATCTACTTTTAAAAAAAGAAAAAAAAAATCCATGAACTTATTTTCTCACTAAACAAAACTCACATTTTATTGTGAACAAACGAAAATAAACAAAAGTACCTAATTACCTCTACTAAAGTAAGTAAGTACCAGTCAAGCCTGAAGTCAATAAAGTATAGGAATATTTAAAAAAAAAAAAAGACCATTTGACGAGTTCCAAACTTTGCAAAGGCGTAAGCTACTGAATTTCCATTTTTTTTTAAGTATAAGACGATACTGTTTTTGCATTCTTTTGCCAAATCATTGATACGAGAAACCAAATGATAACAAAAGTGCGATTGAATCACTTTTGATAACTACATTCTGTTGCTATTCAAATTAGTTAGTGTTGATATTAACATTTTTTTCAATTTAAATTGTGATTTGGGATTTGTCAAAAAATCATCTATACACATTAGTTAAATCACTAAAAAAAGTATTGGTAATCAATATTTTTAAGATACTAACTATTATTATTATTATTATGATTATTATTTTAATAATGATTTTTTTATTAAAATTACGAGGACGAGTTTAATGCAGATATTATAAAGGCACTTATTAACATTTCATTAAAAATAAAATTCGAGGTTTAAAATATACAAATTGTAAATTAAGGATTAAAATTTTATGTTCATTCAATATAAAATATGGTGTAATTCTTTCGAATAAGGAGAATTTTGGAAGGATTCATCTCACTCTAAATTTATAAATTATATTTGATAATTAGTTTAATACATGACAAAAAGAGAAATATATTAAAACGGCGAGTAAGAATAACAATTTATAAACTTTAAATAAGGTATTGGATTTGTACTTTTGTAGATAATAGTTAATAAACTCAACAGTTATATTTTTATACACACACACACACACACATATATATATATATATATATATATATATGTGGTATTTCTATTCATTATTTGCATTTTAATTAATTTAAATACATTTAATATCAACAATAAAAGATAATATACAATTTAAGATAAAAAAATATTTAAAAAATAATTTTGTTATTAATTATAAAGTATCATAAATATAATTTTTTATCTTAGTTAAAAGACACTTAAAAATATAAATTATTAAATACACTATAGAAGTACATATAAAAAACAAAAGCAAGACTCGTATTCCAACTTACATTCATTTGATAGATAAATATATTGTTTATCATAAATAATTATTATAGTTACTCGTTGAGTTTAGACCTGTTTACCATCTTAACGGCAGATTACCAATTACGTATCTGAAATTTATTTTTTAAACTAAGGGTAGGGGGCCTGTTGCCATAAACTATTCGTACTATTTATTTTTTAATTTTATAAAAATTTATAAATTTAATACATTAATATTATTAAATATTATATTCTAATAAAAAATAATACTTATATTTATTATATATTTTTAACACACATTAAAAAAATATTATTTATAGTGTATCATTAAAAAGGAATTTCTTTAAACATATTTATTTTAATTTTATAGTATTATATATATAATAAAAACATAAAAATATTGATATAAGATATTATATATAATTTTAAGAAGTATTTATTGTTATTCTAGTATGTTCATTAATATTTGTATTTAAATATGATATATTTAAAATAATTTTATTATAATATAAATATAAATTAAATAATATATATTGAAATAAAAAGAACAGTAAACATTGCTATAATTTTAGTTTTTAATGGTTTAAATAAGCTAATTGCATTAGAAAAAGAGTATGATTTGGGCCTTTGAGGCGCGTGGCTGTGTAACATGAAGAAGAAGAAGAAGAATGTCTTGATGCGCTGGGCTTTGACAGTTTCTCTCTCTCTCTCACTCTCTCTCTCTTCACAGAAAGCTGCAGTGCCGGGGACACTCCCCCTTCGCAACATAAATATGCGCCGCGACAACATTAAATACACATACATATTTTTCTCCTAGTTTTTTTTTATTTAACGTGTAATTTAATAACTACGTAAATTTTTTACTATGCTGGTTCCCTTACTCCATCTTCCAAAACACACTAACGCTTCTGCCATACCTGTTTGCCCTAGATCCATGGCTTCCTTCTCCATTCTCTACCTCTTTTGCTGAGTTTCAATGATACCCCTTTTCACTCTTCTCCTTTGGATGCTGCCAAAACCTTCAGGAGCTCTGTATCAAGGTCATATTCCTTAAAAATCCACTTTCCCAAGGTTCTTAGGATCTGGCTGTTGTTGTAAATTTTCAAGCTTTGATATCTCTTGGATTATAAATTAGTGGGATTTCACTGGGAACATTGTTGCTGCACTAGTAACACGCATTTTCAAGTTATCATTGTTTTTGCTTTAACTGGGTAGAGTAAAGTAATGAATTTTTAGATTTATCAGGCTTGATTTGTTGAATGTTTAGACTGTACATCTTATTGGGTTTTTAAGGATGGATTGTGTTTCTTGTTTACTGATTTGTGACAACATTTGGGTTGAGATGAAGACCGGGTTGCTATTGTAGCTTGTATTATATGTTTATTTGTGCGTTATTTGAGAAGAGTTTTGGCTTAGTTTGGTGGTTATGGGTACTGAAGAAGAGGATAATAGGATAGGATACTGGAAATGCAATTGAAGGGGTGAACATTGAGATTGAAGCTTGGTTTTGTGAGAGGGAAGGTTGCTGTACATAATGGGTTGCATGTGTTGCAAGCCTTCTGCCATTGAGGACAGTAAGGAGAGTCCAAGGGAGCGTTTATCAAGTAAGGTCGCGTCGGATTTGTGTATATCTAGGGGAACTTCATCAAGGAGGGAGGAAGTGTATCGAGTAAAGGATAGATATGATAACAACGATGGAAGAACTGCGTTGATTGATAAGCAAGGGAATGGTTCTGTCAGAGTGCAAGGTGATGGTTTTGAAAGGAAGAGGGAGAAAACGGAATATGCTGTTGCTCAACATCCTGGGATTGGTAGTATTCCCAAAGCCATGGAAGGGGAGCAGGTTGCAGCTGGATGGCCCTCATGGCTGGCATCGGTGGCTGGAGAGGCTATCAAGGGATGGCTGCCACGGCGTGCTGATTCTTTTGAGAAGTTGGATAAAGTATGTTTCTTTCCTTGATCTGGTTGCCTAATTACGTTGTGATAATGCTTTCGTTTGATGCAGATAATTTGTTTTTCCATTCTCTGCTTTCTTATTGTTTTTGCAATTGCCAATAGAGTATTGATTTAAATGTTAAAAATTCTCAAAATCAGTCTCTTTAATTATTTAATGTTATATATTTTTTTTGCCTGATCTTTTTGTTCCTTTTTATCTTTTCATTTACATTTCAAAAATCTACTCTGTGCCTGTGGTGGCAATGTGGAAAAGGAGAGACCAGGGCCTATTTAATTTGAAGAAATGTTTTATGTTTCTATTTTATTTTTTTTCTTTTCTTCTACAAATATTTGAAAATGAAAAATAAAAACACGAAGACAATGTGCCAGTTTTGAAATTATTAATAAAAACTGAAAGTAGAAATAGAAGACATTTCCTTAAACTAAACAGGTCCTAGTGTTGTTTTCACCATTTCCTTAGCAAATTATTGGAAACAGGAAATTAAGTGAAAACAATCATGTTTGCAACTGGAAGTATATAAACTGAAAAGTAAAATAAAAAAAAAACACATCACAACTTTTCCCTCTACCTTTTTTTATTATGACTTACGAGTATAAAAGTTGCCATCATACTTGGCTGAATTCTCTAACCTAATTTTGTGCTTCTTCTTTAAATAGTTGACTAAAACTGCTTAATTTCTTTGGAAGATTTCTTGTGAATTTCACAGCTGATAATGATTCTTGGTAAAGAAACTGTCTCTGATTGATTTTGAACTTTTTTCCCCCTTTAATCAACATGCATAGTTTTGTTGTATGCTTACAATCCTCGGTAATACATTAATCAAGGTATCATTTTAAAGTGATATTTTATCTTTATGATCTCATTATATGATATTTAACACAAAATTCATGATCGAAATTGAATTTGAAATGCTAACGATGTTATGCTTCTTTCTTTACTGCTTCATATTAGTAAGACCTAAGCAACTTATGTTTGTGCCATATATTCTTGAATCTATGTTCTAACGTCTTTGAAATAAAATTGAAGTTAGAATTTGGACTTGTGTACTTAGTATTCAGAACTACAGCTCTCTTTTTCTCCATATTTTCAGGTTATTTCAATATGGATATTACCTCCTGAATGCTTTTTGGCTTTGAATGATAAATTTTTCCTCTCTCTGATTTGCAGATTGGACAGGGAACTTATAGCAATGTTTATAGAGCTCGTGATCTTGAACAAAGAAAGATTGTTGCTTTGAAAAAAGTGAGGTTTGATAATCTTGAACCTGAGAGTGTTCGTTTCATGGCGAGGGAGATTCACATTCTGCGTAGGCTCGATCATCCAAATGTCATAAAACTGGAAGGCTTGGTTACATCAAGGATGTCTTGCAGCTTATACCTTGTTTTTGAGTATATGGAGCATGACTTGGCTGGGCTTGCATCGCATCCTGGACTAAAGTTTACTGAAGCACAGGTCATTTCTAAAGCTTCTTAATGTTCTATTTTGCTGTCCATTTTATTGCAAATGTAACCTACCATGTAGACTCGGGAGAAAATTTCTACCTCATATTTTTATTGATGTGACATTTGCCTAATATTTGTACTTAAGATAATAGCTGATACTCCTACTTAGTTCCTAAATGAATTCACTGAAATTTAATTCCTTTTTTATTTTTTCCATTGAAAATGAGAGTAACAAAAATAATTTGAAGAAACTAAATGAAGAATAAAATTTACTGCTAAGACTAAAATAGTTAAAGACAAAATGCTTCAAGGCACACAAAGAAAAGAAAGAAATAAAAGAATCATCAAGTTTTAATTCATTCTGCTGTTGGGTTTGAAAAATGAACTATTAAATTTAGAGGAAGAAACTTAATGAAAGACCAAGGTAAATCCAGTTCAAAACAAAATGCTACAAGATAAAAAAAAAATTAGACAGAGATTTATTTTCTTATTGGAACTTGGCAGGTTAAATGTTACATGCAGCAACTTTTACGCGGACTTGATCACTGCCACAGCTGTGGTGTATTGCACCGTGACATTAAGGGTTCCAATCTTTTGATTGACAACAACGGAATATTGAAAATTGCTGACTTTGGTTTGGCAAGCTTTTATGATCCCAATCAAACTCAGCCACTGACAAGCCGAGTTGTCACTCTTTGGTATAGGCCACCAGAGCTTTTACTTGGAGCCACTTATTATGGCACTGCTGTAGATTTATGGAGCACAGGTTGCATACTTGCTGAGCTATATGCTGGCAAGCCTATAATGCCTGGAAGAACTGAGGTATGCATGCTTTGATCTTTCAATTCAAATGTTCTATTCATCTGTTTAAAATTACTATGGTATGGTGCACTGTGAACATGTGCTCTTCACAGTTGGAAGAAGAATTTAGGCTGATGTGGTGGCTTTTTGAAATTCATTAAACATTAGTTAGGTTTTGTTACATGTTAACAATATGATATTTTTAGTGGATGAAAATGCGCTGATATATAAATATTATGTTATTCACAATATCCTGTCCATGCTCTTTTATGGTTTGTGCATAAGTAGCTTTGTGGTATTATAAAATGATTAGAAACTACAATTTTCTGTCTTGTAGGTGGAGCAATTACATAAAATTTTTAAACTTTGTGGTTCACCTTCTGAGGACTATTGGAGAAAATCAAAGTTGCCTCATGCAACAATATTTAAGCCTCAACAGCCCTATAGGCGTTGCGTTGGTGAAACTTTCAAGGATTTTCCTGCACCGGCAATAGAATTGATAGAGACTCTTTTATCTATAGATCCTGCTGATCGTGGAACTTCAGCATCTGCTTTGAATAGTGAGGTGTGAAATTCTGGAGTGTCTTTTAAGTTGTTTATTATTTTTTTTAATAATGGCAGGCAACTCTATCAATACATATAGAGAGTCGATGTTCATAGTTGTCGGGGAAAAGCATTAGTCTTTTTCTAAACCTTTATTGTAGGTCCTCTAAAAGTTGTAAGCTTAAATGTTTGATCTCTTTGCTTATATATCTTATAATAAATCCATGTCCCTGTATTCTCTCTCCATCATGTGTATTACTGCAAGCATACTCTAGTATTTGTTTCCACAACCTTAATATGTTAGAAAATTAGTAAGTATATCAACTAGTTGATGTGTTTATCACTTATTGGTTAGTACTTAGTAGTTATTCAGTATGTTTTGCTCTACGTAAGTTTTGCACGAAATTTATACAGTAGAATATTGTTTTCAAACTTCAGTATGCATTGACTCTCTCCTTTTGGTTTACTTGAAATTTAGTTCTTCTCGACAAAGCCTCTACCTTGTGATCCCTCAAGCTTACCAAAATATCCTCCTAGCAAAGAATTTGATGCCAAAGTGCGGGATGAAGAAGCTAGAAGGTGTGTTCAATTTTGGTGTGGAGTTGTTGTGTATATTTATTGCCAAATGTATAAATAAAAATCGAAGTTCTGGAGGGTGCCTCAGTGCATGTGTTTAGGTTTAAAAAATATTTGAAATCATCTAATCGAAAAATCTCAGCTATTGTTGTTGCATCTCTTTGTCAAAAATTTTGGTTTTCTTTTCAAAATGCAGCAGCGTCATATGCAATGATTAACTTTGGTAAATTAGAAGACAGGAATCTTCTAGATTTTGTGAGAATAAACCCAATCCAATTTCTTTAATTTTTTTAAACTACTATAAAATACAAAATTCATGGCATAAGTGTGGCTACCCTGACACACAAAATTATTTAGATTATGGAGCAGGGGATAGTATATTCGTAATGTTCAAAATGATTGATGTGGGTGTATACAGAAGTAATCAATAAATCAAGCTGAATTATGTATGGTTCTTAAAATCAGACTGATGCTTGTTAGTTTTACTGTAAAGTTCTCTTGGGTTCCTTACTTCTTGTCCTCAAGTGCTGGCTTTGCTTGTAAAGTTGAGCAATAAAATTTCATTTATGGTTTTGGTTATGATGTTTGCAGACAAGGAGCAGCAGGAAGCAAGGGCCAGAGACATGATCTTGAGAGAAGAGGTGCAAGAGAATCACGAGCCATTCCTGCACCCGATGCCAATGCTGAATTGGTCTTGTCAATGCAGGTAAATTCATTGTTAAGTGTAATGCTATCCTCCCAACTAGGCCGTGGAGATTTCTCATTGGCTCATTGCTGTTTATGTATGATAATTGTTCTGTTTGCTGAGATCAATTAACCTTTCAAATGCATGAATATCTTGTTGGAAACTTGGCATAAACTCTTTCTCCATGTGGATAATTAAATATGTGCATGGCATTTCAGAGAAACAATAAAGACTTATCCCACTAGGTGAGATGCATCTTAGAAATTAAACTAAAAAGAGAAAGAGAGGAATTAAAGTTTTGTTGAGCATTTATAAATTAATTCTTAAAGGAAGCTTCTTTGAAGAACTTCTTGCTATTTCAGAACTTTTAAATCTGTGGTATAGTGAACACTGAGCAAGATGAAAACTACTATACATACTGCCTTCGTCTTGAAATTTGCTATGGCTTTCCTCTTTAGCTGAATATTTATATTATTTTCCTGATGATTCCTGACTTTCTTTCAGTTTCCCTTCTGGAATACCTTTATCCTCTTAGCATTCTATCTACTCATTCATTTTGTTCACATCTGTTTTTCTTATACCTGAAAACACCAATAACCATTTTTTTACAGAAGAGACAAGCACAGACTAATTCTCAAAGCAGGAGTGAGAAGTTTAACCCACATCCTGAAGAAGTTGCTTCTGGATTTCCCATTGATCCCCCTAGACCATCTCAAGCGGCAGAAGTAAGTTTGGATCCGCAGGTACATCAACACAAAAGAGCCTCCCATTCAGGTCCACTGACTCACCGCGCTGCATGGGCTAAAGCTGGGAAGAACCAGGACGACGCTCCAAAGATTTCAATGGGGGGTGACTTATCAACAATCTCAGGCTTAGTTGCAGCAAGGAGGAGTATGTTGTCTGATGATCGCAGAGAAAGGTCTGGATCATCACAAGGGGAGGCTCCAAAACTTATAAGCAGATTCCCAGGATCCTTCAAGGAAGCCTCTGAATCAATGATGCAACAGGATCAGAAGCATCATGTACATGCTCCTCAAAAGGAAGAAGGGAGAAGTAGCAACAGAGACTCAAATCTTGTAAGTAGTTGCACCTTCTCCCTTTCCTACCTTCTCTATCTTGATATTTACAGTTTGGTTTAGTTTTGTTTAATAGTATGTTTATGACAACTTATTTCAAGAGAAATAATCGTTTATTTTTAAAACACTCAGAAAGCTGACAAAAATAAAAAATTATTTCTTCAAAATAAGCTGAATTAAACACACACTAAATGCTTTACTTGCTTACTCTCTCATCTTTTCACAATGCTGCAGGTTGGTTATGGGTCCAAGGGTCATAAAATTCATTATTCTGGTCCTTTGCTAGTTCCGTCAAGCAACATGGATCAGATGTTGAAGGACCATGACCGCCAAATTCAAGAGGCAGTTAGAAGAGCGCGTTTGGACAAGGCAAAAATGAGAAGACTCCAAGCTGAGGGGAACCAGATAACCAATTCATTATTTGTTTCTGGTCGTTGAGTTGTAGAACCTGAAGTAGCGAAGCATCTTTAAGAATATTTGATTCTTTTTTTGCACCTTTTTCCTTCCTTTTCTATTTTGCCTGTACAGGGAGTTAGTATCCCTCCGAAAATGCCCCCCATGGCCATGTTAGGTATCTCTATAGCTCAGAAATATTCCCCTCCACTTCATCACATTACATGTTTTTTCCTTCCACTCAGATGCAATTTCTATTATATGGGGCCATTCTTGTAAAGCTTATCAGCCTTAAGCTGTAGTGCAATACTGGGGGACCATTTCTTCCTTGTGTTTAACTTATGATAGAGTAATTATCACTGGGAAGATAGCTATGTATCTATGTATATATTTGCTTTCTCTTTTTGTCACCTGACTCATCTTTCTAGAATGAATCATTACGTGTGTATTTGGAGAAATGTGTGAACATGGAAGATCCATGACAAAAGTTATAATTAGTAGTGTTGGAGTGAATGTAAATCCTAACACACTGCTTCATTTTGGTACATGGTTACATTTAACCATTTGGGATGTGGTATTGAATTAACATAAAATTTCAAAGCTTTCGGGTGCATGAAATTGGGTGGTTATCATTTGACATACGAACATGAAATCTCTTTAGATGATTATGACTGTGTTATGTAAATAACTAAGTCTGGCATTGATTAGAAGCTAATGTAATTTGCATAGAGTTATTCCTTAAAAGGAATCTCATAAATGGCATAGAAAGGAGTCTTTTTAAGAACTAAGCAAGTTTTATGGTGAAAGAAACATCTGAAGTTTAAATTTGCGTTTTGATGGATCCTAATACAAAACTATCTCTTTTTATTTTTATATAACGAAATTCCATTAACATACTATCAAACATATTCTTTTTAGTACACTTTTAATTAATTAAAGTTTATTAAAAATTACAAAAATTATGAGTTTCATTTTTTTTTAAAGAAAAAGTGAACATTTTTTTGTCTTCACTAATGTAAAAAATATATTTACTAAATGTGTTGTGTGCTTAATGTAGTCCATACAGTATAAATTTATATAATTAAATATAATTAATTTTTATCTAATAATTAAGAATTAATCATCTTAATTTTCTAGAATATGTAACTATTAATTTTTTACAAATTTGTAACAGTTAATAACTAATTATATTCTAACACTTCCCTTCAAGTTGGAGTCTATATGTTATATGCATCAAGCTTGTTACAAATATACTCAATCTGAGGGCCTTTAAGGGATTTGGTGAACATGTCAACCAGCTAATCCCTAAAATTGACAAAATCAGTTGTGATTTCTTCAAAAAGCACATTTTTTCTTACAAAGTGACAATCAATCTCTATGTGTTTGGTTCTTTCATAAAAGATCGAGTTTGATGCAATATGAAGTGCAACTTGATTGTCACAAATAAGTTTTGTTTCATGGATGTCTCCTACTTTTAGTTGTAATAGTAGTTGCCTAAGCCACGTAAGCTCACAAGTGGCTGCTACCATAGCATGATATTCTGCTTCGACACTGGATCTAGCAATGATGTTTTGCTTCTTCCTTCTCCGTGAGATCAGGTTTATCCAATGACAACACAATACCCATAAGTGGATCTTCTATTTGATGGTGATCATGCCCAATTCGCATCAGAATAACAAGTAATCTTAGTATTGCCTTTATTTTCATATAATAACCCTTGTCCCAGAGCATTTTGTGCGTATCGAAGAATATTTGTCACAATATCCCATTGGCTATCACAAGGGGCATTTAGAAACTGGCTTACCACGCTAATCGCAAAAGTTATGTTAGGTCTGGTGATTGTGAGATAGTTGACTCTGCCTACCAAACAACGATATCTTTCCGGGTCTTTCAATGGCTGTCCCTGACCCGGAAGAAGCTTGACATTAGGATCCATAGGAGTATCACAAGAACTACAGTCAAGCATACTAGCTTCAGTAAAAATGTTCATGGCATACTTACATTGATTAATAACAATGCCAGAAGAAGATTGGACAACTTTAATGTCTAAGAAATGTTTGAGAAGGCTCAAATCTTTAGCCAGTCACATCATCACCAGTGATGACAATGTCATCAATATAAACAACAAGATAAATGCACCTGCTGGAAAAAGAAAGAAAGAAGAAGACAGAATGATCAGCCTCACACCTAGTCATGTCAAACTGTATCAAGGGAAAACTAAAATGATTAAATCATGCCTGAGGAGATTACTTTAACCCATAAAGAGACTAATAAAGCTTACAAACAAGACCAGAATCACCAAGAACCATAAAATTAAGGGGTTGATTCATATAAACTTCTTTCTGTAATTCACCATGTAAGAAGGAATTTTTAATATCAAGCTAATGAAGGGGCCAATGACGAATAGCAACCATAGCCAGTAAGACACGAACAAAAGTTATTTTGGCTACAGGTAAAAAGGAGTCCCCAAGATCTAGACAAAAAATCTATATATCCTTTGGCAATCAATCGTGCTTTTAATCGATCAGAATGTCCATTTGTTCTAATTTTCACTATATAAACTCAACGACAGCCAACAGTTGTCTTGCCAGAAGGTAAAGGAACAAGTTCTCAAATGCCATTGGAATGTAAGACTGCCATCTCCTCTACCATTGCCTGGCACCATCAGGGATCAGCCATTGCTTCACCTGTAGTCTTAGGAATAGACACAAAATTCAAAGAAGAAACAAAGGAGAAATAAGATGAAGATAAATGATCATAATTAATGGTAAAATCATAGAGAAAGTTAGGATTACGAGTGGAACGAATACCTTTTTGTATTGCAATAAGAAGTTCAGGTGCAGGAGGCATAGGCAAAGGGGCGGTTAGAGTAGGAGATGATGTTAGAGGATCAGTGGAGTGAGTCACAACTAGATTTTGAGACCGTCTGTGGTATTGAAGCATGGAGGTGGAGGAGAAGCAATTACTTGAGTCGAAATGAACAAGACTTCTAAAGAGTCTGTTGTAAAATTGGCATCTAATACAGTAAAAGTGAAGAAGATAGTAGTCTCAAAAAAGGTGACATCAGCAGAAATAATATATCATTGAAGCTGAGGATAAAAACAATGATAGCCCTTCTGACGGCATGAGTAACCAAGGAAAATACACTTGAGAGATTTGACAAAAAATTATCTTTATCTAGAGTAAAGTTATGAACAAAGTATGTGCAACTAAAGACACAAAAAGGGATGGGGTAAAGATCTTGTGTTAGATATAAGAGAGAGTGAGAAACCTAATTATTAAGGATGGAAGAAGACATATAGTTGATAAGATAACATGCTGTGAGCATGACATTTTTCCAAAAGTAAAGAGAAACATTGTGGTGAAGAAGAAGAGTATAGATAGTTTCAACTAAGTGTCGATTCTTTCGTTCAACGACATCATTCTATTGTATTATGTGAGAGCAAGACATTTAATAAAAAATATCCTATAAACTTAGAAAAGATTAAAATTAGAAAGACATATCACGAGTATTGTCTGTAATGGCTAATAACTAATTATATTTTAACAATTATTTTATAAAATATTTTATTTTAAAAAATAAAAATATACAATATATATATATATATATATATATAACACGTAAAAAATTTCATTAATTAATGTGTTCTAGTTAATACTTTTTTTTTAATGAGATCCAGCTGGGGAAAGCCTAGAATGGGATAAGTCAAGTTCTTCGTATGTTTCCTTGGATGCAGAATCTAAACGGTCGTTTGATTTAAATGTTTTTTTGTTAGTTTTAATTATAGAAATGATATCTTTATTTATATTTTATTCTATTTTCAGATATTTGGAGAGGAGATAATGAAAACAATTTTTATTTATTTATTTTCACTATTTTTAAATAAATTCTTGAAAATGAATTTAAAAAAAAAAAATCAAACCAAACTATCCTTAAGCTTTATTTCACCTTTCACAGCTTAAAATATTAGCCACATAAATTTTTTAAAAGTGGAATAGAAACATGAAAAAACAGAGAAATAAGACCAGTCGAAATAAACGGAGCCCACTTTTTCTATAAAAACAAGTAGCTCAAACTAGAATAGGCTATACAGACTTGGACCCGAGGGTTGACCCAAAAATACCTGAAACAATTTTAAAAAATGTTAGTCTAGATATATTTAAAAAATAATAATTTAGAGAAAGACAAAATAGATCTAAAAAAATATGCAAAGGTTTTAAAATAATTTTTAATATTTTAAAGTAATAAACAAGAAGTTTAACAAGCAAAAAATATAAACAAATGTAAGACTCAAAGACCAACCCATTTAGCCTCAGGTATGTATGAACTTAATAAATATAGATTTATTTAAGTGCAAAATTGTGTACACCCACATCTGCATACTCACTTATACTTGCTATAGCTCTTAGTTTATGTTCCTTCCTTCATAGTTTAGTAAGATGATAGATAAACATAAAATGTAGAATAATATTAGCTACACACTCTAGTAGAATTTAAATAACATATATTTTATTAGCTAAAATTTATTAAAAGATATAAAATTTATATAGGTTTCACTTTTTTTAATTTATATTTTTTTATCGTATTTTTTTAGTTTTTAATAAATTTTAATCATTTCTCTAAAATGTAACAAGCAAAATTTAAATCCTATCTCATGTAAAATGAGGCCCCTATCTCCTCTCCTAGATTAGAAAAACAACTTACACATTCAAAGATTCTTTTATGGCCTAATTCATAACATTTTTTCCAGATAAAAAAAAGTTAGGCCTATTCGTGCATAATATATTTGGTCTTTGAGCCCAATATATCCCCAAGTCCAGTATAAATGACGTTTAGACAATATATACACGGGGACAAAAAAAAAAGAAGACAGTACATATATACACACACACACTTTATATTCTTAATATAATAAATATTTTTCAGTACCTTTGTTTTTAAAAATATTGGTCATTTCACTTTTCAATATTGTTCTTTACTTCTTGATCACGAAGCTTTTCACTATTTTAATTTTGTTTACCATTTAGACTAATCCTTTCATTAAAAACAGGCAAATGAATAAAATCCAAAAAGTTAGTAGATTGAAACCATAAATAATTTTAACTAGAAAATGATTAGCAGAAGAATGAATGGTTTATCATAAGCAAATTCAATAAAAGGTAAACATGCTTCTCGTGTATTAAAGATGGCAAGTAGTAGAGAATCAATACATTTTTTTTCCTAAAAGATGAATGTTAACTTTTTCTTAAAATTTAAATTACTTTTTCTAATGTATATTGCATATAATAAAAATAATGATAAAATTTAACGTTATCAATGTATTAAACCCTATATTGTTAATAAAAAATGACTATATATTCTTATTGTGTGCTTTAAAAAAACATATTAAAAAATTAAATTAAGAGTCTGCATCTTTCACATATCTTTCTAATAGTATTTTCACTTCTATTAAGTTAAAAATATGAAAAAAATTAATTTAATAATTAAGAAAAATCATGGGCATAAAAAATTACGAAGATTTAAAATTCATTCTTAAATTAAAATCTAGACCAAAAAGGATATACCTATGTGTACAAGGAAACAATAAATCAAAGGAAAAATGATTTTA